CCTGCACCCCAAGACGGCCTATGACAAAAGAGAAGAGCGCACAGAATCAGTGGGCTGGACAAGATGCCAGGGCTCCCATATTCTGGAACTCCACTCACCCGGGACTTGATGCTGGCCAGGCCCTGGACTCCTCTCCTCCAGGAGGAAGGAGGAAGTTCTCCTATACTCACCCCTGACCCAGCTGGCCTTCAGGGAGCTTTCTTTGGGTCTAGAATAAACAGTACACCCACCCCCAATGCCATGGGTCCATTCCCCCACCTCAGCTGTCAGGGGAAACCCTCTGTGGTGCCTGAGTCCTAGAAGCCAAAAGAAATCTTAGAGACAGTCAGCCCAACCTCCGCCCAGGCCCGACCCTCCACTCCTGGCCTCGTCTTCCCTCCCTCTGCCCACACCTGCTCCTTCCTCGCCTTTGTATTCCCCTTACACCTACAAGAAGTCACTGCAGCTGCCTCCCCTAGCCAGAAATTCACAGCGTCGGGCATCTTTCCTGCAGGACAGAGGCAGGCAGCAAGTTAGGAAGGCCGGGCTGGGGAAAGCTGCCATCCAGTGATGCTAAAACCAAAACCTGGGTGAGTGCAGAAGAATCCCAAGAAAGAGGGTCAGGAAGAAGAGGCAGAGGTTGGGAAAGCTTGGGAAAAGGGCCTTCCCTCCCCCGGGGCAGAAGAAAGGACAACAATCTTCAGTAGTTCATCTATGATTAAGTCAGGCCTGGGAATGTGAGTATTTAGTGAGCTGCACCTGGTGCTGACAGGACCAAGCCTGTAGGCCAAATCATCACCTAAGCGACCACCCCGCCTCCACTCACCCAGGGCTTCGGAGGCCCAGGGCACATGGGATTCCAGATCAGGCAGCAGTTGGGCCAGCTCAGTGGGCAGATTGGAGCACTGCTTCTGCACATAAAGGACTCCCGGGTGCTGGGCACGGTCCTCTAGCACATCCACCACGAAGCTCAGGGGCAGGCGGCGTTCAGCTGGCATCACGAAGCGGTCCCCTCTCACAGCATCCGCATAACCATCTGGGGTGACAGCCACACTGACCTCCGTGGAGCCCACTGTGGCTCTAGAGGAAGGGACACTCAGCCCATGCTCTCATGCCAGTAGTCACTGCTCACGCCCCACCCCAGGGCAGCTCCCACCTGAAATAGGGGAGGGACCACTTCTGCAGGGCCGGCCAGTGCTGCAGAGCGTTGCGGATGATGCACGGCCTGTTGGGGCAGATCCAGTCCCGGTAGAAGCAGAGTGGAGTTGGGGGCTTGTCCAGGTAGGGCACAGCAAGTGGCACACTGAGCTCTGAGAGAAATAGGAGGACAGGGGATGGAGGGGCTGAAATTAGCAGCACCCCATCCCTGCCCAAGAGATGCCTTCCCTGGAAAGGCTATGCTGTGTCACTGGGAAATGCCCACTGCTGACCAAAGGACCCTGGACAACCAGAAATAGAAGGATGAGGAGGAAAAATGAAGGCAGAAAGCACCATGCATGCACACCAGCACAGGCCCTGACCACCCACAGGGCCAGGGACTACTGCCCAGCCTATAACCCAAATCCCCTGTGGGGCTGTGTCTGCGCCTACACGATGGACCCTCCACCTTCCCACCCTGGAGAGGCCAGCCTCCTAGCACCCACCAGGAATATGATGGAGTCAGGAGCCCTAGAATGAGTAAGGCTGAGGACCCCAGGCCACGGGTTGGTCTGGGTGGGGTGTGGCTCTGGAAAACCCACTTCAACAGTGATTATTTACTGAGCACTTAGAATGTGCTCAGCACGTAGCTTGGCCAATCTGGGACTATCAGCGATGACACAATCATCATCTTAGGAAATTTACAACCTTCTCACCGGGAAGACCAGCCAACACCAATGGAGAAATGGAAGGGCTTGGCTGTGGTTTGGGTCCCACCGAACTGCATCACCATCTCCAGACCCCCAGGGCCACCATGTGCACTTCAGCAGGTTGTGCAGTGTGCCAACACCCCGCAGGGGTCTACAGTGGCCCTGCATCATCTCTAATAAAAACCTCCTCTTTCTGACTTGGCTTTCTCCTTCGCTCCTGTCACCCTACTGGTTGGCTCTAAGTCCTGCTGGTTCTGTCTCCTATGTCTCTCAAACCCACCTGCTGCTTCTCTCCTCCGGTGGCATCCACGTTCCAGCTACCTCCTTTGTGTCATCACTCAAATGTCACATTGATAAGGCTTCCTTCTCTAACTATACTTTCTAAATTTATAATCTGCCCCCCCCAATCTTTATATCCCTTTGACTATTTTATTTTTCTCCTTAGCATTCATCACCATCTAACATGCTATATATTTTAGGGCTGGGCATGGCGGCTCATATCTGTAATCCCAGCACTTTGAGAGGCAGAGGCAGGATTGCTAAGGTTGGGAGTTCAAGACCAGCCTTGGCCACATAGTGAGGCCCCATCTCAACAAAAAATTTAAAAATCAGCTGAACATGATAGCATGCACCTATACTCCTAGTTATGCTAGAGGCTGAAGCAGGAGGATCACTTAACTCCAAGAGCTGGAGGCTGCATTGAGCTATCATTATGCCACTGCTCTCCTGCCTGTGTGACAAAGCAAGACCTTATCTCAAAAAAAGATATGACATATTTCACTTACATTAGTTGTTTATCATTCTATCACCCTTCCTAGAATGTAAGCTCCACAGGGCAAAGTCTTGTTCAGTGATGCACCCCTGGGACCTAGAACAGTACTGAGCACACAGCAGATGCTCAGCAAAGATGTGCTTAATGTTGAATGAAAGTCTCCAGCATCAGCCGGGCGTGGTGGCTCACACCTGTAATCCCAGCACTTTGGGAGGCCGAGGCAGGCAGATCACGAGGTCAAGAGATCAAGACCATCCTAGCCAACATGGTGAAACCCCGTCTCTACTAAAAATACAAAAAAAAAAAAAAAAAAATTAGCTGGGCGTGGTGGCACACGCCTGTACTCCCAGCTACTTGGGAAGCTGAAGCAGGAGCATTGCTTGAACCCGGGAGGCGGAGATTGCAGTGAACTGAGCTCGTGCCACTGCACTCCAGCCTGGTGCCTGGCGACAGAGCAAGACTGTCTCAAAAAAAAAAAAGAAATGATTTTTAGTGATGGTGTCTCACTATGTTGCCGAGGCTGGTCGTGAACTCCAGGCCTCAAGAAATATTTCCATAGTGCTAGGATTACAGGTGTGAGCACTGCACATAGCCTGGGATTCTGAAAATACATGAAAACTGCCATTTTCTCACCCTTTGGATTTCTGCAATTAGGAATTTCTGTTTTACTTGCTCACCATTTCCTTTAGAGAATGGTTGTTTTTCTCTCCTGGGGCTTCAAAGTGAGAAAATTTCAAAAGGGATCCCAACAATTCCTTTGATCCCATAACTCTGATAAGAACTTAACTAACAAGGCATAGAGCAATGGTTTATGCCTGTAACCCCAACACTTTGGAACACCGAGGTGCCAAGAACTGCTTAAGCCCAGGAGTTTAAGACCAGCCTTGTCTCTACTAAAATTCAAAAAAATTAACCAGACATGGTAGTGCATGCCTGTAGTCTCAGCTACTCCCAGGGGCTGAAGCAGGAGGATCTCTTGAACCTGGGAGGTGGAGGTGCAGTGAGCTATGACCATGCCTCTGCATTCCAGCCTGGGTGACAGAACAAGACCTTGTCTCAAAAATAAATAAATAAATAAAAATATATAAACAATTTAACCAACCAAAATACTCACACATGTACACAAAGACCCTGCTCCTGCAGACTGGCTTCTTGTTTCCTGAACACACCAGGTACACTCCCACTGAGGGCTCTGCCTGCACTTACCTTCTAACCACCTTCTACTGTAAATTTACTCACTCAGTACACCTGTGGTTAATTGTCCACCTTCTCACTTAGAATGTAACATACGAAGACAGATTTCTTTTATTCAATATCTCAAACACAGTGAACAGACCCTGCCACACAGAATTGAGTAAGTATTTGTTAAACTGATGCTCAAAAGTATTTCCTGCAGCATTATTTAAAACAACAGATTGGAAATGACCTAAATGACTAAGTGAATACAGCACTAGCACAAAGATGTGAAAAAGACTGAGGTAGAAAAATGTTAAATGATCTCCAAGATACATGGTGAAGCAGACTGTGTTTAGCAGGCTACTACTGTATAAAAAGGAGAGTAAAAAGTCGTGTGTGCAAGGATATAAACAGTCTTTCTGGATGAACGCAAACTGGGGCCGGGAGGGAAGCTTGCCTCATTTACATTGCATACCATTATATATTACATACCCATTACACACACGTGCCTGTGTTGCTGTTCTGTGCTTAAACAAAGAAAAAAAGGAGGGAAGAGAGGAAGAAAAAATAAAAACGAAGCGGGGGAAGAGCCAAGGACCATTTGTCAGCGTGCAATTCTCCGAAAGTCTGACAGGGGACTTGGGGGCGGAGGCGGGGCACGTGGGGGAGGAATCCGACCACCACGTGTGCCTTTGATGAGCTTTCAAAAATGAGTAACAGCAAACTGCCCAAGACTGTGGTAAACAAAGGACTTGGCCACAACCATGGTCAAGACGGCGCCGGGCCTTGGGAATAATTTTAACAGTCACCCGAACCACGAGAGTGCGCGAACACGGGAGGAGGGAAGCCGGTTGCGACACAAGAGCAACCTGGCGGGGCCTTAGGCCAGTCGCACAGAAGAGGTTCCAAGATCCCCGTCGGCGGCATCTCAGGGCCCCTCCCGTGTTCGGAGGTCACCGCAGCTTCTGGGAAGAGCCTACTCACCCCTTGCAGCGACCGAGAATTCTCGTAACTCCCTCCGCACGGCTTCCAAAGCCTCCTCCGCCATGGCTGCGCCAGGGCCGGCGCGAGACCACGCCTCTCCCTGACGCCCTCGCCGCAGGCCACACCCGAGTCCTCCGCTCCGCTCCGCCCCGCCCCTAGGCGCACACCCGGTTCTGCCGCCGAAGCGGCGGAGTGAGCAGCTGTGCCCGTTTCCGCCTGCTCCACTGGCCAGCATCCCACGGTTAGCAAACGATTGTGTTTATTGACAAGTTCATACATAAATACAAACGGGCACGTTAAAAACAGCCGCCGCCCCGAGCAGCCGGATAGGAGGCGGGAAGCGCCGCGACTTGGACAAAGTAGAAAAGTTATAAATAAGGGATTTTTAAAACGGCAGGGACGACTCTGGAGTGGGGCGGCCGGTGGCCTCAGACATGCAGAAAGGGACGGGGCGCCAGCCGGGCCACGAGGCCCCCCCCACTCACCCACAAGGATCAGAGGGCAGGAAAAGGGCGCCCACGTTCCCACAAACCTCAGGCGGAGGGTAGCTCCCTCCTCGAGGAGTACCTGGCCCAGAAAGCGAACCTGAGTCCCACCTGCGGTGGGCTGCGGCTAGTGTGCGGGGTGGGGGCGCAGCGGGTACGGGCCCGCCGCCAGTTGCGGCTGTTCCCGGGCCACAAGGTGGTAGAGGAGTGGGGGAGGGCCAGTTTTGGAGCCGCTCAGATGCATTCAGGCTGATGCCCCGCAGCTGGGCACCCTTCGGAACCCACTTCTTTATAAGCTTCTGCCTATGGCGCAGCAGCGCAGGTGAAGGGGCTGTAGTGGCCTGGAGCTGTGGTAAAGCTGTCCTGACTTACCTGGAGCAGGGGGAAGCAGTAGGGCCGAAAGACTCCTTCCTCACCTCTTCAACTGCCTGACTTGGTCCTACTCTACCTCCTACAGTGCCCTATTTCCTTCCTTTCACCCCTAACTACTGTCCTTTTAAATTCTAACCTATCCCCTCACCTCTGCCACTTACCTCTCCCACCTACCACTTTTCCAGTGTCTCCTTTGGCCCCTGCACCTCCCTCAACTCAAACTCCAGTATCCAGCACACCCGTGGGTGCCCAGCACTGCCTTTGAGGAGCCTCCCTCTACCTAAACCAGGTGTCCTATGGGCTATCTCCTATCAACTAGGCTGTGAACACCAAGAATCCAGAATCTGGGCTCACTCAGTGTGTTCCACCCTGTTTTCTGCCCCCTGATATGTGTTCCCCATAAGCCAGGGTGGTGAGGCTGAGGCAGGATGTGAGGAAACCAGGCACACAGCAGCCAGCCAGATGCTCTAGCAACCAACACTCAACTGCACTCGCGTGTGTGTTTGTATGCATGCATGTGATCTCATCTGCATGCTGTGCAGGTGTGTGTGTGTGTGTGTGTGCATGCATGTGATCTCATCTGCATGCTGTACAGGTGTGTGTGTGTGTGTGTGTGTGTGCATGATGTGATCTCATCTGTGGCCGAGGTCCTCAGGAGGTGGGCCAGTGCCCTGTAAACAAGGGACATTCCAACACAGGCTTCTGACTGAGCATCACTCAGGATGCAGGGAGAAGGTGACCTCTGGGCTCCAGCAGGTGGCTGGGGTCCAGGGCTGGAGGACAGGTAAGGACAAGGGGCTGAGGAAAGGAGGCCAGAGCTTCATGTTTGCCCAGCTGAGGGCTTACTGTCCTGCAGCAATGTCTCACAGCTGGATCAAGTTCTGGCCAGGAGAGAAAGGGGTCACAGGGAGAGACAATGCTGGGCCCCTCTTGGAGGGAGAATTGGGAATGGAATGTAGGGGCTCAGGTTCTAATACCAACTCAAGTCTCCTGGTAGCTGGGGACACCCTGGAAGGCCAGATGGCTCTGCCTTTCTGAGCTGCCAGGTATTGGGGAAAACCACCCTGCTCTGGCAGCCAGAGGAGTGCAGCTGGTGTGAGAGGGGAAGTGGAGGTAGAGGTGAAGGCTCCCAGTTGGCTGAAGGGCACTGAATACCACATGACCTGTGACCTTGACCCCAGAGTACCCTGTGTATGCTCCACCCCAGGGAGCTAATCCCTGCAGTAATTTCAAATGGCTTCTAAGAGAGGGCCAGCCCTTCCCAGATTCCTAGATGGGGCAGGCTGCCCTCTTACCCCTCACAGCACCAAGATGACAAAGACCCAAGACCCGTCCCTGCCACTGGAGGGGCTGTGGAGGCAGGAGTTCCAAGGAAGTGAGGCAACAGTCAGGGAAATAAATTAATAAATACAGGCACCCCACGAGGAGTGGCTGGGAAGGCTGCTTCGCCTCTCATCACTGCTCCCTGCTTTCCACTCCAAGCAGCCCCACAGGTTTTGGTGAGTGGCAGAGGGTCTGCAGTTTGGAATGGCTGGGGCATTCATTCACTTGGGGCAGGCTTCTGGAACTCAGAGTCTGCGTTCCATGCGCCGCTCCACGGCTCGAAGCAACAGTTCTGAGTATTGCTCCAGCAGGGCCTGTGTCTGCTCAGCTCCCACAGCCCCAGGGCTGCTGCCTGGGCTGGACAGTGCTACCCCAGCCAGGGCTTCCAGCTCCTGTCGCACTGAAGAGAAGGTGTCTCTGAGGAGCTGGGCGATCCGACTTTGCTCTGCTGAGGGCATCTTGCAGCCAGCCACCTGAAACAGGACCCCGGGAAGTGAGGTGGAGGACACACAAAAGGTAGGGGCCCTACCTGGATCCAGCCTGCCTTAGAAGAAGGGACTAGCTGGGAATTCTACCTGCCAAGATCATCACGTATGACAAGGGGATATGGGATGCAGGCAGACTCTGGGGGTCACCCCCAAGGAGAATCCCATCAGATTACAGAACCGTCTACATCTTGTTAGCAACTCCTTATGACAACTCAGGCAGAATCAACTTTCTCTGTCAAAGTTCAGCCCTCCTGGAGGGCTCAGGAGGCCAAATAATTTGTGGGCATAAAAAAGGATGCCATTAATAATTACACTGGGACAATGGCATAAACAGATTGTCCCGAGCCAACTAGATGTGATGACTTCCTCCTGAAGGAAGTCTCCAGCTCTTAACCAGAAATGAACACAGATGCCCGGTTCAAGAGGCTAGCCTGGCCTCTAACCCCCTCACCTATGCTGCCCACGACGTTCTTGGGTGTTCCAAGTGTCAGCACAAGAGCCTTAGCATACCGTTCTGGATATGGCTATCCAAACACCCAGCACTAAAGACGTGCTCACCCACCTGCCGGGGGGTGCCGAATACCCACCAAGTGGTAGAGCCGCACGGCCTGGTGCACGCTGCCGCGGAGCTCTTCCACCAGCTGTTCACACTGCTCCAGGCTCACCACTGGTTCTGAAAGAGATGGCTACGGCTCAGTGAGGCCCAACTTGCAGCCCTTTCAGGCCTCCCCACCCAAGACACTCAGAGCAGGAGAGACCTAGCCCTCAGCAGCACACTCCTGACTTGCCCTCAGTCCCTTCCTCTTGCCTTCTCTTCCAACGGCCTCCCCAACACCACACAAACAAGGTCCAGAGGAGAGGGCCAGCCCCAAGTTCAGAAGGCACTGAATGGGCAAGTGGGTCACAAGGAAATCATGAATGTTAGCAGGAGTGTCTCACCATTAGGGGTGTGACTTATGGACCTGAGACAGGAGCAGACAGGACGAGAAACACCAGAAGCTAAACACACAGAAATAGGATGGAGCCAGAGAGCAGCCACCAGAGACAGGAGAGAAAGGACGGAGCAGGAGATGAGTTAGGGAGCCGTGCACACCTGAGTCCTGGCTCAGGGCTGCCCCTGGCTTGGCGCAGTCCATGGGGTTGAGAGTCTTCTCAGGGGGTGGGGGCTGCAAGTTTTCAGGGCCTCGGAGGAGGCTGCTGACTGGCAGTTGCTGGGCACAGGGGTTGCTGGGCCCAGGATGAGCCTGGCAGTCTGTCCTGGGCTTGGGAGTTGTGCCCTCCCCAAAACAGGCCCATCTCTCAGTCGTACTGTGAGCTTTTCCTAAGCCCACTGGGAAGCCAGGCTGTTCTGCCTCGCCAGGGGCCCGGCCTTTGGTTACAGGCGAGAATGTAGCCACGGTAGGACGGTCAGGCAGTGGTTTGGGGATGTCCAAAACCAGGTGAGCCCGGCTGGGCAGGGCCAGCTTGCTGAGTGGTGAGACTCGGATAGGGGCAGGAGCTTGAGGTTCAGCGACCAGGCTCAGGTTCTCCCCAAGAGAGATACTACGGGATATCTTGGCCATGGAACTGGTGGTGGGGTTCTGATAAGAGTGGGGCCGAGATAGATGGCCATCAGCCAGGGGCAGGGAGCCCAGACCATCCTGAGCTTTGATCTCCCGAGAGAGCAATAGGCCTGGTGAAGGGGCCTGTAGACCGGCCTCATCTCTTTCTGCAAAGGACACAGAAGTGTACACAGGTCAGGTGGTAAGAAAGGCATCCCAGGTACCAATGCCCAATACCTAAGAGCTGCTGTTCCCCTCCACCTGCCCATTAAGGGACACCCAGTGGCCAGCACAGTGACACATCAGGGCTATACCAGGCCCTCCCTCCAGCATGTACACCTGTTCCACACACACTGCACCCTGGCACCGAGCCCAGCAAGCTCCTCACCCTGTGGCACCAGACTATGCACAGACTGGGCTTTCTGGAGTCCAGGTAAGGGGCTGGCTGTGGCCACTCTCTTGGGAGCCCAGCTGCTGTCAGGGTTGAGACGGCACCGTGGCAACAGCACAATGGCTGCCTGCTGGGGGCTGGGGTTGCCAGAGGACAGGTCTGCCTCTGGGGGTGCTCCGGGGGGACTAGCACCATTGCCTCTTGGCTGTTCACCAGATGCCTGTGGCACCTGGGCTGGTCTCGACATCAGTGCCAGGCTTGAGGAGGATGGGGATGGTTCCCTACAGGGAGGAAATGTGGAAGAAGGTCCAAAGAAGGCTCAATGCTCCTCCCTGCCAAAATGGTGAGAAACTCATGACACCAAGGCACTAGGAGAGAAGGACAGGCACAAAGCCAGACAGGGCTGGGGCAAGGCTGGTTAACCTAGAACCAGGCGTGAAAACACCCCAGGCACGAAGAGACAGAACACTAGAGGGGAGAGGGCAGCAGCACTGGGAGGCCTGAGAGCCGGAGCTGCTGCTGTGTGGAGGGGGGGTCTCTGTACCTGAGTGGGCGGGTCTGTACTTTTAACAGGAATCGTGAAGAGATGCTCCGAGACTCTGACCTCTCTGGCACCTGCACTGGGGCCCCTACCAGGGTCAGAGAAATCATAAATTGGGGCAGAAACCAAGCACTTGGCCCAGATTTTGCTTCCCTGAGAAGGAAAGCCCAGCCACTATCTATACCCTGGAGCCCTCCTCTCAGGGAAGCAAGGAGGGGAGAAGGGCAAATTGCAGGCACTAAATGCTGGCCCTCTGACCACACCTGGAGCAGCTCCATTGGCCAGAGTCTCAAAGTGCTGTTTCAGAAACTGCTCCTGGTCTGGGGTCCGGGGGCTTCCCTCCTGCAGCACATAGGAGGCCGTGCCTCCCTCCTCTTCCTCCTCTTCTTCATCACCCTCAGCTGGCTCTTCAAGGTCTGAAGAGATGCCATCCACACTGAGGGGCTCCGTGCTCTCAGAGTCTGGTGTGGGGAGAAAAGAGAGGCATTGCACTGCACCCATCTGTTGCCAGAGGCTTCCCGCACCTCAGCCCATGAGTCCTCCCTCCCAGCTGCAGCCTCACCTTCAGTGGGGTGCTCGGGGCTGGAAAGGCAGCTGCTGCTGTAATCCACAGAGCAGGCACTGTCGGGACTGTGCTTTTCTGAGCTCCTGCTGCCTGGGTACACTCTTCCCAGAGTTCCCTGGGCTGGAGCCTGCACCTGGAACTCACTGCCAGGATTCCAGCAGGGAGAAGAAAAGGCAGTGAGCATGGGTGAGCAGCATCCCCGCTGGACTCCTGCCTGTGATCAGGGTGAGGGATGAGGCAGTGGTGAGCTGGGAGGTAAGCCCTGAGGATCCTGGAGGCCAACCCTCCCCCAACTAAACAACACTCAGAAAGATGGGAAGACGGGGGGCTGCACGGCCCACAAGGTCTGGCCAGGGTAAGATCCTTGCCTGGCATCCATGGTGGGGCTGTCACTCGGCTCCGGGTAGACAATATCGTCTTCAACAGGTGCAGGTTCCAGATCTTGAGGAAAGACCCCTTCCTCTTGTGACAATAACTGGATAATATGGGGGCAAGAACAGGGTTGGGAAGCCTGAGGCCGAGTGGGCTTTTCATTTTGGGAACACACAAAGGGACGTTACTAGAGCAGCTGATGTGAGAAGAGGTGAGGGATGAAGCAGTGGTAGCTGGTGGGTAAGCCCTTAGTGACCCTCCCCTTGGAGAAGAGGTGGAGGTGGGTAAGGATGTGGTGTGCACCAATTCTGGGGGAAGCAGAATACTCTAGCTCTGAGGACAGCACCCAAGCCAGGCTGGGCGCCAGTTGCTGATGGGAGCTTGTGGATGAACTATATTAACACTCTGGGCTGCCAACCTCCAGCTACCACTTCATACCAAGAATCCTTCAAGAAACCCAGCCCAGGGCAAAGGCCACTTTTGCCTCTCTATCCCAACTGCTCCCCTGCCTGCCCTGATATCCAAACCATACAGCCCAGCCAGCCCTATCCTGGCTTTGCAGTTCTGGTTAACCATGTGCCTCAGGGACAGACCAAGTAGAGCTGGACCAGGGCTCAGGTCCCAGCTGGTGGCAAAGGCTGCCTAAGGGCCCCTAGGGCGCTCTAGAGAGCTGAGAGAAAGCTGGCTCACCTGGCTATTGAGTGAAGTGTCAAGGGCCTGCTTCCCGTGCTTCCCAGGACCAGATGGGATCATGGCCAGCGAGTCCTGGCGAGGGCCCCGTGGGCTTGGGGCCAGTGTTTCCAGCTGCCGCAGGTCTAGCATGGATCGGACACTCAGCTCCACACCAGGCTGAGCCCAGCGCCCCCTTCTTTTGGGTCCTGGGTTGGCTGCAGGAGCTGGGTCCAGGAACCCCATGGTCTCCTGTGCCTGGTGGGAGGTAGTAACAACCACACGTTAAGATCAACAGATATCCATATATCCCTTACTGTGTGCCTGGCACTTTACACTTATTAGCTTACTTCATCCTCATGGCAGCCTTTTGAAAGGTTGAAATCGGCACTATTTGCTTTGTTTTGTTTTTGTTTTGAGACAAGAGTCTTGCTCTGTCACCCAGAATGGAGTGCAGTGGTGCAATCTTGGCTCACTGCAACCTCCACCTCCTGGGTTCAAGTAATTCTCCTAGCTTAGCCTCTCAAGCAGCTGGGACTACAGGCACCCACCACTATGCCCAGCTCATTTTTGTATTTTTAGTAGAGATGGGGTTTCATCATGTTGAGCAGGCTGGTCTCGAACTCCTGACCTTGTAATCCCCCCACCTCAGCCTCCCAAAGTGTTGGGATTACAGGCATTAGCCACTGTACCCGGCCTGAAATAGGCACTATTACAATCCTTGTTTTTCAGATGAGGAGACTGAAGCACAGGGAGCTTAAGTGACCAGTCCACATCCCACAGGCATGCAGGTTAGTCTGGCTCCAGAGTTCATGCTCTTAGCTGCATTCCATATCCTTTGGCACAGGAATCTCCAGTCTTAGCCTTCACCTGGCATCATGGATGCCTCAGCAGCAACTATTTACTACCAAGAGTCCTCCAAGAAACCCAGCCCAGGGCCAAGGCCACTTTTGCCTGTCTACACCAACCACTCATTTTGCCTCTCTCTACCCCAACTTCTCCAATGGCTGGGGGCCCCAAAAACCCTTCACAGCATGGAGGACTAACCTATAGCCCGGGCCTGAGACCCCTAGCCTGGTCAGAGTGCACCAGAGCCACCACAGCGCCATCACTTTGTGTAACCATTGCTGACAATGGAAGGTCTTGGTGTTTGGGGACTTGCTTGGAACACCTCCATCCCCCTCTGGCCACCCCACAGCAGTCGCTCAGTTACTGGTCTCCTCGTGGCCTTTCCCCCTAACTATTCTGGAAGTTCTCCGTTCACCTCCTAACAAGTGTCTTTAGAACTAGCTTCTCTAGATCTCTGCTCTCTGGATCCTTGGTTTCCTGCACTTTAGCTCTCACTATTCGGCTTAGAGGCCCTTTGTCCATTCCCTACCTGGAGCTGTTCTCTGATGAGATTTACTTCCAGGCACCATGCAGCTGAAGCAGCAGCACCTCCCTAAGTGCTGACCAACCCCATGCTCTACCCACCTCTTCTGGTCCTCATCTGAAGGAAATACCTGGGCTCTCTTCATCCCACACCCGGAACTGGTCCAGTGCTTCAACTTCCCCTACAAGGCCTTCCTTGGACACAGGAGTGCAGCATGTGGGCAGCCCCCATGCCCCAATATCCTAACCAGCCCAGAGTGCCCTGCTCTCACCTCCCCTTGCCTTCTGTAACCTTGGAAGAACATTTTAACAATGGCGACTCACCCGACTCATCTCCCAGTGGGACAGGCTTCGGGGCAACGCTGGGTTGGGGACTGAGGCTAGAAAGAAATAGGCAGTCAGAGGGAGTGTCTCCTGCCCACCCACCCCTGGAGCCCTGGCCCCATCAGATCTACCATGTGACCACAGTGATGCCTCAGTTTCCTCAGCTCATACTGCTCTCCCCTCACAGTCCCAGAAAAAGCACATCTAGCCATTATACCAACTAGGGTCTGTCTGGCCCCACACCCAACTGCCACAGACCCAGCTCCTTCTTGGTACTCTTGGCGAGGATAGGCAGTGCTGGAAGCTCTTCTTCAGTCCCCTCATCTTCTCCCTCCTTGTCACTGTCTGATGAGAGAGCCGGTCCAGGAGAGACCATTGATGGGGCCTGGTGCCTGAGGTGGAGACAAGGAAGTGCATGGGCAGACGGACTCAACAGGGGGCGAGGAGACTCAACGCAGGGAGAGGCTGACCTCATTGATCCTTGTGTGAGAGGTATTGGGAGACTGAGTTGCTGAATGGCAGGCCCAGAGCATGGAGGAAGAGCGCTGAGGTCACAGCAAGCCATCTGCACACCCACCCATCGCTGGCCCACATTCTGTTCTCACCGGTGGGGTCCAGAAGCCCTTTGGGGAGAGGATGGTCCTTGCTGCTTGCCGCCCCACTGACGCTGGCGTAGCTCGGCCAGACGCTGCCTCATGCTGATGGTCATCTCAGAGCTCAGGCGCCACACAAATATACAGCTGGGGTAAAGCCACAGAGTTGGGTGAGACAGGGAGGACTCTGAAGGGGGCAACATCATTCGTTCCCTTATCCATGGCTGGGAAGGAGACCACAGCCACCCTCCAGGTCAGGCATGGCCAAGAGATATCCCTGTTAACCCCAATTCCCAGAGACATCGCTGAGATGAAGAGAGGAGAGGGCAGGGTCCTGTGGCACAGTAAGAATCTGTCTCTCAGCTCACCTGTCCCCAGACACAGAGATGAGATGTTTGCAATCATTACTAAATTTCATGCCAGTGACAATCTCTGTGAAGAACAAAGAATACGGTCTATAAACCACCTTGAACTTCCAACCAAGTTCATTCTGTCTGTCCCAACACTGGACACAGGGGTTGGCTGCAGGGTAGGAGTAGTAGCTCTGTGGGTCCCAAGAAACCAACAGAAGAGTAAAGTTCCAGGGGTAGAACTCACTCAGGTTCTACACAGGTATCAGCTTCTATTCAGGCATTTAGGCTACACTCACCTGAGTGCCCAAACATGGTGGCCACACACTCGCCTGAGGAGAAGTCAAAAATGGAGAGGTTCTTGTCAGAACAGCTGGTGGCAATGTAGATCCCTGAGGGGTCTGTCTGCACCTGAGGAGCAGGACGCACAGCTGGAGGATGCAGGAAGTGCCAGTCCCTCCCACCTGGTACCACCCTGTCCCCGAGCCCCTGTCCGGTGCCCCCTCCTGGGCCCTTACCTTGATGAGCGTGCCGTCCTCACCCTGTGACCCTTTAAACAGCTTCTTCTGCTTTCCGCTGCTGATGTTAAATACCCTGTAAGAAACACACTCTCTTTCACATGCCGGAGGCTGTGACAGTACAGCACGCCTGGGTGATGGAAAGGCCAACAGTCACCCCCAGCCTGCGCTCTCTGGGGCCACCCCAGCAGCAGAGGGGCTACCACCTCTTGGGTGAGGCAAAGTACTGTAAACTCAAGGGGTACAAGGTCCGGGACAGAACAACAGATGCTGGAACTTAGCTGCATGGAGCTGACCCCCTAGGGCAATGAAGGAATGTGGGCAGAGAGTCTGAGAAGGAGACACCCACCGAATATTTCGGTCCTGGCAGCCAATGGCCGTGTACTTCCAGCTGGGCTCCACATCCATGTCATAGAGGGTCGTCTTCCGCACCACGTGGTGTGTCCGTGTGAACTGCACTCCATCTCCAGACTGCAGGGACGGAGCGTGTGGGCAGGCCCACACCCGGATGCCTCACCAGGCCCCAAGAGCCCAACTTGCACCTCCCTTCATCTCTTGTAACCTCACGCAGGGGCATGGTAGACTCCGCTCTGCCCTTGCACCTCAGGAAAGCCCCACACCCTCACCTTCTGTGCAGTGCGGAAGTAGATGCTCTTGTCTGCTCCACAGCTGATCATGCGGACTTGTCCATCGCTGGCTATGAAGGAGGGGGGCCCAGCTGTTCCCGTCTCACCACATGGGAGCAGACTCTCTCCCACCTTCCCTCCATATGATCCCCTATCAAACTACTCTACATGCCAGGGAAAACCAACTAAATTAAACCTCAAAACCCAGGTTTTCCTTTCTCCCTATCCTCAGCCCAACCTGGCTGGCTCAAGTCCCTGCACTGAGAGTCTCTGTTCCACCTGTCTTCCCACCAGCTCCAGGCCTCCCAGCTGCTGTCCAACACTCCCCCACGACCAGCAGACCCTTCTCATGGAGGAGGAGGCAGATGGCAGCGGGGGTGAGGGTGGCAGCATGTGTCTCATTCCCCCTGCCCCACCTGCAAACTTGACTGCAGTGATGGAGGATGAGTGCTCGTCCAGGGTCTGCTGTAGGCTGTACTCCCGCCCCGCATCCAGCACGTGGATCAGCCGGTCCCGGCTCGCCGATGCTAGCAGTTTCAGACCTGGGGTTGGAAGAGCTACATCAGCCCATGAGTGCCCTGAACTCCCTTATCTGGTCCTGGCAAAGAGCCCCGAGGGAACTGAGCCCCATACACCAAGCTGTGTGAACCATGGAGCAAGGACAGAGCTGTCCTCCTCTAAACCAGCAAAGACCCCAGTGATCCAAAGGATTACCGACCCACATCCAAGAGCCAGGACAGATCTAAATGGCACCAGCAGGACTGGGTGAGCCCTGGGCCATTCTGGGCATTCTCCTGACCTGTGTCTGGCTTAGAATACTCCAGGCACAGAATCTCAGAGTCATGGGCCTCCACCTTCAGCATCTCACTCAGGGACTGAAGTTCATGCACCCTGCAGAGATGAGAAGAGGTGGGAAGAGGTTATGGCCAGGCCACAGGAAGGACTTACACCCCCTCCTCTGCTATATTTTGCCCCCCTACCTTTTTCCCTTTTTTGAACTTTTAGGCTTAGAGAAAGTTGCTGAAAGAATAGAAAGCTTCCCTATTTCCCTTACCCAGCTTTCCCTAACAATAGTGCAATTATCAAAACTAGGAAATTTATGTTGGTATAATACTATTAACTAGAGACCTTACTCAAATTTCACCAGTTTTCCCACTATGTCCTTTTCCTTGACCCCAGATCCTATCCAGATTCCAAATTGCATTGAGTTTCTTCTCCTTAGACTTCTGCATTATGTAACAGTCCTTCAGTCTTTCCTGACCTTTCACGATCTTGATGCTTTTGAAGAGTAGTGATTGCTCCACGTTATGCACCTCAATTTGAGTTTGTCAGATGTCTTCTCATACTTTTATTGAGTTGATGCATTTTTGTTAATAACACCACAGAAACATTGTCACACACTTCTTAGTACATCCTATCATGGGCTTCATGATGTTGATACGAGGGTGTTAATCTTGATCACTTGGTGAAGATGATTTCTGATAGGTTTACTCATTGTAAAGTTATTATCTTTCCCTTGTCAATAAATATTTTGTGGTCCAACATTTTTGAGTCAAACTCTCCCTAAAGTTCTAAACACCCGACTCTGCACCATGAGAGGCAGTCAGTACCCATCCTGGGCCTGCCATTACCTAAGTGTGCCCATACGGTCCCCAGATGCTAGATGCTGTCCATTGGGGCTAACGCACACAGAGCGGATGCCCACACGGGGATCCATCAGGGACGCATCAGCTTTCTCCCCTCCAGGCAGCTCTGTGTCCAGCAGGGCCTGGGTGTTCCCATCCACATAGATGATTTTAATGAGGTCCTAGTGGAAGAGGTTAGAAGAGGTGGATGAGGCAGGCCTGACCAGTACAGCTGCGAGGGGAGAGAAACCTAGGCAAAACCAACCCTTGGACCACAGAACACAGCCAAATGAGGGCTAGAAGGCCAAGGTCCCAAAATCAAGGTCCAGAAGTTGTGGGGATGGGGGCACTGAGGGTGCAGTGGGGGCCCCATGGCCTCAGGCTCACATTGCTGAGGATGTTTCGGTGCAGGGTGGAGCCATGCACCCCAGAGCTCTCTGTGTTCCACAGGCGGATGGTGTTGTCTGAGGAGCAGGTAATAAAGGAACTGGGGGGCAGGCAGGCCTGGTTACTGTCCTTCACCTCGGGGTAGACCTGAAGGGGTCAAGGGAACATAATCAGGCCTCCATTCGGAAGAAGTCCTCTGCCTACCCAAGGAGATGGAAGGGAATGGGATGGAAGACGGAATGATAGCCAGAACTCAGCCCAGTGCCTGCCATGGGCCGTAATTGGTATATACTCTTCATCATGACCAAGGGGAAGCATGTTAACCTGGCACCCACTATCTATCAGCCACTCTTCCATGTCTCCCACTTACATTATTTCACTTTATTCTTACAACAATTAGGTGAATCAAGTATCATTTTACACTGAGGAAGCTGAGGCTTGGTCAAGTCCATTAATTTGTCCAAGATCACTGAAGCAAAACTAAGGATGGGGCACACTGGGGAAGCCTGTAACATGCAAACTCAGTCCCCAGGATCTATCATGGGGAAGTCATAGAGAAACAGGGAGGCCACAGGAACATAAGGTTATACTTGGGGAATCCCTACTTTCTATCCTCCAAATGGTATCCCAGCCAACCAGCCCACATACCTCCACGCTCCAGACGCAGGAAGAATGATACAGTGCCGAGTACACCTTGCCCACTTTCTTGGGGTCCCTCACATCCCAAACATAAATGCTATGATCATTGTACACACAAGACAGCCACTGATTGGCAGGATCAAAGGTCAAGGCAATGGTGTCTGGATACTTGGCATTGGCCACTCCAGAGAAGAGGCGACTGTAGGGAAAGGACAGGACACACGGTGAGACTCGAGGGAATGAAACGGGAAGCCAATCCGCAATGGAAGAAATGTTGTGTGAGGAGCCCTCCCGGACCCGCAGGTTTGGAAGTAGTTGCTTGTGAGCAGGAAGGAGCCCCTACCAGCCATCAGCAGGAAGCTGACCCGGCACTAGCTGCTGGGCATGGTGCTCAGGTGAACAGTTTCACAGAACACCAATGTTAGACAAGGGAATTCTACGGCTGTGATGGGGCAAAACAAAAACAAGATACTCTGTGCACAGATAAAAACAAGATCACTAGACAAACCGCAGCAATGACCGAACACCCCCTTTCCCATCTACAGGACTGCGGGCGCTTCTTTACCAAACACAGCTTCAGCCCCATACCTTTCCTTTACCTCTTAGATATTATCTAAATCCCATAAGCCCCTCCCAACACCCACTTACTGAGTGAGACTCTCCAAAGTTTTCCACAGTGTGGGGTCTCCTTGGTTGCAACAATTACCAATAAACCCAAATTCTTCTGTCTAAAGAGGTGTTCCCAGTAATCTCTGGGCCATTAATATATTCTTTACCTGCTCCCTGACGCACTGCCAAGAAAGACTGGGCAGGGGCAAGGCTATGAATGGAGGAAGGGGGCCCATGTGGCTCACCTGGCCTCAGTGATGCTGGCAATGTCTGTCCCCAGAGCGTGGGGTCGGGGCAGGGTGGTAAGGAAGTGCAGGTTAGAGGGGTTGAAAAGGCGCACGGTGCCATCAGCACAGCCACAGAAGATGTAGTCTTGGCTCACAGAGATGCAGTGGGCCACTGTGGTCTGTGGGCAGAGTGGCTCAGCTCAGCAAGGCCACCTGCCCACTCACTCAGTAGTCTCTCCTCCCCACCCATCAACAGTCACCTGCCAAGAGGAGGGACCAGCCAAGGAAGGGGCAAGGGAAAAACCACCCAGCTGCTCCGTTCTGAGCCCCTCAGCCCCGTGCAGCCGGGAGACAGGAATCAGGGATTCTTCTAAGGCACCAGAGGATCCAGTAGGAAAAGTCCAGTGAAGAGAAAGAAACAGCATGAGAGAGAGAGGAAGGTGCAGGCAACACTTACTGTGAAGCTGTCTGTATTCTGAGCAGAAGAGGAAAGCAGGGGAAAGAGAGACAGAAAGAGCAGAGAGGAGGCAGTTATACAGACCACCAAGGGCTGGAACTGGGCCAAGCTCTAGCTCCCTCAAGCTTCATTCTCCTGGGATCTCATGTATTATTAAGGGCCTAGCCCCTACTCTGAAGCCCTGGGCACTAGTTCTCCCCCGAACTGAGATATGGGCTGACCCTACCCTTGGGGATGGAGGTGCTTACCCTCAGCTCCACCCACTTGTCCAAAAGCCTCCGATCACTGAACTCGCACAGCAGCCCTGAGGACGTGATGCAGAAAGTGCTGTCCGCCTTCTTCCCTCTGCCGCAGGCCACATCAGTGAATAGGTTGTTCCGTAGCTCTCCCAGCAGCCCTGAGCGACCCAGCAGGGGCACAGTGGCATTCACCTGTGGAGGCACACCACTGTTATCCCCCCATCCACTCAAGAGCCTGCCCCTGCAAACTAGGCCCCAGGAGAGGACGGGGGACGCCCCCAGGCCTCCTTGCTCTTTTAGTCTACTCCTCAGCCCAGACAGCATTTGGCTCATCCAAAACTTCTGCAGGACTGCTGGGGATGCAGAGAGAGGCCCAGGTGAAGCAGAGCTCCTGGGGAGGGCTTAGCAAGCCCTGGCCAGGGCCCTGGTGTCTACTCCCAGCCTCAGCACCTCACCTTTGAGGTCTTGCTGTCATCAAGATACCAGAATTTGATGTGCCGGTTGCCTGCAGTTACAAAGTAGCTGCAATCCTCAGAGAAGGACACTGCTGTCACCCGACTGGACACCTTGTTGGAGGCCACCACAATGTTTTTCTGGAGGGGATGCCAAAGGGAAGAATCAAGGCTCTGTCTCTTGGAGCTAAGAAGACAGTGACTCAGAGAATGGAGGAGAGTTAGAATTGGTACTTGGAAAAAGTGGTTTTCTTCCCAGAATTTACTGGCCAGAAAAAGAGGGGTGGGGAAAGAATCCCTTTCTAGAGGAGCTGAAAAGATTCATTTCCTGCAGAAGACCTTGTAAGGTATAAAGTTAGCCCCCTTCTACCAATATGCTTGGCTACACAGTTGCTCTTTTCTGCTTCAAATCCTTTTCTACAATGAGAAGGGTTTGGTGGGGTGGATGGGGCAGTGCAGGTCAGTAGTCTCTTGCTTTCCCACCTGACATTTGACCACTGTGAGGCTGCCAGGACACCCCACACAGCCACTCACCTTCCAGGCCCACACGTTGACGATCATGTCATGCTGGTAGCCCACAGAGACAATGTACTTGGCGCTAGGAGAGAAAGCCACACAAGCCACACCATACTTGTGCTCCTGCAGCTCGGCCACCTGGCTACGCTCTGCCACGTCCCAAACCCGCACGGCAGGCATGTGCCCACTCTGCAGGGAGGCAAGAACCGGAAGTGAGTTCTGTGGGTCAAGATGGCCAGGGGAGACCTACGTTAATTCTAGCTAAATAATTATAAGCTTGCTTGGCTCAGAGTAGACTGAAGTTTATACACCGAACTAAACTGTATTATTGGTGCAGTTAATTAGAAATCAAGTGGCAACAGGAGTCTTAAGGTAAAGACCATGTGAGAGCAAAGTAACCCGGGGAACACCGTGGGGTGGTTGCAGAGCAGGCAATACTGCTCTGGTCCCACGAATGCCTTCCCAATGTGGAGACTGCGTGAGGGTCTCATAAAATGGGCTTGTGCAAAGATCTCTGAGAAGGGAGGCGACCTCTGCATGGGAGCTGGTGAGAAGGAGAAAAGCCCTGCAGGGCAGAGGTCAGAGAATGCCTCAGGCTCTGCCTAGGAAGGTGGAGTGATTTTGATTGCTCTATGTCCTCAATGCAACCTTGATAAAAGCCCCTGGATGCATTAGGTGTGGTCAGAGCTGGTGGCTCCTCATCTGCTATACTTCTGATGTAGCCGCACCCCAATAACAACTGGTGGTAAACTCAAGAGTACTAGTTTAGCATGTCTTAGAAGGATCTTAAGTGCTCTCCCCCAGGCTATCTTAGATACCCCTTCACCCTGCCCTTCCATGCCCATAAGAGCTATGAGATTATACACATAATAAAAGTGTTTGAAGCACAGAGCTCAGGGGCCAACGGTTCCCACGCTTGCGCTGGTCCCCGGACCCATGCTGTACATTCTACTCTTGTGTCTCTGTCTTTATTTCCTTTTCTCAATCCCTCATCACCACCGGGACTAAGGGCACCTACGTACAGGGTTGGGGCTGGTACCCAACAACTTCTTAAGTTCTCCACAGGCATACAGCACCCCCCCCCACTTAGCCTTCCAGAGCGGGGCCCTTGCCTCCTCAGTTACTGGATACCATCCCTACCCCCTCAACCAAAAGTTGAGCAGGGTGCTACAGAGGGCAGGGAACAGAGGAAATATGATAAAGATCTGAGAGCAACACTGATTATCAGGGAGAAAGCGGCCCCAGATTTTACTCAGCATCTCTGGGCAGTCTGTACCTCTGTTTGCTCAAAGCTCCCTGAATGGTTCTGATGGGCAGCCAGCGTTGAGAGCCACTACCACTCAGGTCTATTTCTGCCCCTAGTAAGACTATGACCAGACAGAGGCATTCCTCCTGAGCCCAGCAGGGGGCCCCCGGGGATAAGGAATATTTAAGGCAGCGGTTTCCAAAGCACACTTCCCTGACCAGTGGCAACCGTGCTATCTGGGAACTTGTTACAAATGCAAATTTCAGAGCCCCATCCCAGACCTACAGAATCAGAATCTCTGAGGACCATCCCAGCAAGGTCTGCTTTCACAAGCCCTCCAGGTGATTCTGATGTACACTAAAGCTTGAGAACCACCGTTTTAAGGTACAGTGAAAACCAGGATTTGGTGTCTGTTTCAGAAGTCAAAGTGACAGCAGGCCTAGGACTGCAGCTCTCCTCTGCAGAGGCAAGGCCACCCACCCTCTTTACAGTACTGCCAGCCCTCTTCCTCACTCACCTCTCCAGTGACCAAGTACTTGCCATCAGGGGAGAAGGCAAGGGCAGTGATGGTTTTCCTGCAAGAGACGGGGCAAACTCAGAGGGGCACTGGCAGCCTGGCCTAAGCCTGGCTCTATCCCAGCCTCTCCAGAGGTCAGACCAGCAGACACCAATGGCACATGTGGCACTTCTCCATCTGGCCCTAGGGCCCAACCAGGTCCTAGCCCCCAGAGCCATAGAGACTCTAGACAGTGCCCTTCTCACAGCCCCCAGAAGGAAGAGGATCCTGAGGACCCAGGCCCATTTACCTGGAACTGTTGAGGATGTGGTGCTGTTTGTGTTTCCGGGGATTGAACAACACAACCACACACCTGCGGAGAGGAGCAGACACCAGGCTCAGCACCAAACCACAGCTCCCCAGGAGCCCTCCAGGCCACCCGGGACTTCTGGTCACCAAGCAGAGGGAGCTGGGCAGAGAGAGCTCAGAAGGGCTCTGCTGCTTTTTTCTTTACTTTTGAGACAGGGTCTCACTCTGACACCCAGGCCGGAGTGCAGTGGTGCAAACATGGCTCAACACAGCCACGACTTTTCAAGCAATCCTCCCACCTTAGCCTCCCTAGTAGCTGGAACCACAGGCATGTGTCACCATGCCAGTAATTTTTGTATTTTTTGTAGAGAGAAGATCTTGCCACGTTGCCCAGGCTAATCTTGAACTCTTGAGCTCAAGGGATCTGCCTCCCAACGTGCTGGGATTACAGCACAAGCCACCACACCCAGCCTCCACTGCTTTCTTCTGGCAAACTGTTCTTGCTCCTTTTCCCCATCCAAGACAGCCTATCTCTGTAGGCCCACAAGGGTGAAAGGGCTCCCTGGAAACCTGTCCCCACTACCAGGTCCCTAAATACCAGCTCTTTCTCTGGTCATACCCACAAAGGGTAGCAGGGACACAGGCCATCCCACAGCCCTTGTGCATACCTCAGGAAGGGGTATAGGAGGGAAGAAGAAATGTATTTGGGCAAAGCAGGCCTCAGGTATACAGCCTGTATGCAGGCTTGGGGCCACATGTATGTCTATCAAGCATGTGTGCCTTAAGATGTAAGGCCTCTTGTTTGCACCCATGTGTGTACTTGGCAAGAGCTGGCCCCCCACACCCTCCATGTGTTGAGTGAGGAAGGAAGTGGGAGGCCAGGCATGGGGCCACACAGCAGAGAGGCTCAGTCAGATAGGGTAGGGGGAGAGAGAGAGAGCCTGAGAAGGCCCAGGATAGCCTTACAGTGCCACGGAGGTCCCAGGCCCCACCTTGAAAATCCCTGGCTCCAAGAAACCTGAGAAGAGCTACCCTGACTGCCAGAAGCAGATAATCAAGGACTCTGTCCACCTCGCAGAGAAGGTGGGGCAACCTCTCCCATCAGGCAGCAAGGCTGCTGGATGGAATCAGTCCTGCCTTTCCAGAGGCAGCTCCGGAGACAGAAGCTGGGTAGTAGGAATCAGGGGCAAGAAGCCAAAGGCCAATAGCCAGGCAGCTTCTCCTCAGGCTTCTTGGCCGTCAGCAGGCCCTGGCCCATTACCCCTTGCCCGCCTCACCTCTTCATTAGCACTGAACTAGCAGACAGGAGCAAGCCTAGAGGCTGCGATTAGGAAAGGCAGGGAGGAGGGAAAGGGCAGACAGCTACTTCCCCAGGCCTGACTTTCCCGAGTGGGACCTCACTGCAGCCCCTGTATCTGAACACCACTACCGGCTGGAACCGTGAAGGGAGGTAGGTGCAAGCTGCTAGTGAATGCTAAGCATCTTGGGCTCAATAAACCACTTCAATATGCAAATTCTGGGACACTGGGACCTCCAATGTGACCGGATATGCCCAGAACTGCCAGGCTGACCAACAGCTGTGGAATTTCTGCGCCACATCATTTTCTCCTCAAATCCGCCACTCCTCCTCACTATTTTATTTCTCCTTTCTCCATTTCCTACTCTTTCCTTGTTCCTGTTTCCTTTTTCCTTTCTCTCTTTTTGGTTTTGTTTTTTTGAGACAAAGTCTCACTGTGTTGCCCAGGCTGGTCTTGAACTCCTGGGCTCAAGCAATCCTCCTGCCTCATCCTCCCAAGTAGCTGGGATTACAGGCCCATGCCACCCTACTCAGCCCTTCCTTTTTTTTTGGAGACAGGGTCTCATTCTGTCCACCCAGGCTGAAGTGCAGTGGCTCAATCTCAGCTCACTGCAACCTTCACCTCCCAGGTTCAAGCAATTCTCCTGTTTCAGCCACCCGAGTGGCGGGGATTACAGGCATCCATCACCAAGTCTGGCTCCTTTTTTTGTATTTTTAGTAGAGACGGGGTTTCACCATATTGGTCAGACTTTTCTTGAACTCCTGACCTCAGGTAATCCACCCATCTTGGCCTCCCAAAATGTTGAGATTAGACGTATGTGCCACTACGCCCAGCCAGATTTATTTAGATTTTAATACTTTATGCCATGTATAAAAAGTAATACCCCCAGGCCCGCCACCATCGTGAATTCAGAGCTCAGAAAGTTCTCAGGGGTTAACCAATGTTTTCTGAACCTTCTTCCAATCTGTGCTGACCTGAGACCCTCTGCAGGCACGTCTCTCCAGCAAAGGCTTCTAGTCTGAATGGGTACGAGTTCCTTGGCTTTTGGATTCGTTACACAGGAACCATGGTAGAGGTCTTCAGCTGAGAGTTGATCTAATTGAATTGACTTGATGCATAATCCAGTCAACCATATTCCAAATCCAGAAAAACTTGGCTCTATGTGCAATCTTAGGAGTTTTGCCTTAATTCTCATCCCAAAGCAGGATTTTGGCCTTTAAAGGGCAGTGCATCGGACTGCTTAAAACACTTTTCATGTCACTGCATTCAAACTCAGTCTCCCTGTGACACGACATCTTGTCTCCTCCTCCTATGTTCAGCTCCACGGTGGAAGGAAGAGGGGGATGGAGTGTGCTTCTATATAGACAGAAGGATGGCTGGCTAGAGGCAATGAGGCGATCTCTCCGTCCTCTAATACACCGCCTGGCCCCAGTATAGCCTAAGAAATTCTCAGGTGTGGCAGAGAAGAGCTAAGCAAGAAAAGGAACCACATAGAGGTCATCGCTTAAGGGAGTATTTTTATTTGGAAGCCATCCAACATGAGAAAGAGAAAGAGAGCAAGAGAGAGCCTGAAAGGCCCGGGAAAACCTTACAGTGCCATGGAGGTCCTGGGCCCCACCCTGAGAATCCCTGGCCCCAAGAGACCTGAGAAGAACCCCCCCGACTGCCAGAAGCAGACAATCAAGGACTCTGCCCACCTCGCAGAGAAGGCCAGGGCAACCTCTCCCACCAGGCAGCAAGGCTGCTGGATGGAATCAGGTTCTGATTCCATGGTCAAAGTTCCATATGCAGGGATGGTAACAAAGATGCTGAAGTGAGAGCAGCATGGCCAAGGTTCCCTGTGTGCCTGGCTTGTTGAGATCCAACCTGTTCTCAAAAGCAGCAAGGAGCCTTCTCAGCCTTCTTGGTGAACTCTGAGCAAGCTCCTAGGTCAGCGAGGGAGAGGAGGGCGGGGCCCGGTTTGTATCAGTCTTTCCCTCCACATCCCCTGACCCTGCCCAGCTGGGCAAGCCCTTCCTACAGTGCTTCCTGGGATTTCACCACATGCCAAGGGCTGGGTTGGTCCAACCAGCTGAGTCCTGCAACTCAGCACCTGCGGGTGCAGAGCGGCTGCTCACTCTCACTGGGAGGGTGTAAGGCCTCAGTACATCCAGGCCTCAACCTGGGGGAGTCATGTGGTGGAGTACCCGCGCCAGGTGCTGGGCCCACTGCCCAGGAAGGGCCAAGCCTTCAACATCCCCTTCCTGACACAGGTCCGGGCCTGCTGCTACCACAGAGAGCCCAGGATTCCCACAGGATCTACCTCCTACCACTCTCCATCCCCCAATGGGATGAGCCACGCATGGGGCAGCACAGACAGGGAGCAGGACACAGGAGGTCCAACTAGAGACCCTGGGCCTTTGAATGTTTTTCTTTGAGACCAGGTAAAGTCTGAGAGTGACTCACAGAGGCATCCCAAAGGGGCTTCCCGCCTCACTCAAAAGTCACCCTCTAGCCCTATTTATCATTACAACCCTTCCTGCATCACTGAGACTGTTTATACTGTTTCCAATATTACAACTGGTAATATTCCATATAACTTACGTTGTGGGGAGGGGATCTATCTTCAGACCCCAGATTGCCAGTTCTGTGAGGATGGTATTTCTGTTTTACTTACTGTTAAATTCCCAGGGCCTAGAAGATAGGCATTCAGTAAATATTTGTAAGTGAGTGAATATATGTTCAAGTCACTAGCTGCAAGATCTCAAAGCCCTGGCTGCCAAGGAATCTCCTGGGTAGCTGCATGTGAAGCAGGGCCCTGGGGAGCGGTCCATGGTTCTCCCGTACCTCAGGCATTTAGGACTGCTTGATGCTCAAGGGCAGCGTAGTGGTGGAAAGAGCAGAACATGAAGTCACGGGCTTGTCTGCTCACACACTGCATGATCCTGGGTGCCAAGTCCCAGCCTTTTCTTCTCGCAGGTCCCTGGTCTCTACTATCCCTGGCAAGTGCCCTACAGAGAATAAGAAGGCAGCGCTGTGCCCCTTCATTCAGCTCAGGTGTCACTGAATACAGTTCAGGAGAAGGATTCCGTCACACCCAGTGCAATGCTTCAAAGCTGAGGATCTCAGCATAAATTCTAACATGGGCTGGGTAAATGGAGGGCATTCTCAGGAGAGCAGGGTTTCCCTCTTCTCCTCCCCACTTAGAGCAAACAAGAGATTCCTTCTTAGCTGCCGGCTACATCCCGTCACCTTGCTAGGACACTTCCTACCTCAGCGGAAGAGGAGCGGCTGTGCACAGAGCACTCACCAAGCCACTCTGGCTTGGGAGTCAGGAGAAACCCATTCTCAGGACTGGCTGACTCCTCATAGGCACCAGGGGCTGTGCTGGGCTCAAACGCCCATCAACCTTCCACCACGACAGCTGGAGAAAAGGTCCAACTCAAACAAGTAGCTCAAAGGGACTGTCTGGCCTCTTCCGGCAAGGGGCTTCCCGTGGGGAAACAGCCAAGGGCGAACTCCAGGGAAGAGATGCAGCAGGCACTAGGACAGGCTCCACGCTCAGCCTGGAGTCCTACCCACCTCTGCCAGACACGCTGCCCGCCCTCCTTCCCTGTGCCGTTTCATTTCCTTTCAGAAAACTTTGTTTCGGTTTGATATTTGCCTCTGGGCCTCAGAGCATTTTCTGAGTTTTGTTTCTCTCCTTGTTTCTAGGATACCTGAGCTGGCTCCTAGAGCAACAGACACAGGAGGAGCCAGAGTGCGGGGGCTGGGGGCAGCGTTAGGATGATTAGATAGGAAAAGCGGAGAGACAAGGAGGGAGGGAAGAACCTGCTTGTGCTCACAATGACTCTGGTGGCCCCCAACATCACAGCAGCACATCAGGGAGCTCTAGGACACAGCAAAACTCAAACACACAGCAAGAAGCCATTCGCACAGAGCACTTGAAGTTCTAAGAAACCAAAAGTTCAGGGAACAGATTAAGGGCATTGCCCAGGGCTGGCCTAAGCCAAGCACACACACTCAGGTAACCTACTAGAGGTTCCATCAGGGAAGCCTCTACACGATCTGGAAGGATAATGACTCCCAGGCACTGGGCTGAGACCTGCCCATGAACATGCACAGGCACACGCCCTTGAAGGCCAGGCCTAGAGCCCAGGGGTGTGTGAGGAAGAAAGCGGGCAGGACTCCACACTCCCCAGGGCAGGGACACAGGGCTCAGCATGCACCACGTAGCACCCCAAGGCCTTTTCTGCCTATGCTACATCCAGCCCCAGCCCCACCTGCAACAAGAGAGAACCTGGCTTTCCCAGGCAGAGGCAAGAACAAGTGGAATTTCCCTGAGGCAGGCTGCACACGCTTATCCAGTAAAGAGGTCTTTCCATCAGCTTGCTGCTCTGGGAGAAAACGGAGGCTTCCACAGCACCCCTACTGCAGCCATTAAACACCAAGGTCCACTTAGGAAAGACACTGACCCTAAACCCAGGGGCAGAAGTCTCCTTGACACAGACTCAGCTGCCCATAAATTGGGCTCTTCTCATTCAAAGGGCAGGTAGGCAGCTTAGAGGAAAAGCAATTGTTAAAAATAAGCAGCAAGTGTGGTCTTCCCTGACCCTGTGCCATTTTCACAACTACAGCTCTACAGTCATACTTAGGTTAGAACCCACATACACACACTAGCTATGTTACCTCAAGCAAAATGCTTAACCTTTTTTGTTTTTTTAAGACACAGGGTCTCACTGTGTCCACCCAAGCTACAGTACAGTGGCATGATCATAGTTTACTGCAGCCTTGACCTCCTGGGCTCAAGCAATCCTCCCGCCTCAGCCTCCCAAGTTGCTAGGACTACAGGCACATGCCACCACACCCAGCTAATTTTTTCATTTTTACTTTTATGTAGAGACAGGGTTTTCACTATGTTGCCCAGGCTGGTTTCAAACTCTTGGTCTCAAGCAATCCTTTCTGCCTTGGCTTCCCAAAGCGCTGGGATTATAGGCACGAGCCACCACACCAGGTCTGCTTAACCTCTTGGAATCTCAATTTCCTCTTCTAAAATATGGAGGTGATAATAGTACCAACCTCAAAGTGTTGCTCCGAGCATTAAATAATTCATATAAAGTGCTTAAAAAGTGCCTGGGCATAGAATAAGTGCAGCCATGCATCACATAATAACGTTTTGGCCAACAGTGAAGGGCATGTATGACAGTGGTCCCGTAAGATCACAACGAAGCTAAAATACTCCCATTACTGAGTGACATCTTGATGATCCTGACCCTACGTAGTTCTATGTGCTAGGCTAACATGTGTGCTTGTGTCTTTGTTTTTTTTTTTTTAAGTTTAAAAAGTGAAAAAAAAAAAAAATTTAAGCTTATAGAACAAGATATAAATAAAATACTTCCGGGCCAGGCATGGTAGCTCACACCTGTAATCTCAGCACTTTGGGAGACCAAGGTGGACAGATCACTTGAGGTCAGAAGCTCAAGACCAGCCTGGCCAACATGGCAATATCCCATCTCTACTAAAAATACAAAAATTAGCTGGGCGTGGTGGTGGGTGCCTGTAATCCCAGCTACTCAGGAGGCTGAGGCAAGAGAATAATTTGAACCCAGGAGACGGAGCTTGCAGTGAGCAAAGATTGCGCCACAGCACTCCAGCATGGGTGACAGAGGGAGACTCTGTCATGGGAAAAAAAAAATACTTTTGTAGAGCTGTACTGTGTTTCTGTTTTACACTAAGTGTTACTACAAGAGTCAAGAAGTAAAAAAAGTTACAGTTTATAACGTAAGAAAAGTTACAGTGAGTTAGGTTAATCTATTATTGAGGAAAAAATATGTTCTTAAAATAAATGTAATGTAGCCAAGTGTACAGTGTTTGTAAAGTGTACAGCAATGTTCTGGCTCCTCATACTCACTGACTCACCCAGAACACCTTCCAGTCCTGGAAGCTCCATTCATGTAAGTGCCTTATACAAGCGTGCCTTTTTAAGAATATTTTATATGGTATTTTTACTGTACTTTTTCTGTGTTTATATATACAAATACCACTGTATTAGGATTATGGACAAGATTCAGAACAGTAGCCTGCTGTGCAGGTTTGTAGCCTAGGCACAACCGGCTTCACCATGTAGCCCAGGTGTGTAGCAGGCTCTACTACCCAGGTTTGTGTAAGTGTACCCTAACATGCACATAGCAACGAAACTGGCAAACGACACACTTCTTCAGCACATATCCCCATCATTAAGTAACACATGACTGTACTTGATAAAGGCAGTTTTTTTGTTGGTGGTGGTTTGTTTGTTTCTTTTGAGACAGTGTCTCCCTTTGTTGCCCAGGCTGGAGTGCAGTGGCGCAATCTCGGCTTACTGCAACCTCCATGTCCTGGGTTCAAGTGATTCTCATGCCTTAGCCTCTGGAGTAGCTGGGACTATACCACTACCTGCCACCACACCCAGCTAATTTTTTTTTGTGTTTCTGGTAGAGACAGGGCTTCACCATTGTTGGCCAGGCTGGTCTTGAACTCCTGACCTCAAGTGATTTGCCCACCTCGGCCTTCCAAGGTGCTGGGATTACAGGTGCTCCCAGTCCAATAAAGGGAGCTTTTTTGATGGGGTGATAAAATTAAGCAATCATGTATCTAGTATAAAAACTATAAAAGCTGCTATGAAAATTACATTGGGGAATGAAGTAGGCATTACCAAGCTAATAGCAGAGTAAGAAAGTACAGCAGCGGCCCTTCTCATTTTCACATTCCTGTGCCTATCACCATGGAACAGAGGGAGCCAGAAGCAGGAGGGGTTCTAACTTTCTGCAGACGCCTGAAGAAACTATGGTTGGAGGTTTCCCACTTATAGGAGCAGAGGAGTGAAAAGGCAGCAAGAGAAAGAACAGTAGCCCAGTCCTCTACTTCTCTTCTACAGCACTGATCTCTAAGTGACTAGAACAGACGAATATTCATAGCAGCATTATTCATAATAGCTAAGAAGAAGAAACAAGCTAAATGTCCACCAACTGAAGAATAGATAAAATGTGGTACATTCATGCAATGCAGCCACAGAAAGGAATAATAAGGCAGTGATACGTGCTACGACATAGATTAACCTTGAAAACATTATGCTGGCAGGCGTGGTGGCTCACGCTCGTCATCCCAGCACTTTGGGAGGCTGAAGTGGGGGACTGCTTGAGCCCAGGAGTTTTAGACTAGCCTAGGCAATACAGTTAGACCCTGTCTCTACAAAAAATGGAAAAATTAGCTGGGCATGGTGGTACACACACATCACCCCAGCTACTCAGGAGGCTAAGGCAGGAGGCTGAGGCAGCAGTCAGTCATGATTGCACCACTGTACTCCAGGCTGTGCAACAGAAAGAAAACTGTCACTAAAGGCCAAATACAGTGTTATCTGATTCAATTTATGTGAAATATCCAGAACAGGCAAATTAATGGAGACAGATTAGCAGTTGCCTAGGGATGAAGGTCTGGTGAGGTGGGGGTGGGAATGAAGAGTGCCTGATAGGAACGGGGCCAGGTACAGTGGCTCACGCCTGATATCCCAGCATTTCGGGTGGCTGAGGCAGGTGGATGGATTGAGTTCAGAAGTTTGAGACCAGCCTGGGCAACATGGTAAAACTCAATCTCTACAAAAAATTAGCCAGGCATAGGGGAGTGCACCCATAGTCCCAGCTACTTAGGAAGCTGAGGTGGGAGGACTGCTTGAGCATGGTGGGGCGGAGGTGCAGTGAACCGAGATTGAGCCATTGCTTTCCAGCCTGGGCGACAGAGCCAGACCCTGTATCAAAAGAAAAAAAAAGGAACAGAGTCATGAAAATATTCTAAATTTGACTGTGGTAATGGTTGCACTACTCTGTGAATACACTAAAAACTAATTGGATATTTTAAATGAGTGAGTTATACAGTATATGAATTACATCTCAATAAAGCTGTTTTTTAAATGACTGGAAGGTAGTTATTGAAGGTAGTTCTGGGAACTGTATGTAATATAAAGTGCAAATCTGTGTGTAGGAGGCGGGGTAGATAACCAAAAAGAAGGACACGATGGCAATAATGACAGCACCTGACAAAGAACTTTTACCTGGACCTGCGTCTCTTTACAAAAATAACACCAACACATTAACCTGGATGTATCTTCCAGAAGATATGAGAAAAGCCCTGCCCACTCCAGCTGGTCTAGCATGGCTATAAATTCCCACACAACAAGATCTCTTCCAAGGAACTTACCCTGCTGGGTAGGCAACTAAACCTGATCGGGGGTCACAGGCAAGTCCTCTGCCTCCAGACACTGTAATTCCCAGCACCTTCTCCAAGGTCACCTGTTACAGCAAGACAGAAGTTACATGTTATAGACAGAGTGCATTGTGGAAGAAGGTGCTACAAGTACCTGGGACCATCCTGAGGCACTGGCCACTTTCCAGATGCCCACGTCTTCAGGAGAACAGAGCTATGACTTCTGCAGCTTCTTCTGTTCTGGCCACCGGGCTTGTTGATCGCATGGGAAAAACCCAATGTGCATCACCTATTTTTAGCAGGGCTCAGTCTGCTGGTACCATAGAAAAGAAAACCAACTCGTTAAAGCACAACTCATGGCCACAGAGGAACAAGGATTCCCCCAAACCAGGAAGGCACCATGTATAAGGTAGCGCCTGGGGTCCCCAGACTAGATGGTCTGTGAGACTCAGGGGAGGCCACTGATACTCGTGCTTTGGCAAGCATGAAGGAAAGGCCATTCTGACTTACCAAGAGCCAAAAGAATGTTAGGTATCAATTAGGTGACTCATTAATATCCTTGACCTTTGCCTTCTATCAGGTTCTTCCCCCACATCAGAGGGCTCTGCCTCACAAATGTTTGCCAGTTGATACAGACTACAATCCAAGGAGGCAGAAACATGGCTTAGTGCTGTGTTCCACAAAGCACCGATGTTCAGGGTACTCTAATTATTATTAAGCCGCAACTCCCACAGAGAAAAAAGGGAAACATATAAAATGCTCAGAGATTCTGAGATGACATGGCCACTGGAGACATGCATCACTCTCATCATTAGTATTGTTACCCCACACTGTCTGCAGGCCCCAGGACCCAATCAAACTAGTCTCAAATTAATTCACTGGTCTTTATGCTAGATGATGCCAGGTGAGATTGAGACTTCCCTCTAACCTCTTGCTGTCACTCCATGTCACCGTCTGCTCCAGGTCTTTCACTTGCTGCTCCAGGTCTTTACCTGCTCCAGGCCTGTGCAGTCCCTGTACTGGCCCTGCTCAGGAATGCCCCTGGTCTCCCCTAACTCAGAGAGTGGGGCTTCAGAATGCAGAACAGACATGTGAACAGGGTAACCAGCACTCTGCTATGAAAACACCAACCCTGAGAGGAGTCTCGGAGGCCCTAGGAGGGCAATGTAAACCAGAAACACTTGGGGGTGGATGCTTGTGGCAGGGGGTCTACTCCTAGTCCAAGTCAGTGTCTAGAGAAGGGAGGCTCAGAATCAATTAGGGCAGTTTTGGAGTTTCTCCTCCTCTTTTACTATTCCAACCGCAGAATCAAAAGTACTCCTAGAGGGGCTGGGAGCAATGGCTAATGCCTGTAATCCCAGCACTTTGGGAGGCCGAGCTGGGCAGATCATCTGAGGTGAGAAGTTTGAGGCCAGCCTGGCCAACACAGTGAAACCTGTCTCTACTAAAAATTAGCCAGGTGTGGTGGTGGGCGCCTGTAATCCCAGCTACTCAGGAGGCTGAGGCACAAGAATCGCTTGAACCTGGGAGGTGGAGGTTGCAATGGGCCAAGATCATGCGGCTGCACTCCAGCCTGTGTGACAGAGTGACTCTTCGTCTCAAAAAAAAAAAGTACTCCTAGAGGACCTGTTTAAATTCTTATCTCTGAGGATCATTTTAGCTTGAATTAGGTTGGAAGGAAATGCCCTGTGGTGGCCAAAGACCAAAATAAGTCTCCTGAGATGTTACATTTAAAACCTATTCCCCAGAAAGGCTCCCAAGGGTATCTGTGTATCTTGGGGATGCAGACGAGGAGTTCTACCGTGTGCCTGCTCACGGATAGATGTGGTTTCAATGCAGGGCAGCAACCCACAGCCACCTGGCAAGCACCAAACTTGCCAATTACCCTTGAGCCAATCTGAGGCACTAAGTCTAGTGTGGAATAAAATAACTTTGGCCTTCTCTATACACTCTTAATGGGTTACTCTAACTTATGCCTGCTCTACTTTTTCTCAGCTTAATGATCCACTGGCACCCAGTCACCGCTTACTGACTGGAGAGCAACAAAATCATCCTGGGGAAGTCTAGGGGATACTCAGTTTAAGCCACCACATCATCCCGGCACTACACCTTCAACTCTCCCAGAGGAAGGGATATTCAGGGACATTCCTGCTACACCCACTGCTTCTGCAGACAGGAAAGAGAAGGGCCTCAGGCTGGCATGACCCACACAGCTAGGAGAGGCCAGAAAATCAAATGTAGTGAGCTAAAGGGCTGCTCAACTCCTATTTTCTCCTGCTAATCTGATTTAAGGTAAATCCTTTGGATTCAAATTTGCACTGATCGCTTCCCTCCCTCATGCCTCAGTGTTGGTCCCCAAGAATTACACCGAGTCAGTTGATTCTCAGCTGATCTTCTTTCTAACAGGAATTTGGGTAGGTGTTTTGTGGGCAGATGAGCCAATTCCAAAGAGAATTAATTCTCTAAAGCAATCTAAAGCAAGAAGGAGACATGGGCTACTAACACTCTAGAGACCAGTGTTTATCAAAGTTTTTGGCCATGCGCTACAGTAAGAAACACATTTTATATCATGATCTGGTATATAGAGACGTGTGCGCATGTGCATACAACTGAAGGTTTCACAAAACAATATCCTATTGCATATCATATACTCTATTTTCTATTCCATTTCATTAAAAAATAATTCTGGTCATGGCCCACTTTACTGAGTTCATGACCTACAAATGGGCCGGAAGCTCTAGTTTGGGACACCCTGCTATAGAAAATCTCTCTCTGCCAGGCCTGGGTGACAGGCTGCAATCACCGGCACCTTTGCGTTCCTTAGTCATTTTCCTCCTAGGACTCAGAGCAGTAGAACGCACTTCCGTACTAGGAAAACCCCACAGGCAGGAGGTTGCCTGGGCTCAAAACTTGGCTTATTTTCAAAGGATTTATGTTTTTTGGCTTTTTCTGGCTTTCTAAGCAGCTATCCAAGGGGGGAAAAGAAAGCCGTTTCCTTTGGCTCTGTGGAAGGGAGGAGCAGGGGAAAACAGTCAGGGGCATCAGCTGGTTTTTATTTTATGTTCTTAACTCAAACCAGCTTCCTGTTTGCAGGGAGGTTTTGGGCTGAGCTCAACTTTCAAAGGATCTAAGAGTCCAGAGTTCCTGCAAGGCCTCTAACATGTAGGCTTATTTTGCAAGGCTTCAACATGACGGACTTCATAAACTGACTCTCTCCCTCTAATAACTTTCTTCCTAGCCTCCTTTCCAAGAAGGTGGTAGAGCTTCTCCCTGCCTTAGAAATGGAGACAAACTTAACATCCATTTGCCAAAGACAGTTAAAAAAAAGAAAGAAAGAAAGAACTGGGCATGGTGGTGCATGCCTATAATCCCAGCTACTCAGGAGGCTGAGGCAGGAGAATTGCCTGAACCCAGGAGGCGGAGGTTGCAGTGAGCCGAGATCGCACCATTGCACTCCAGCCTGGGTAATAAGGGCGAAACTCAGTCTCAAAAAAAAAAAAAGAAAGAAAGAAAGAAAAAGAAAATGGAGACAAACTTCGACATCCCCGACAAACACAACCGGGTTCAGTGCATTCAAGTTCAGTCGGTGGTGTCCGGAGCTGGCTTGCACCAACTCATGAATACTGACTCTGCAAAACTTTTCCCACAGTCAGAGCTAGCACAAGAGTGGCCCTGAAATCACCACCGCACGACGGCTTATACCATGGAAATCAGCAGAGGCTCACAAATCTTACAAATCACAGCTTTTTCCCCTCTCACAGAGCCTGTAAATATTTGCCAGCATGCCACTTAGTTCAAGTCACATTTATCTCTCACTTGGGCTATAACACCCATATGTTCTCCCTGCTTCAGGCCTTACCCCCTATAGTCTTTTCTCCACATGGTAGAGAATCCCACAGGGATTCTTTTAAAATATAAATGAGACCATGTCATCATTGTGCCCCAAACCCTCCAAATGGCTTCTCATCTCCCTTAAGTTCAAATCCAAATACTCTACCCAGGTTTACAAGGGCCTAAAGCCTTGAGCCTCTGGCTACCTCTCTGACCTAATTTCTTATACCCTCCCCTTCACTCACTGACTCCACCCCAGCCAGCTTACCAACTTTAAGCACCTTAGGCAGATTCTAGCCTCTTGTCCTTTGCATATGCTATTTCTTGGACTAAAAGGCTCTTCTCTCAGCTGCGCACAGAGCTAATTTCCTGAAGTCTTTGCTCAAAGTTCTCTTCCTCAGAGAGGGCCTTCCAGACTAGCTCTACTGCCATAATTCTATACCCAACTTACCCCAGCATTATTTTTCTTCATAGGTCACAAAGGCAGGTAGCAACTCGATATTGATGATCTCTCTGTCCCTGCTCTTACTGCCTGTCTGTCCCATCAGGATGTGAGCTCCTTGAGGACGGGACCTAGGTTGCTATCCTATGGATGTAGCCCCAGCACTTTAAACAGTCTCTGGCACACAGCGGGCACTTGAGGCATATTTAAGGAATAAATGAATGCCTTGCAGAGGTTTCAGAAACAGTTAAAGCCCAGGAAAACTGGGGTATTTCTGGCCAGTAAGGTTGTTCCCCACAAAGTATCTAAAACTGGTTGTGATATCAGCTATGAGCAGCTGAGGACAAGCAGAAAGGGCACTAAATGGTACAGGTAACCTTTTGCTTCTTAAGCTGATGGTAGGCACACACACTTGCTTATTATTCTATGTCTTTATTTTATGTCTTAAATGCTGTGCAGCAAATATTAAAAAGAGAGAAAATGTATAGTCAAAGATGTGGTATGGGGCTCAGGACCTTATGAGCAACATCCTTCTACAACTCATGTCCCCACTTCTCTCTCTAGCCTCAAGCCATTTCGTTGACACTCACTGACTTGGCAATGTGAAGGGAAAGGGTATGAAGAACTCAAAAATCTGGGTGGGGGGGGCTGGGGGGGATTTTGAGACAAGTCTCACTCTGTCACCCAGGCTGGAGTGCAGAGGGGCAATCTCAGCTCACTGCAACCTCCGCCTCCCAGATTCAAGAGATTCTCCTGCCTCAGCCTCCCAAGTAGCTGGGATTACAGGTACCCACCACTGCACTTGGTTACTTTTTCTATTTTTAGTGGGGAGATGAGGATTCACATGTTGGCCAGGCTGGTCTTGAACTCCTGAACTCAAGCAATCCACCCGCCTTGGCCTCCCAAAGTGCTGGGATTAACAGGCATTAGCCACCGCGCCCAGCCAAAAATCTGTGCTTTAAGTTTCTCGCTTCTGTGCTTACGCAGCTGCACATGTGTATAATTCTTTAACACGTCACAGAACCACTGTGTGCACCCCTCTTCCTGACTGTTCAGCATGGCAGCAGGTGATGAGTTGGGCCCCTTGGCCCATCTGAATATGTAGCATGGGCAAGAAATAAACTGTTGCTTAAGCCAGAGGGATTTTGAAGTGGTTTGTTACCAAGCAGGACCTAGCCCAGAAATTTTTCAGACTTTTTGGTCTTGGGACCTTTTTACAGTCTTAGAACTCATCAAGGATGACAGAGGGCTTCTGTTTAGGCAGGTGATATCTATCCATATTTACTGTATTTGAAATCACGATGGGAAACATTAACAATACTTACTAATTCAGTTAAAAATAACAAACCCATTACATATTAACATCCTTATTAAAGATAATTCTATTTTCCAAAACAAAAACAATTAGAAGAATGGCACTGTTTTGCATTTTTTAAATCTTTTTCATATCTGGCTTCATAGAGAGAGCCGGGTTCTCACATCGGCATCTGTATTCAATCTGTTCTGACGTTCTCTAGAGGAAGGATATGAAGAAAACCTAGCCTCATTTGGATATGGAGTTGGAAACAAGACATCATGGACCCCCAAAGGGGTTTTGGGGACTCCAGGCTTCTCAGACCACACTCTAAATCCTACAGCATCTTTCACATGAGGAAGCAAGCCGACGCGTGAGAGGGTTCTGGGCTCAAAGATCACTTGAAGAAAGTGAGGGAGGAAAGAGGCCCTGTGAGAAAGTAGCTGTCCGCAAAGTCTGCGACGTGGCCCAAAGTTCTGACAGGAACTTCAGCTCCAAACCTTCAAGGCCCAAATGCCAATGAAATACAGCCCAAGAGACACACTAATTCAGGCAACTGTGTCTGGGCAGTGACTTGGGACCCATCCATTGACAGCTCTAGGAACACTGCTTCATGCACAAGTGGAAACTCGGAAGGAAGAAGAGAGGACCCACTTGGTTCTCTGCAGTGAGCTCCTCCACACCTGAAATGCAGCCTCGGATACTCAAGCTGTGACCCAGCTTTTGCTCTAGCAGGTGCAGAGTGTTGAGATGGAAGAAAGCGTATACCAACCTGACAGAGGTGTCATCTTTCCCCTGAAGCAAGGCTACTGGAGGCAGAATTACTGCAAGTATAATTCGAGGGAGGGCTTGAATACCCACCACTCGCAGTAGGAAGCAGGCAGAGCACTATCATATCCTCCCGAGAGAAAGAGGGCCAGCAAAATCATCCCTCACTTTAATAAGATAAAGGGGTAACCTCATACTGGCCTATTCCCAGGAGAGAAAGAACAAATAAAGCCAAGTGTTTAAGTGCTCTTCTGGCTCTCATAAAGTAGATAAAAAAAACAGGTGGTGTAGAGGCAAGAGTCAGAACTACTCATTCATACTAGATAGAACAGTGGTTTCCAGCCTGCAGATTGCAGTCTCTTTTTTTTTTGAGACAGAGTTTTGCTCTTGTTGCCCAGCTGGAGTGCAATGGCATGATCTCAGCTAACCACAACCTCCGCCTCCCAGGTTCAAGCGATTCTCCTGCCTCGGCCTCCCAAATAGCTGGGATTACAGGCATGAGCCACTACACCCAACTAATTTTGTATTTTTAGTAGAGACAAGGTTTCTCCATGTTGGTCAGGCTGGTCTTGAACTCCTGACCTCAGGGATCACCTGTTTTTAGAGCATGGAGAAGATAAGGTACAGGCAGTGAGAAAGAGAGGAGAACCAGGAAGCCGGTGAAGCGGAGAGCTCCCAGAAGGGAGGGGTGGTCGATAGTGAGTGATGAAAGAAATTAAGGAGACAAGGACAGAACTCTCCAGAGTCCAGAGCCATCCGCAAGAAAGATGGCACAGTACAGGGTCCCAGGTAGTCTCGGAGCCCTAAACACCCAATCCTAGACGCTGAGCAGGGCCTTCTAAGCTTTTCTGCTCTCTCTCAAGTTCCTGGATCTGATCAGTCCATGATATAGAGAACAGGCACTAGCCAATGGAAGAGAGACGGTGCAGCCCAGACAGTGGCACTGTTAGGAAGGGCTTCTTGCTTGGACCCACAGCAGAAGTTGTCAGGAAGTGCTCTCCCTTTCTCAGTGTGAGGGATCCCTACAAGGAGTCTGACATGGCATGAGAGTGGCTGCTCCCTCCAGATAGAGAACTAAGAGGCCAGAGTGACAAAAGGCAAGACTCACTTAGGATTTGCCTGACCTCAAACTGGTAAAGAAACCCCACAACTGTGAGAAAAACGATCTGTTTTGGTTGCTATGTTTTGTTGCCACCAGTTTCTTTCTTCCCCCTTTTCCCCTCCCCCACTTCTCAATCCCACTCAATTCAAGTTATAAATACCTGAGTTGTAAGTCATTCCAGCCAAACCATGGACTTGCTATTTCTATCATCAAGCACGTCCAAGGCAGAGCACTCTTCGCCTTCCCCTCCCTTCCTACAGGTTAAGAACTATATTTGTCTCTTGCCCACACACTACGCTCTAATCTCACAAAGCAGATCCTTTATCAGATTCTGAGAAGTGCCACTTAGGCCAAGCCACAGAAGAAGCCAAAGCCAGCAGCCTTTATGCAGACTTAGGCAGTGAGGCAGAGATCCCGTGACTGGACAGGGAGTGGGGAGGAAGGACAGGTATCATGACCAGGCTAACGCATTCCTGCCCCTTCAAAGTTCAAAGTGCCATCTGGTCAGAGGGAGGCTGGGGCCCAATGGCCACCCGAAGACTTGGGTCTCATCTCTGCTCCTGGTCTCTACTCAGTTTGGCTAATTTAGAGTTCCATCTATACGACAAAGACTCCCAGAAACAAATAATTCCAATGCAACAAACAAACAAACAAAAAGCGTATCCTGCTTAACAGTTCAAAACTAGTTGGAGCTGAGCCAATTCTGCAGACTAAGATTAAAACAGCTTTAATTTCTAAGGAAGGTGCAGTGCCACTGCTTGGAAAGGATGAGCTGTCAAAGCCTCTAGCTCTGCAAACAACGAGACTGGAACAAAAGTTCCCAAACGTGGCAAGTCAACAATGTACGTACCCAAAGAAATTAAGCTTTTTTCATGTGACAGTCCCAACTCTATCCCCGCCCCATCCTCTTCCCTTGACTGCCAGATTCTCAATGAAAAGATAAGAAGTAGGGTTTAGCCAAGCGCAGTGGCTCATGCCTGTAATCCCAGCACTTTGGGAGGCTGAGGCGGGTGGATCACGAGATCAACAGATCGAGACCATCCTGGTCAACAAGGTGAAACCCCGTCTCTACTAAAAATACAAAAAATTAGCTGGGCATGGTGGTGTGTGCCTGTAATCCCAGCTACTCAGGAGGCTGAGGCAGGAGAATTGCCTGAACCCAGGAGGCGGAGGTTGCGGTGAGCCGAGATAGCGCCATTGCACTCCAGCCTGGGTAACAAGAGCAAAACTCCGTCTCAAAAAAAAAAAAAAAAGAAGTAGGGTTTAAGAGCCTGCTATTAAAGCTCTCCAGGTGGTTCTAATGATTATCAGATTGGGAACTACTAAATTAAAGCATTTGCTCTTTCATTTCCATATTTTAGCCTCTCTTGGGTTAGTCTCAATGTTCCAGGTATTTTTCCAAGAACACACGGGGGGTACAAAAGAGTCTGGCGCAGAGAGAGCTGCCATTTACTGAGTGTATACTTTGTGCCAATAACTGTTCTAAGCACTTCACTCATTCAATACTCTGAATCATGAAGGACTAGGATTATCGCCATTTTACAGACGAAAGAGGTAAGCAGTGAGTGGAAGAACCAGGATTTAGACCTGGGGCTGTCTGGTTCCAGAAACCACGGTGCTTTGAGGAGAGAGTTCAAATTTTCTAGAACCATCAGAATGCTACAGTTTCTGAAACAGCACACAGGGAAGTCACTATGCCTTTGTGCGAGCATCAAGGCCGGGTCTGAGAGCCAAGATAGAAGGCAGAGGGCAACAAGACAGAAGGACAATAGAGACCTTTCATGCAATCTTTAGCATTAACAACAACAACAACAAAGTAGCAGCTAAAATGGGTCTAAAAAACGGGTTCTGACTTCTCCTCATTGAGATGGTTGCAAAGAAAGAGGGAGGGTCTTCCTAATGGCAGATTATCCCATGTGGTCAGAGCTTGCCCATGTCCAGCCTATGCAAGAGCCAAATATAGACAGAGGACGACCGTTTCCAAGGCAACTGGCATTGCAGTGTCAGAAGCAGGAGAAGCTGATTTGTATGCAGATGGAGGAAGAGGTAAGGAAGGCGTCAGACTAGAGGGGGAGGGAATGAAGAAACTCTAGCTAAAGGGCCCAGTTATATTAATAGCACAGTCATCAGCACGTGCCCAAGTCCAGAGAGCAGATTTAACAGCTTTTACAGTGCCTGGTAGAGCCCTTCTGCCCTCTCTTTCTCTTCCACAGTTAACAGAAAGTCAAGAAAAGAAGTTAGATCACTATAAGCATGCGGAATTGGGGTGGGGGTGGAGGTTGTACATTTTTTTTTCTCTCAAGTCAGTCCTCTCTACAGTACTAGAGCAAGACCAGAACCACAAACAAAGCTTTACGAGCTAAAAATCTGATCATCAAAAGGATCTAATTCCTTCTTATACATACCAACTCTACACACCTGAGCTTTCTTAAACTCTTCCTTTTCTATTTTGTTACCAGGGAGAATATTAACTGTTCCTTATCTGGATGAAGTGTGCGAAGTGAAATGTGTCTCCTGGAACAAAAACGAGAAAATGGAGGGCTCTCAGTGCCCCTACAAGCACATAGCTTATGCCATGAAACTCTCCTGGGAAGAAGGTAGGTTTCCTCAATCTATTCTCTACAAAATGCCAACATCCCAGTTTAGACCTTCAACACATTCCTGGATATAGCAATGGCTTTCTAATCAATTTCCTTATTAGAGGCTCTTTCCTCCCCTCCTCCAACATATCAGCATAATTTTCCACAGCATAGCTTTGATGCATGTTCCTCCCCTGCCCCAAAGCTTTTTCAGTCACTCCTTCCTATCAACTAAATAAAATATAAATGTTTCAGCCTAGAACCAATGAACCCTACCCATCTCATAATTCTATTTCCTACCACTCATCTATATGAATCATGTGCATTTGTCAATCTGGACTATTCATTTTTCTGGAAAGGAGCCTCGGGGCTTTAGCTCATATTCTTCTAAACTTCCCTGCCACTACCCTATACTGAAATCCTCCCTTTCCTTCCAGGACCAGCTCAAATGTCACATCCCCTCCGATTCTTTCTGTGACCGCCTGGCCAGAAATGATTCCTCCCCGTCCTGGGTACTCTTACAGCAGCACTTAATTTGCATCATTCATATGGCATGCACTGCTTAGAACCTTGTAAAGAACTTCTACTCTTTATGGATTTGTCTTATCTCTCCTACCAGTCTATACACTCCTGGAGGGCAGAGGTTGTATGTCATACAATCATACGCTTATAGCACAGGGCACAGTGTTTAATATATATTTGTTGAATCAATTTTTTAAATACTCAAAAACATTTCTAAAAAACTTAAAAATCTCTATGAATACGCTTCAGTTAATCTGAATTCTCTTACCTCCTAGAGAATTCTCCAACTATATATCAATGCCAGCCCTAAAAGCTGAAGCGGGAGATTTTGATGCCTTTCCAGAAAGACAGAGGAAGACCTAAATAACATAATCTATGTGTCATACATGATTACAAACAGAACACTCTAATCCCTGACTTTAGTAAAGACATGCATGGCATGGCTCTTCACAAATCCGACTTAAGTTATAATTAAATAATATGTTCAAAGCTGGGTGCGGTGGCTCACGCCTGTAAATCCAGCACTTTGGGAAGCTGAGGCAGGTAGATCAAAATGTAAGGAGTTCAAGACCAGCCTGGGCAACATGGTAAAACCCCTCTATACTAAAAATACAAAAATTATCCAGGCATGGTGTTGTGCATCTGTAGTCCCAGCTACTTGGGAGGCTGAGGCAGAAGAACTGCTTGAACTCAGAAGGCAGAGGTTACAGTGAGCCGAGATCACACCACTGCACTCCAGCCTGGGCAACAGAGCGAGACTCTGTCTCAGGAAAAAAAAAAAAACAGAGTATGTTCAAGAAGATTAGAGATGGTTAAAAAATAAAAGTGACGAACCATAACCCTAAAATAAATTAATTAATTAAATATAAGTGACCATGTTGATCAAAAAGAGCTTTAAACGCACTTGATAATCAGAACAATGTTGTCTCTAGGTGTTGGAATTATGCATGATTTTTTTTCCTCTTTATGCTTCTCTGTATAAAAGTTGTATGAAATCTTTTCAGAAAGCACACATACTTCAAAAAGTATCAAAAATATTTTATTTATCAAAGATAACCAAGGAAATATTTTTGAAACTGGCCGGGCATGGTGGCACAGGCCTATAATCTCAACAGGAAAAAACAAATCTACTTTGTGAGGCTGAGGCAAGTGGATCACTTGAGGTCAGGATTACGCCAGTAATTCCCAGCTACTCAGGAGGCTGAAGTAAAAGAACCACTTGAACCTGGGAGGCAAAGGTTGCAGTGAGCTGAGATCCCGCCACTGTACTCCAGCCTGGGTGACAGAGCAAGACTCCATCTCAAAAAAATAAAAGAAAAAAAAATGAACTGTCTCAAATTCAACAAGCTTATCATTAATCTTCAAAAAAATATTTTTATGTCCTATTACTTCTTTAATAAGCAAAAAAGCTTATTATACCAGATATATTTTTCAATAGCATTTGTGCATAACTGCTTTAATAAAATGAGCATACAGATTTTAAATTTTAAACATCTTAGATTTACATATGAAATACTCATGTTTAAACTGAAGAGACTTCCATCTTTATTTTTTTTCTACTTACAAAAATAATACAGGCTCTTTGTCAAAAATTTAAACATTACAGAAATATATAATGTAGGTAGTCAAGGTCCATCATAATCTACTATCTCTCCCTGAGATAATCAGTATTAACAAGTTTGGTATTTATAGCCTCACTTTTTAATATGCATATACTAACATCTAGATGTTTTAACAAAAATATAATCATTAACATAAAAACTGTTGTACAATTATTAACATAAAATTGACATAAAAAACTTTTACAATTTGCTTTTTTCCCCCACTTAAGATATCTTGTGTACTCTTACACATCAGTACATATAGATTAATCTCATTCTTTCCAGCAGGTACAAGGTATTTCATTTTATGGATGTCCACCAATCCCCTACTTATAGGTACCTGGATTACTTCAAAATTTCTCTCCTATCAAAAACACCAAAAAATTCAGTTATATACACCTTTGTGCAGTATGAGTGTTTACACAGATTAAGATACTAGAATTATAACTGCTGAATAAAAAAATATGAATATGCAAAATTTTCTAATGGATACTACCAAATTGTCCTCTAAGAGAGTTAATGTATGCTTTCACTATATCTTCACATTTTCATGTATCTTTTTTTTTTTTTTAAGAAAAAAAATTTAAATAGACTATTTCACTCTGGTCACAATATTATAAACTTAAATAATGGGTTATAAAATTAATACATTTTCACCCGGCCTGTAGGCTAATTCATTTCTCATATTATTTGTCAATATAAATTAGGCCCAAAAGAAAAAAATTATTTCTATATCAAGAGGAGCTTTTGCTGTTAAAAAGGATGTTCATCACACTGGCAGTTTCTAAACAGATAAAGAAAAAATTAGGACTCTCCTCTACTCCTGGAGTTCACTGATAGACATTTTAAAAAAATCACCACCCAAAATCATAGCCATAGTCCTGAAATAAATTACACGGTAGTTAGTATAAAAAAGAACTCCTGCTAAGCCTTCCTTTTGGGCAGTAAAGTAGTGTTGATACAAGTTAGAATATTGGCAAGAAAAAGGTACTGAAGATAGTTCACAATAAAAAGTCGTGCAGAAAGTCTGATTTAAAATGTTGGAACAGAAGAGGTTGAGCCTACAAAAAAGGACCTCTCACAAATGGAAACTTGAAGGACTAAAATCTTGCCAACAAATTAGAAGAAAATTCCTTGGTACTCTAGATATCTCAGACACAGATACTATCAGCAACCCCTTATAGCTGTAAAGTTATTTAGAACTTAAAATTTGCTTTCAAATTCATTAAATCTCACAACGGCCCTGGGAGGGAGTCTTTAGCTCACAGGTGACCTAGAACTCCTAGCCTCAAGCAATCCTCCCACCTCAGGCCTCCTAAGTAACTGGGACTACAGATACACCCAGTTAATTTTTTTTTTTTAACAGATGGGGTTTTGCCATGTTGCCTAGGCTGGTCTCAAACTCCGGGACTCAAGTGATCTGCCCACCATGGCCTCCCAAAGACCAGCTAATTTTTTAAAAAAGTTTTTAGAGATAGGATCTTGCTGTGTTGCCCAGGCCAGTCTTGAACTCCTGGTCTCAAGTGATCCTCCTGCCTTGGCCTCCAGAGTAGCTGGGGTTAAGGTCCAAGCCACCGCATCCAGCTCATGTTAACTCCTGAGAAGCTGTGTTCACTAGCCAGTTCTAGGTTTGTTACGAGGCAGTATCTCAGTGATAGCTGCTGTAGGGGCCTCACAAGAGAACCCAAAGCAGCCCGCAGAAAGAAGAGCATCACAAGTGGAAAGGATATGTTGAGAAAAGTCAGCAGCAGGTTATTATGTCATATGAAAACAACCATGGTATACAAATATGCTGTGCCCTCTCAAACAGAAGCCAACCATTAAATGTCGGGGTAATGGAGGCAGGCCTGTACATTACAAGATTACTCCTGACAAGCAGCTTCTTGCTTTTCTCCAAAGCAGTAGCATGGAGAAGCAAGAATCAGAGTTTCTGAGCATGCTCGCAGCTACTCGCCTACAACTGCAAACTGCCTATGGGCTCCCCTCCATCCAATCCATCTGCCTTGGGGCTCCCTCTGCTCAGGACAAACTGAGGCCATACAGGAAAGCAGAGGCCTTTAGATCTCATGCTTTTGTACCTATAATGTTATCACAGTGCCTATTTGAGAGAATAAATAAAAGAACAGAAATTTGAGATTAGGCAAGACGAGGCACTTGCTCAAAGAACTTTGCAACCTGGAGCCAGCATAGCCGCATGGAGTCAGGCGGGCAAGCTACCTCATTTCTGCTCACGTTCATATGAACTCATCAACAACTGTCATCATCCAGGTTAGCCTGGACATGGGACATTTTTAAGTCCATTTTCTCCCAATAGAAAGAGGTATTTCCTCCCAGCTATTCTTCACAGCTTCAAAAGCAAAATCAGTGGTATGCTAACAGAGATAACAAAGAGGTGGAATTCAGAGGAAAAGAGAGAGAGCTGAAGGAGCACTGAAACTAGTCAAGAGCAGGAGCTACAAAGTCAACCAGCCAACCAAGAGCACAACAGTTTGAAGCCCTGTGATACCCACATACAAAAACAACCGAGGCATCCATCGGTCTCCCCTTCACTCCCCAAGCAACCCCAAGAGAGAAGCGGCAACTGCTTGTGGCTTATGGTCATCTGGAACTATGCAGCTGCACCCTGCCAACTTGACATTCACATACCCGCAGAACCACAGATTGCACAATTTCTAACAAGAATGAGAAGCAGGAACAACAGTTCAGGAAATCTGGAGTTGGAGGTGGGAAGAGGAGTAAGGATGTAGACGGACAAGGGTTACTGAGTGATGGATCTAAAACAATAGTCTGAGAAATTCATTAAATTGACTTTTATAAGGAATGTTGGGGAGAAAGGATTGTTTTTAAGGAACTGTCCGTTTTTTTCTCTCTCTCTCTTTGGGAACTGTCCCTTTTTCTAAGCTGAGTGCAGGATGTGCCTCTTGGCTATGGCAATACTAGGCACACTTCTGCAATCAGTGCCATACTGTGCTCATGAAGGCTCCCTGGGAGAAATGCAGAATAAAGATGAAGTGTGGGTACTGGAGTTCAGAAAGCCTCTATCTGAAATCTAGCTTAGTCACTCACTGGCTGTGTAACTACCAGCTACTCACCTGACCTCTCTTATCATTAGTTTTCTTAACTACAAAGTGGGGTGGGAACAGTATTTATGTTAGTGTTCTATAAAACTTGAATAACACAGTCTATGTAAAATGCTCAGCACAGTGCCTAACACATCCTCACTCACCCTGATGACACCCATAGCATCACATCCCTCAGAAACTGCCAACACCTTACCATTGTTCTATTTTTTCACTTGGGTGAGGGCTACCTGGGGGAATCAATTATCATTATTTGTAATACAGTATTACATTTGTATACACTCTTATGCCTGCTATATTTCATAATTTTTTCAAGTCTTGTTTGTTTTTGCTTTTGCTTTTCTTGAGACAGAGTCTTGCTCCATCGCCAGGTGCCAGGTTGGAGTGCAGTGGCACGAGCTCGGTTCAGTACAACCTCGGCCTCCCAGGTTCAAGCAATGCTCCTGCCTCAGCCTCCCAAGTAGCTGGGAGTACAGGCGTGCACCACCATGCCCAACTAATTTTTTTATTTTTTTAAGTAGAGACAGGTTTCACCATGTTGGCCAGGATGGTCTCGATCTCCTGACCTCATGATCCGCCCGCCTCGGCCTCCCAAAGTGCTGGGATTACAGGCGTGAGCCACCGCACTCAGCCTAAGTCTTGTTTTTTTTTAAGAGACAGCACCTGTAACAGCATCAGCCAAACTTACGAAGCAATCACCGGAAGATCCACTAAAGAAAGACAGGTCTCAAAGGCTGATGAGAACTGTAATGAATAAGGAGCAAAGCTCAAATCCTGAACCACCAAAGAAACTCTCTTCTCAGGGTTTCTCCAAAAGAACACTGGCTAAAATGGAAAAAAATCATCCATATGGTTTCACAAAGGGTTTGTTCCAAGATCTTCAAGTAAATTAAAACCTCAATTATAAACAGAAGTGCAGGGAGTTTTGTATTTGTTTTTAACACAGGGTCTCACTTTGTTGCCCAGGCTGGAATACAGTGGTGCCATCATCACAGCCTCAAACTCCAGGGCTTGAGCAATCAACCCGCCTCAGTCTCCTAAGGTGTGCACCACTGTGCCTGGGATAGCAGGCAAAGAAAAATGCCGGTTTTTTTTTTTTTTGTGGAGACGGAGTCTTGCTCTGTTACCCAGGCTGGAGTGCACCACCACACCCAGCTAATTTTTGTATTTTTAATAGAGACAGGATTTCACTATGTTGGTCAGGCTGGTCTCAAATTCCTGATCCGCCCACCTCAGCCTCAGCCTCCCAAAGTGCAGGGATTACAGATGTGAGCCACCATGCCTGGTGGAAAATATCTTTAGCTTCATTTCAGTTTTAAGGGGAGAGATAAGGCACACAAATTTGAAAATCCCAGCAAGAAAAAAACAAACAAAAAAAGATAGGATTGTTTTACAGAATAAGAAAGCAACCCAAAACAACACTGCACACTTCGGGAGGCCGAGGCAGGCACATCGCTTGAGGTTGGGAGTACAAGACCAGCCTGGCCAACATGGTAAAACTCCCATCTCTACTAAAAATACAAAAATTAGCTGGGTATGGTGCTTTATGCCTGTAATTCCAGCCTCTGGGGAAGCTGAGGCAAGAGAATCACTTGAACCAGGGAGCTGAAGGTTGCAGTGAGCGGAGGTCATGCCACTGCACTCCAGCCCGGGTGACAGAGCAAGAGACTCTGTCTCAAAAAAGAAATAAAAAAAAAGTACAGCAAACATTGCTATAAAATTGGGGGAGGGGGAATTTACTCCCTGGAAATCTAGGAGGAGCTATCCATACTGTAAACTCATTCTTCTGTTAAGTGTCCTTCAAAACTAGAGGAAAATAATGTGACCAGTGAAGAAGCACTGTGGACCTGCTGCTCTAACAATTGAAAGAAAGATTTGAAAAATCTGGACACTGAAAAATACCAACCCTAAAAATCGACACTACCGGCTGGGTGTGGGGGCTCACGCCTATAATCCTAGCACATTGGGAGGCTGAGGCCAGTGGATCACGAGATCGAGACCATGCTGGCCAACATGGTGAAACCCCATCTCTACTGAAAATACAAAGATGGGTATGGTGGTGGGTGCCTGTAATCCCAGCTACTCAGGAGGCTGAGGCAGGAGAATCGCCGGAACCTGGGAGGCAGAGGCTACAGTGAGCTGAGATTGCGTCACTGCACTCCAGCCTGAGCAACAGAGCAAGACTCCGTCTTAAAAAAAATATATCCACACTATCCAGTCTGTCATACTCACTTTTATTTCTTGCCTTCCCCACCAACCTTTATTTTTTTTTTTAATTTTAAAAGGTAACAGAAGCTAAAGTAAAATCCACAAATGGGGTAATAAACACCCAAGAAGGTGGGTAGGTCTCATTCTATACCTCTACTAAGAACTGCTATGAAAAGGAAGCTGCCAAAAAACCTGGCCTAGTCCTGCATTAAACAATGGAGCCCAGAGAAGAGGCTTAGCCTGCAGCAGTGGGAACATGAAGTATATGACAAATCATACTGAAAACACCGTAGCTTTATTTCTTTAACAACACTGCAGTCTGAACATGAAGTAAAACCAACAGATACCCCAAGGATGAGTGGGACAGACCATGCGCTCAGAGAAGCTTAGTTTGGACAAACGTAGCCCCAATTTCAAGCCCTGGACTGTTCTCCAAACAAAGGGTCAGTGATAATAGCATCAAGCCCAACTTCAGGCTCATGGGGTTGGTGGGGAGGTTACAGAGGTCATTTCTACCTGTTTTTTTCATTAGTCAAGGAATGAAAACACACCGGTGACAAACGCAGGACATTCAAAATACCAGCAGGGAATAAGACATTGACTCAAACTAATCCAACAGGGGCCTGCCCTAAATTGCAAACTGAAAGAGGAAAACCTGGAAAGCAGCGGTGCTGTTCCACTCTGAAATGAGTGAGGCCAAGTAGATGAGAGGTGGTTTCGAAAGACAACTCCGAGCCTGAAGAGGCTGGGCTATTTTTAGACAGTAAAGGAAGAGGTGCTGGGTCCAGGGAGAGACGCATCCTCTCTCTCCAGTGAGAATCACTTTGAAGGCTGAGGGCAGCTGCAAGAACCGGAAGGAGGAATGAAATGAAGATCAAAGAAACAAAACTCGGAGAACATTGACATTTTTCACTGAATACCACCTGTTGTTAGGACGTCAAGACACTTCCCAAGCCTTATTTCCAGACCACCTCAGAGAAAGAAAACTGAACCAGAACTTGGCCAAGCACACTCACAAAGGCTGGTGAGGGGCATGGCTGCTGGCCACAGGGACATCCACTTTTAGTCATCTATTCTAGGTGGAAAGCTCAGAGCGTGTACTGAACACTAACAAATGACTGGAGCCTGGTGCACAGGCAAGCGCCCCTTGTCCCAGCTAATCAGAAAGTAAGGCAGGGGCTAGGCATGGTGGCTCATGCTTGTAATCCCAGCACTCTGGGAGGCTGTGGCAGGAGGATCTCTTGAGGCGAGGAGTTCGAGACCAGCCTGGGCAACATAATGAAGCTCTGTCTCTACAAAAAAACAAAAATAACTTAAAGAAGTGTACTGGCACACGCCTCTAGTCCCACCTACTCAGGAGGCTGAGATGGGAAGATCGCTTGAGCACCGAAGTTCAAGAGTGCAGTGAGCCATGATCGCACCACTGCACTGAAACCTGGATGACAGAGCAAAGGTCTCAAAAAAAAAGAAAAAAAGGAAAGCTGAGGATCACTTGAGCTCAAGAGTTAAGTCCAGCCTAGGAAACACAGGGAAACCCCATCTCTTACAAACAAAAACTACTGATTCCTGTGAGTCCAAAGGGAAATGGGTAGTGGAATGGTGACATGAAAGACTGACCTAGGCTCCGGGATGTTATCATCAAGTTTCCTAATCTTGCCCATAAGGGAAACTCCTGCTAATCTGGGTTAGCATGGCAATGATCAGCTCCATAGCAATGTAGTTCTCTCAAATCTATCCCTGACCTAGCAGTTTTCAGAGCAATCGGTCTAGAGGTCACAGTAGACAATAAAAAAACAAATAAACCAAGAAAAAAACCCACAAAAACCCTACTCAAAAAGAAGAGCACACTTACTTTAACTAGCTTTATATTTCTTTGTTTTTTTGTTTTGTTTTGTTTTTCTGAGATGGAATCTCATTCTGCTGCCCAGGCTGGAGTGCAGTGGCGCGATCTCGGCTCATTGCAGCCTCCACCTCTTGGGCTCAAGCAATTCTCCTGCCTCAGCCTCCTGAGTAGCTGGGATTACAGGAGTGCACCACTAGGCCCACGCCTGGCTAATTTTTGGGATTTTTAGTAGAGTCAGGGTTTCACCATGTTGGTCAGGCTGGTCTTGAACTCCTGACCTCAGGTAATCCACCCACCTCGGCCTCTCAAAGTGCTGAGATGATAGGTATGAGCCACCACTGCCTGGCCAGCTTTATATACTTCTAAGAAGCTTCAGTGAGTACTTGGGTATGACGCCAATAGATTTCAGGGTCCTAGCACAGAAGGCCAGGGATTTGTAACCAGCAGTGGGCTTCTTTTTTCTTTTTTAAGACGGGGTTTCACCATGTTGGTCAGGCTGGTCCTGAACTCCCGACCTCAGGTGATCCGACCACCTTGGCCTCCAAGTGCTTGGATTACAGGCGTGAGCCACCACGCCTGGCCAGCAGTGGGCTTCTGGTGGAACTTAATATGTACACAGCTACCAAATTCTACCCCCAAAGGTTCTGATTCCATACAGCTAAGATGGGGTCCAGGAATGCATATTTTTTAAATATTGCACAGGTATTCTGATGTCTCACTTCCCTCTGCGCTCCTCCCACAAGTTGAGGGCCGTCGAGCAGGAGCTCAAGATCCACAAATGCTTTAAAAATGAGTATGTGGGCTGGGCACAGTGGCTCACGCCTGTATCCCAGTACTTTGGGAGGCTGAGGGGAGTGGATCGTGAGGTCAGGAGATAGAGACCATCCTGGCCAACATGGTGAAACCCCGTCTCTACTAAACATACAAAAATTAGTCACACGTGGTGGCAAGCATCTGTAGTACCAGCTATTCGGGAGGATGAAGCAAGGGAATCACTTGAATCTGTGAGGCAGAGGTTGTAGTGAGCCGAGATCGCACCACTGCACTCCAGCCTGGGCAACAGGCAAGACTTCGTCTCAGAAAAAAAAAAAAAAGAGTATGCGGCCAGGCACAGTGGCTCACACATGTAATCCCAGCACTTTGGGAGGCTGAGGGCAGATCACCTGAGGTCAGGAGATCGAGACCAGCCTGACCAACATAGAGAAACCCTACTAAAAAATACAAAATTAGCCAGGCGTGATGGCGCATGCCTGTAATCCTGGTTACTCAGGAGGCTGAGGCAGGAGAATCACTTGAACCCGGGAGGCAGAGTTTGCAGTGAGCCGAGACCGCGCCACAGCACTCCAGCCTGGGCAACAAGAGTGAAACTTCACGTAAAAAAAAAAAAAATGAGTATGAGTATGCTTCCCCAATACCAAATCGTATATGTATTCAAACATTGAGCAGAAGCTGAAATTAGATTATTGCCACTTTTTCTCCTTCATGAAACCCACCTACCCTAACTCTAAGATTCTTAGAGTCATCTTAAAAGGCTCAAAGTACCACCACACAACTATACAGGAAAAATAATTTGGGAAAAGAAGAGAGAGAAGAATTAGATTTATGATTAAAAAATCCAACTAGAAGAAAGTCATCTTACTCACTGTTTCCAGAAGGAATAACATATAACCTGGATCAGATTAACGACTCTTAAGGAGGAGGAAGATCTCAACACCTCCTTCAGTCACTTTTTAACAATCTAGCACCCTCCAGCTCAGACAATCCTTTTGTAACCCTAACTTAAATTTTGCCTGCTGGGCTTCAGTCCATTTCTGTCCTTTGTCACTGAAAACAAGCCCAGCTCCCTCCACATAAAAATCTTTCAGAAACTTTAAGAGGAGGAGGGTTAGTTACCAAGAAAACATACACATTTGCTTCTTAAGGAAAACAGAGCTCCAACTTAGAGATGAGAGGCAGGAACTGACAAGTCTACAGGATTTGAACTTGGGTATTTACAACTGGTAACTTCAAGTCACACTTCACCAAGACTAAGCAGATTTAGCGTAAAACTTTCAATTACTCTTTTCCAATTTATTCTACTTCAGAGACTCCCCTCTCTTTGAAAAGGCTTAATAAAAATCTCAGCTCTCATCTACTCTCTTTGCTGTAACTTAAAACACCTCCACTGGCTTTCTCACACCAGCTTGCAGTCGTACTTCTAACTAGGTCTCTCCTGAATTAAGAAGTCTTTACTGAGCACTGCTTTCTGCAAATGCGGACTTCTTTCTCATGTCCTTCACACCTCATCAGGCTGCATCTCTACCTCTTTATCACCATTTTATTAATCCTAGTTTTGATTTCTCTTCTAAAGAGGTCATAATTCCTCATGATTATTTTATTCTCACTCATTTTCTTTTAAGTACTTACTGCCCATCTTACACTATCCTCAACAGTGTGATGTAAAGGAAATAAAGCGCATGACCCCAACCTTGGGAAACGAAGACATACATAAAAGAACAGTAAGAAACCGGTTTCAAAGTGGGGGCTAGTCAGAGAAAGCCCTGTGGCTCTGATAAATACGGAATTGGACCTAAAAATAAGTGCAGAATTTGCTATAACGGAGACGGCTACTTTAGATAGAAGCAAGAGTATAATTCAAAGCAGGAGGCCATCTGAAGTAAGAGCTGCATAAAGGCTGACATTTCCTTCTTTGCCCCCCAAAAGGGGCATGTACCTTTCTGTCTTCAAATTTTATTATTTTATTTTATTTTTTGAGACGGAGTTTCGCTGTTGTTACCCAGACTGGAGTGCAATGGCACGATCTTGGCTCACCGCAACCTCTGCCTTCTGGGTTCAAGCAATTCTCCTGCCTCAGCCTCCCGAGTAGCTGGGACTACAGGCGTGCACCACCATGCCCAGCTAATTTTTGTATTTTTAGTAGAGACGGGGTTTCACCTCGTTGACCAGGTTGGTCTCGATCTCTTGACCTCGTGATCCACCCGCCTTGGCCTCCCAAAGTGCTGGGATTATAGGCGTGAACCACTGCGCCCGGCTGTCTTCAAATTTTATTTGAGAATTAGCTATCCATGAAGCACACATGTCCTGTTATCACGATTACCCACAGCCACCAAATATTAGAGCAACTCACAGAGCTTAATACACTAGAATTATCACACGGCAGGCTTTAAGAATAATCTTAGGTAGAGATCTTTTACTGAAGAGTGTGGGGAGTCCAGCATCGCTAGGGTCCTGGGCACACAAAGACAGCTATTTCTCTTGGGTGCTAAAGATATGCACCAGTCATTTTGCTGCCAGACCATTCAACGGTCATTCAACTTCAGCTAAGTATTTCTTTCATACACAGCTTTAGGAGAGACAAAGCCATTTAAAGCAGTCTGAAGCACTGAATTCCTGTTTTAAACAGGGAATGGTAAATGGTCTTCCCAGGGATGCCCCTTTTCTGTTTTCCTGGAGAACTTTTCTCCACCTGCCTCAGGACTCATGTTTCAAGCATCCCTTCCTCAGTGAAGCCTTTCCTAATTCCCCTGTACTGACTTAGGTCACCTCCCCTGTGCTTCCATTAACAACTTACGCATACTTCTAGAGCAGTACTTATCACACTATGTTTTAATTATTTGTTTACATGTCTGACTAGCCATAAGCTTTGGTGGCAAGGGTAATGTTTTACCTATCATTGATTGCACACCTAATAGGCACTCAATAAACACTTGTTAAATGCATTAGTAATGAATAATATTGGAAGTCTTAAAGAATGGCAACCATACTGTAAGAATTAATAATGAAGGCTAAACCCTCATTACATGTTTCTACTACTTATACCATTCCTGGCCAGAAAAAGAGGCCAAAGATTTGAGAAGATTGCTCTAACAGTGCTGGTCACTGCCAAGTTACCGGCCACGAATAAGAGCACTTGCAGCAGTAAGAATGAACAGAGTCATATCTAAGACAATTTCTATGTTTCAGGCTTACTCGCCTGCCTCAGGAGAATAGGAACAAGGATTAATAAGAGACCTTGGAAGGGTCACAATGTCCACCATCACAGAACCTTCTAGCAAACTGTGATTCAGTATAATTTCTGCTGAAATATACAGGAAAGCTGTTCACCTTCTTACCAAATCCAGTCAAGGTTCTGCTAAGGAATACAGAGCTGAGCTCAGCCGTCCCAGAATCCTGCCGTTTGTACAGTGGCATTCCAAATCATTCCTCATGGGATTTACTCATCATTGAAGAGTTACAGACAAAGCAATAACATGCTGTGGTCTCAAATGCCTCTCCCTGTAACAATCTTGTACCACACAAGCCTATCGTGTTTACAGGCTACTAATAAGACACAAAATCTGATCTGATCCTATGGGAATAAAGCCCTGGATTTCCTCAAGGGTTTAAATAAATGTAGTCTACTTCAGGATTCCCAAAGTTCTGGGGTTCGTTTAGTTGAAAAAAGCATAAGGAACAAAACCCAGATAAGTGAAGGGATGGAAAGGAACTTTGTTTGTGAGTATCATCTGCAGTGGAGTGGGATGTGGTTCATATAGTGAATGAGATAAGCAATGCTCAAGGACCATCCTGAACTGTTTTGCTGAGAGATATCTGGCTTCTTGAGTGCAATCATTTCTAGGAAGCCAAGATGCCACTTGAAGAGACAAAAAAATTCTGACCCTGGGCAAGAGCAATTACCAAGCCAATTCCTCCGACTAGGTGTTTTGGCATATTTCTTTCTGCCACTACAGTCTTACATAACCCCAGCTGTTACATTAACACCTGCAGCTACATTAGTCACAGCTTAGCCCTTCACAAGGTATGTGTTCCTACTGTCCTCTCCCAAGAAGGGAAACTGAGTCATAGCATATCAACTGGCTTCCCAAGCACATGTTTAGTGTATAGTTTGACCACAATTGAACCCAGGGGGTAATACCACAACTGAACCCAGGAAGGACAGGTGGCCTTCCTCCTATTTACCTCTTCTCAGGATGACTCTCAGCATGGCCACCCCTGCTGCTTTTTCCTTCAACCTAAAACCAAATCATTGACTGCAGAGATCACAAGTGATCCTTTAGCGTCAACAAGAGCTTCTCGTTATCTTTTCCCAATAAACAGGAAAGTTGAAGAGGAACATGGAGCAGGAGAGGGTCGGTTTGGAAAGAGGTGGCTCCCACCAGGACTCACCTTGGAGCTGAGGTCCTCTCGTCGGTTTCCTGGCTTACTCCTGCGTAGTTTGATGGAAGGAGATCTCAGCAGATTCTTGATTCGGCTGGTAATGGTTGACCCTTCCATAGCCATTACGACGAGAAACCCCTTGGGACAGTCCCTGGCCCAGTCCTGAGTCTTGTCTCAACAGCGGCACTGTCTTCCCACTCCACAGGGCTTCCGAATATGCCCTCTCACTGACCTGAGATGGCAGAAGCCACCTTACTATCAGAGTCTTATCTTCTACCTAGTGAAGTCTGCACCTTTTCCCTCATTACCACCTTCGACCCCTGCACAGTTTCTTACAACGTTGGAAGGAAAAGCTCACAAAAAAGGGGGACAAAATCCTAAGCCACGAAGAAATGCCAGGCCCACGACCGCCAGAGGCATTTAACTGGCGAAATGGATGGGATGGGCCCTAGTTAGTCTCGTGGACTATCTGGTTCCCGTTAATGCCCAACTGTGGACTATCTGGTTCCCATTAATGCCCAACTGTTCCCATGGCAACTGTACTGTCCAAGGGAGGAGACTGCCGAGACCACCAGGGATTTCAACAGGAGGCCAGGGCACCTGCGCTAGCGGCAGCGGGGACGTAAACCAGCAACTCGTTCTGCCACGGGAGCCTCCCTCCCCACCCCCTATCCTCCAAAGCTCGGTCTCTGCTCTCCACAGCGGCTCTGAACCTTTATCTTTCACCCGCCTCTGAAGCCCCTGCTACTCGTCAGCGCCCCCGTTCGGGCCCGGCCTCACCAGCCCCGGCGAGCGAGGGCCACCACGCTCACAGCGCCCTCGGGCATCGCGCTCGACAATTTCAGCCCCGCCGCGGTAGCTGCAGCGGTAGAGGCAGCAGCAGGAGCTATGGTGGCACGAGCGGCTCAAAACGCGAACTACCGCTTGGACCAAGATACGCGCCAGATGGGCGGAGCCAACGCGAGGGGCGCGGCCTGTAGCCAGGAGGGCGTTTCCAGAGTAGACGAGCAAGGTTTACGGGGCGGAGCCAATGAAAGGACCCAGGAAGCAGACGACTTGGGACTAGAGAACCACGGAATCCGCACAATTGTGGGTACGCTTTTAAAGGAAGGTCAACAGAACATTGCTTCAGAATTGAGAGAACCAAGCCTTTTATGGTATTATCAGGCCTTGTCCCCCAGAGAACTGCACTTCCCAGAGCCCCCAGACGATAACCACGCCTCCATGGTGTTAAGGTTGGCATTTGATAGGCCCGAGGGCCCGTAGCAGAAACTCCTAGCTCACAATAAGACTGAACTACAGCCTAAAAGCTGTGCTCCTAGCGACCCTAAGTGTCGAGATTTAAAGCGGTTGGAATATTTTCTGCTCGTAGCCCGTGCGGCACGTTGACTCAACGTGGAAAGGATTCTTCTGAGTAACGCAATTCAATTGCTAAGAACAATGTTTTGCACTACGCAACCTGATTGGCCATAATGAAAGGGGAAAGGGTGCCTTTGAACAGAGCTTTGGGCGTGCGGGGTAAGAGAGAAGACAAGTGTATGTGCTATGGGACATACTGTAAGTTTCATGGTTTTTTTAGCCTCCGAAATCCCATTGTGCTCCCTCAACTAAAGCTGACCAGGACTTTGTTGCTCCAGATCTTTTTCCTTATTCCTGTCAAAATTTAGTTGTGAATCCTTTTCCCCAAGGCTGTTTCCTTGATGAGGTCACTGTCAAGCTTGCTGATACTATAACGAGGGGTAGTTTTTCTAATTCATGGCGGGGGAGACGGAATACACGGAAATGCTACATACAATATATATTTCCTGAGTATTCTCCACTTTACTACTATAACAAATTACCTCAAGCCAGAGACTTGGACCCCAAGGGAATAAATAGTACACTGGTGTATCCGTCTCAGTCCACCCAGATCTTTCGAAACCCTGTGGAGATAACACGTGTCAACAAGTGAGGAACCTCTAAGGAATTATTAGACCTCATGAAAAAGCCTAAATAAAAGACAAGGGACCCAAGGGAAATAGTACACTGGTGTATCTGTCTCACCCTATCCAGATCTTTTGAAGCCCTGAGATGACGCGTGTTAGCAAGAGGGAAGAACCCCTAAATTCACTGCTTGTGTACAATGGTGAGTCTTGCACAGCCAAGTGGCAAAGCAAGTATGTGCTTGTGTATACTGTAACCACATACTAAAAATGAGATTTGTAAAGCTCACAAGTTGACATGGAGATGATGGATGTCAGCTTCTGGAAGACCAACAATAGCATGTGGCCTTCTTCCCTTCAACCATGCACTGCAAATATTATGAAACATGAAATGTGATTTTCAAATGTATTTCCCAAATCTGGAGGAAAAAGGCCAGAACCATTAGCTACAATATGCAACAGATCGTTGGTTCCCTCAACCCATTGCTAGTACATGATTTGACCTCTCCATGGGAGTAAAAGCTAATAAATGGTGCCACCTGGTGTCTTTACTTGTATGCTGCAGACCATGGCAACTGCCATCTCCATCCATGAAACTAGAGTAAAAATGTGCCCACAAGAGCTGTCCACTAACGGTTTTCTCAATCACTCATGGCCAGGTAAATGGCTTACCAAGTATCATCAGTCATTTCTTATCCAAAGCTACTATAGTTTATCCCCTTACAAAAAACGTTCCCCTAATACCCTCAACTGAAGTTGGAAGGCAAATCCAAACTCCTACTTTCCTTAAGATGACCTACATGAAAAACTGAAAGCAGTGTAATGAGGATTTCTTAAGTCTGGAATCTGGGTACTTCCAGTCAGAGGACAAAACCACACTTTTTTTTTGTTGTTGTTGTTTTGTTTTTGAGATGGAGTCTCACTCTGTCGCCAGGCTGGAGTGCAGTGGTGCCATCTCAGCTCATTGCAACCTCTGACTCCCTGGTTCAAGCACTTCTCCTACCTCAGCCTCCTGAATAGCTGGGATTAAAGGTATGTGCCACCATGCCCTGCTAAATTTTTGTATTTTTAGTAGAGAAGGGGTTTCGCCATGCTGGCCAGGCTGGTCTTGAACTCCTGACCTCTTAATTCGCCCACCTCGGCCTCCCAAAGTGTTGGGATTACAGGCGCCAGCCAGTGTGTCTGGGCCACACATTTTTAATTCTTCACAATTCAGTCCAACTTTTATTGTATAGGTACTATGCTACCTTTGATATACCAATACAGGAATAAAGCTATAGGCTATTCCCATTCTTCATGAATTCCTCAGAAAGTAACAGTCCCAGATCCAATGTGAACAGCAGAATTAGTCACTCTTGTCCACTCAGATTTAGTCACGCACTGTATAATGACATTTCAGTCAATGATCACATGATCCCATTAAATTATGAACACATGCTGTACAGACTTATAGCCTAGGAGCAACCGGTTGTACCTTATAGCCTAGGTATGGTTAAGCTACACCATTTAAATGGGTTTGTGTAACTACGGTACACTCTATGATGTCTGCAGAACACAACCACCCAAGGTGCATTTCTCAGAACATATCCCCATCAGTGACACACGACTGTACTTGCCATCCCAATCCTCCAAAATGCAGTTAACTCTTCGTATTTCATTATCCATACACCATTTAACACTTTATTCTGCTTTTATATGTCCTAAACATCTATACAGTTTGTCAGCTTCTGGAATTCTAGATGTCTGGGAATAGATGTTATATAGTTGTCTGTTAAGCACTATACTCATTAGATCAAATTTTAAAATTCACCCTAGGAGGAACATGCAAATAAGGTACAATTATAAGATCCTGGAAAACAGGCTAAACATTTGCTCATCAATTCAAATATTTATTGAGCACCTTTACATGCAAGGCACTAGGAGACAGCTGAGATCAATGATTGCAGTTGGAAACAGGATAAATCTCAAAACCATGCTTCCAAGTCTGCTTTCCTATTTAATGTCTTTTCTACCAGCAGAGTTTACAATAGAATTTAGCAGAGTTTAGATGTGTCTCAAAATTTCCAACTCATCCCATACTTTAGTCTTCCCACCCTCTTAACACAGCACCATCACTATTCTACTCATTACTTATGTGTAGAACAGCTCAGTCATGCCTATTATCAGTTTCGCCTCAAATAAAAAGTTGTATTTATCCATTTCCCTCTATTTCAAAAACTGCATTTTAACTGATTTTTTCCTCCAACTGGCAGTGAGTCCGAATATCTCAGCTTTAATTTTCTCTGCATCTAGGCATTCATGTCCATGTAAAATTTCATTAGTGATAATACAATGACATAAAGTAGTGATGCCCTTACAGCACCTTCTTCAAAACTAACAGTTTTGTGCAAGAAATGTATTCTATTCTTGGTTATCAGCCATTCCCTATAAAAGTACCTGGAAAATGTGCTGTGTATGGTTTGTTGTTGTTGCTGTTAATTCTGGAGTGAGGGACAAGGGCTGTTATTATTTTCTAGACCCATTTTCAAATTGCATCACCCTATTCCATTTCAAATAGCTCAACCAGTGTAGCTAGAAAAAAAGATCATCTAAACCACTAAAACCAAAATAACAGATGGATTGTCTGGCTTTCTTGTGTGTTCCAAACATTTTCAAACTTGTTATAGAAGGGGCTAGCATCAGGTATTTCATTCATAATTCCAGGAAAAAAAATGCATTTACTATAAAATTAACACAAAGTGAACCATTCATGTGAAGCTTATATAACTGGACTTGATCTGTTAGTGACCTTAATAGATTAAAAGTAGTGAGATGTCTAAAGGATTCCTTTAAATGTTTTTGTAAACTGTCAAATTCTTTAACATATCTTCCCTTAAGAACACCTATTGTCCTTTACCACTAAGACTGTGTTTGTGTGGCCAGGCGTGGTGGCTCACGCCTGTAATCCCAGCACTTTGGGAGGCTGAGACAGACAGATCACCTGAGGTCAGGAGTTTGAGACCAGCCTGGCCAACAGAGCGAAACCCTGTCTCTACTAAAAATACATAAATTAGCTGGGCATGGTGGTATGTGCCTGTAATCCCAGCTACTCGGAAGGCTAAGGCAGGAGAACTGCTTGAACCCGGGAGGCTTGAACCAGTGAGCCAAGATCATTCCACTGCACTCCATCACGGGCAGCAGAGCCAGACTCTGTCTCAAAAAAAAAAAAAAAGGACTATGTTTGTGTACTGTTACTCTCCAAGGTTAACAGGTAAACAGCCTTGCCCATGATACTAAAATGATTTTAGAATGTCTTCTAAAACAAAAACATGCCATCAGGTTGTAAACAATTTTGAAGCCTGAGTGTAAAACATGCTACAAGGATTACAACACCGAAAACCTCCCCAAAATGGTGTATCAGAAACTGTGAGAAAAGGAAGGGATTCCTACAATAAAACTACTTCAGTAGCGCCTCTCTCAAATATATCTTAGAGAATTAGAATTCTCTAGTCCAACTTGGCACAAATCTCCCAACACCAAGTTCTGCTTTAATTCTTGTAACTGATTTATTTCAGGTTTATATATTCTACCTTTCAATCACCAAACTTCTGTTCTTAGGTTTCTAAAAAAATAGTCACTTTTCGAAAGCAGAAAAGGAAAGATATATATATTTAATATATAAAAGAAAAATGCTAAATCTGACATTATATTCTTAAAAACATTCCATTTATTTACAGATGTATAAAAAGGCGAATTATTGGTCTACCGAGATCATGCTTCTTATGGTATTAGGGTGAGAGCTCACTGTCCTCCAGGTTCCTCAACTCCTCTCACTCAACTTCACCTTTCATAATCACACATGTAATATTCATAGATCAGTTTCCCCTAGGGTAAGGTTAATGGGTAGGAGTTTTTGGAGATTTCAGATTTCTGTCAAGACTGCAGGATTGTTCTGAAGACTAAGCCCTCCTCAATTTATCCCTGACAACACCTAGTTCTAAGAGGTCTTGAGAACACCATTAATTGGGGGTTAGAATGATATCTGCAGCCTTCCCCCTAAAACACCTTGAATCATCCCTCATTTCCATCTTCCTACAATCTCATCAAGAGTCAATCTCCAATTAAGAATCATTACCTGTTTACCTATTTTCTTCTTTTAAAAAAAAAAAAGTGTTAAGCTAAAATGGTCCTTCTTTTCCTGAGGATTGTTCACTCACTTGCCTGCTCCTTGGCTGACCCTCAAAAGCCACAAAAGAGCCTTGGGAAATCAGGAGGAAATGTAGGGAAAAGACAAGCAAGGAAATAATTGGAAACTGCTATACCTGGATTAAAGTACTAGCATCTCTAAGGACAATTATTAGCAGGGGAGACAGGTGCTGGATTCCTTGGCTAAGGCATTGAATGAAAACTGCTGGGTAAACAGTGGAAGGATAATGAGAAGCTGAGGAGCACTCTTTACCTACTTCAAGCTTCTTTCCTAAGCTGTAGAGAAAGGAAGGTTAAGTGCTGATGAGCAGATAAGAAAGGCAAGCAGCACAAAACCAACAAGAATTTGCTCCCACTGCAATTTGCAGAGGAAGTTTTTCCAATGTTTTCAATCTGTTGATAACCAGAGTTAACAGAAAGGGAACCAACCATGGAAATAATAATTCACTGGCTAGATCCAATCCAAAATTGGTCTCACAACCTAGGTCTGAAGATATGCTGAGTGGGATTTGGGATAAAGAAGACAGGAGATATAGAAGAAATAGCATCACCTAGGCACGGCCCAGGCACTGGAAGCTCTTGTGTTAGTGTTTTAACAACACAAGCAAATCCTGTCAATGAAGACAGAACAGGGGTTACATTCCAAAATATAATTATTTAAGAAAGGCAAAATGCAGCAGCTAAATCCCAGTCTATACAGTTTCAGAATAGTGATTCTTGCCCCCAGGAGTTTCCATAGACCCCCTCAAGTGCACCATGATTATTTACAAATTAGATAGGAAACATCATTTCTATACTCAATACAAATCTCATCTTCTGGGTTGAAAACTTCAGCCTTTGAGAAATCTATGAAAACAACTATACAAAAATATAAATATCTTTATCTTTACAGACTGTCAGTCCTTCATATCCTGACAGCTAATGAGTGAAAAAGCTCTACAGATCATTGAACCCATGGTTGCAGATAAAAAATATATCTTGTGATTCAAATACTGCCTTATTTCCCTGGTAAAGAGTGCCTACTGTGACTTTTCTTTACGTCCCGTGAAGGTAATAGTGAATGAAACCTTCAAGCACCAGGAGGCTGGTTTGATTTGAGAAATTTCCAGCCCCATGATTTTTTATTTTGGCCACTGTCTCTGGTCTGGGGAGATAATGCATTTTATTTTAGCTGTCTCCTGACTGATATAACCTGTGGAAGAGGTAGGGCTCCCTCTATGCCTACCTCCAAAATATATATTCCCAGTAAAAATCCCTGGTAATGTTTAATGATCTTTTCAATACCCACAAAAATAAGGGAGAGCTATTTTTTTTAAGATCTCAAAATAATTACCTTAATAATAAAAGTTAAAAGCATCCCTACTTTACCGAAGGCTTGAATTTGTTAATTCTGGTTGCAAAGGTGACAGAATGGGAGCTACTTGGGATATGAAAAAAGAAAATTTTGCTGAATGACACAAAGTCTTTCACTTTGGTATTCCATGGTACCCATCCTCTCTCTCACTATTCTTTAAACATCAACTAAAAAGTTATCTCTTCTGGATCCCTTTGCACAAGTCCATCACATTCCTTAGATTTCAGACTTAATCCAACAGCTACGAGTTATAGTTCAGTCCACAGCAACTCCAAAGTTGCAAACAGCTCTTTCTCTTGGGGGGAAGAATTAGAAACCACTGTGGGGCCAGAGTCTTGTTATAAATTCCTTGGGTAAGAGGGGCACCTCGTGTTCAGCAACGAATCACATCTTCTTAGAGAGGATGAGGGGACCCAGCACCACAAGTGAGGTAACACATTTTAACATGATCAGAATTTCAGAGTACTTCTTATACCAGGGTCAGCACCCTACCCCCTTTCTCCATCATTATCCACTGCATCATTGAAGTCAAGGATCCAAGTTCCAAGACACAAACAAACAGATACCTGCAGAGAAAGGAGGTGAAATCAATTTCCCCTCACAGCCTGGCTTCTGCTCAAGGACAAGTAAGTTCATTTCCCTGCAGAACCTGGTGAAGCCCCCAAGTTGCCCAATTTAGCCATAACAGGTGCCAATGTAGGCATCACCTTGCTTTCCCGGCCTTCCTGGTCATTCCCTGTTAAGTTCATTTTGTGTCCAACTGACCCAACTTTGGCAGCTATAGGTGCCAAACAAGGCATCACTTTGAGATTCTGACCATCTACATCACTGGAAGGATTAGCTACTTTTAAACCTAGAGGGGCCAACTTTGGCATAGGCCTCCACAAAGTATCTGTGCTGTTGCTGTTCTCCAGGCCAGTCTTCATGTGTAGGATCGGGGGTGAGGACACACTTTCAGGCTCTGCAGGGAGGCCAGAAGTATTCTTCCCTCCATCAGTATCTTTTTTGTTGGAAAGAAGTGAATCCTTTATTTCGGAGTCAATGACAATCTTAAGGACATCTGGCTCAGAGGCTGGTTCTGCAAGTTGTTTTTCATTCTCAGAAAAGTCATCATCTTCTAAGTGCAAGAGGAGGGGACTGATGGAGTCACTCTCCCCTTGAACATCAGGCAACTCTTTCAAACCAGCTCCCAAGTGCTCAACCTGGAAAGTTGCTCTGTTTCCAGGAGGAACCTTACTGATAAAAGACTGCCGAGCATCCCCTGGGAACTCTGTATCCACAGAGCTGGGTAGTTCAGCCAGGCTAACAGAGTCATCATTTAGTTGTTGATTAAGAAAGGCAATTTCATTGAGCAGTGAAGTCAGTGTTTCATCAGTATCATCCTCATCTTCCATGTTAGTTAGCAGTTCACTGGGATCAAGAGCTGCTTCCTCTATAGCTGATGTTACTTTCCTCAGTTCCATCTCTATGCTTGAGTCCTTGAGATCTTTTATCTTTAATTTATGAAATGAAGACTCCTTTGACTTCACTCTCTCTCCTCTCAATTCACTCTCTTTCCATTTATACTGAATCCCTCTCCTATCACCAGAAATCTTTTTAGGTAAGAACTCTTGTGCTTCCTGCATACTGGAAACATCAACTATTTGTGGATAACCAGAATCTTTGTTTGCCAAAAAAATCTGCGATGGACCCAACGTGACTCTGCCATCTCTGTTTCCTCTGGAAGAGATTCTGCCCTTATCCTCTAAGGAGTTATCTTCATTCCTGACAGTGTCTTTCAGATGGTCAGATGGCTTGCCATCAGGAACTTCATGAGGGTATTTGCTGCCACCCATATCTATCAAACCTCCCTCTGTGGCCAGTGATGTCACATTAACAATTCGTGGCATCATAAATAAGTCGTCGTTTTCTGAAAAACAAAAATTAAAAGAAAAATTCATTTAGATCTACAGTGCTAGCACCTCTCTCTGTGTGTCATACCATATGACCATCTTAGGGAGTTGTACTCTTAAATTCAGCAGTAGTCTACTTTCATCAACAAGATGAAAGAAATATCAGTTCTTCAAATTACTGACCTAACAAGAAAAAACTCAAGTAAAATCCAACCAAAAGGCTCTTTCCACCACTTTTTAAAGCTTCATTTAATTATTTTATAGAAATGCTCCCCAAGTTAATTATGGTCCTAAGGCAGAAATGCATTTTTATTCTGTTCACCTAACTGCTACTTAGCATAGAAAATGAAGCCCTAGAGGCAGCATGGGAACCAGAAAAAGATGAGTCCTCCAGAGTGAGTTGGGCAAAAGGTAGAGACAAGGAACTTTTGGCTGGCAATGGCAATAAAGTAACTAGGATTTTAATATTACTAAAGAGAACCTTTTACCTTAATAGAAATTTAGGTGCTTGGAACCTGATTACCCAAGTGGGGCTTCTCTTTCAACTTTACCCTTTGCCCCAAAACAGAGTAGAGCTCAAAGCAAATGAGGCTGGTAATGCAGGAATGTTATCATCTCTGAGTACCACAAAAAACTGACAAATATTTATCAACACCAAGACCTAAGACCATGATCATTTAACATTTCCTTGCACTCTGACATCTTGATTATCCTACTTAAAAATCACCAGATTTCACAAAATGGTTTCGAATACCACACCAAACAGTACCACAGCTCAAGCCAAATATGTTCTAAAAAGAGGGCCACCTCCTACCAAGGCAAATGCCAACAAAATAGCTCTTTATCATTACAGAACACATTCAAAGGCTTCCTTGGTCACTGTGAGACACCAGGGATAACTTTATCACTTCCCACAGAGGACAACACTTACAACATACCTGGCTGAGCCATAGCACTACTGGCAACTTGAGGCTTAAGATCAGATTCTAAGAGATCAGGAGAAACAGTTACCACCGGTCCTGAAAATAGAGGACCTTTTAGGGTGAGCAATTGCCCTTGTGGAGTCATCACAAGGTTGGCAGAGGTGTGTGGAGTGTTCGAGGGTGAGGTATTTTCTGCAAGAAAGATCAGAAATTAGTTATAGATAAAAGGCATTCAGCTGGGTATGGTGGCTCGTGCCTGTAATTCCAACACTTTGGGAGGCTGGGGCAGGCAGATCACTTGAGTCCAAGAGTTCGAGACCAGCCTGGGCAACATGGTGAGACCCCCACCTCCATCTCTACAAAAAAAAAAAAATATATATATATATATTTTTTTAATTTGAGACGGAGTTTCACTCTTGTTGCCCAGGCTGCAGTGTAATGGCGCAATCTCGGCTCATGGCAACCTCTACCTCCTGAGTTCAAGCAATTCTCCTGACTCAGCCTCCTGAGTAGCTGGGATTACAGGCATGCGCCACCGTGCCAAGCTAATTTTTTGTATTTTTAGTAGAGACAGGATTTCTCTATGTTGGTCAGGCTAGTCTTGAACTCCCAATCTCAGGGGATCCACCTGCCTCAGTCTCCCAAAGTGCTGGGAATAGAGGTGTGAACCACCGCAACCAGCCTAAAAAAATTTTTTTTTAATTTGTCAGGTATAGTGGTGTGCACCTGTGGTCCCTAGGGAGGCTGAGGTGGGGGAATTGCTTGAGCCCAGGAGGTCAAGGCTGGAAGTAAACCACTGCACTCCAGCCTGAGCTACAGAGTAAGACCCTGTCTCAAAGCAAAAACAAAAACCCACACCAGATTTTCTGGCTCATACACTGGGTTATCCAAAGATCCAAAGAGTAAAAAAGGATATACCATTCTTTTTTTTTTTTTTTTTTTTTTTTTTTTTTTTTAATTTAAAAGTTGCCCAGGCTGGAGTGCAGTGGTGCTATCTGGGCTCACTATAGTCTCTGCCTCCCAGGTAGCTGGGACTATAGGTGTGCGCCACCACACCAAGCTAATTTTGGTATTTTAAGTAGAGAGAGGGTTTCACCGTGTTGCCCAAGGCTGGTCTCAAACTCCTGAATGCAAGCAATCCTCCTGCCTCCACCTCCCTAAGTACTGGGATTACAGGCATGAGTTGCCACACCTAGCCAGATATACCATTCTCTAAGAATATAAGTGACATAAAATCAGTATAGCTTCACTTCCAAAATAAAGATGGTAATAAGAATTTAAGACCCATTTACTTTGTTTCTTTTTTGTTTTGTTTTCTGAAATAGAGTTTCACTCTTGTTACCCAGGAGTGCAATGGTGCCATCTTAGCTCACTGCAACCTCTATTTCCCAGGTTCAAGCGATTCTCCTGCCTCAGCCTCCCAAGTAGCTGGATTACAGGCATATGCCACCACACCAGGCTAATTTTGTATTTTTAGTAGAGACAGGTTTTCTCCATGTTGGTCAGGCTGGTCTCAAACTCCCAACCTCAGGTGATCCACCTGCCTCGGCCTCCCAAAGTGCTGGGATTATAGATAGGCGTGAGCCACTGCGCCAGGCCTACTTTGTTTCTTAATAGCAATGTATTAATATGTGAGCTGATGAAAAATAGACCCTGATTTGTCAAAACTAAATTTTACAAAAAATTTCCCATTTATTTGTCTCAGCTAGACCCAACTTCTTCAACCCATCAGCAGAACTGCAAGGAAATCATGAAGTCACATATAAAGTCAGAAAAGATAACAGTTTAAAAAACTAATCACTAAAAATACATGACTAGGGGCAGGCACAGTGGCTCACACTTATAATCCCAGCACTTTGGGAGGCCAACACAGGCAAATCACGAGGTCAAGAGATCGAGACCATCTTGGCCAACATGGTGAAACCCCATCTCTACTAAAAATACAGAAATTAGCTGGGTGTGGTGGCGCATGCCTACAGTCCCAGCTACTGGGGAAGCTGAGGCAGGAGAATCGCTTGAACCGGGGAGGCAGAGGTTGCAGTGAGCTGAGATCATGCCATTGCACTCCAGCCTCGCAACAGACCAAAACTCTGTCTCAAAAAAATTAAAAAAAATAAAATACATGACTATAGACTTATATATTACCAGGACTAGTAACTTCTCAGGATTACTAATAACTTCTCTAGTAACCAAAAAATGAAAATCTAAAGTAGTTAATATTCTATTTTTATACAACCCATCTTTAATTCATTTAATTAAAACTGTGTGCTGGGCGAGGTGGCTCACACCTGTAATCCCACCACTTTGGGAGGCCAAGGTGGGCAGATCACTTGAGGAAGGAGTTTGAGACCAGCCTGGCAAACATGGCTAAACCTCATCTCTACTAAAAATAAAAAAATTAGCCGGGCATGGTGGTACATGCCTGTAGTCCCAGCTACTTAGGAAGCTGAAGCAGTATAATCATCACTTGAACCCGGGAGGTGGAGGTTGCAGTGAGCTGAAATCACATCACTACACTCCAGCCTAGGCAACAGAGCCGGGCGGGGGCGGGGGTGGGGGCGGGGGGAACAAACAAACAAACAAAAGCCAGGCACAGTGGCTCACCCTATAATCTCAGCCCTTTGGGAGGCAGAGGCAGGCGGAATCACCTGAGGTTATGAGTGTGAAATCAGCATGACCAACATGGAGAAACCCCGCCTCTACTAAAAATATAAAATTAGCCACATGTGGTAGCACATGCCTGGAATCCCAGCTACTCAAGAGGCTGAGGCAGGAGAATTGCTTGAACCCAGGAGAAGGAGGCTGCGGTGAGCTGAGATTACACCATTGCACTCCAGCCTCGGCAACAGAGCCTCTGTCTCAAAAACAAAAAAAAACAACTGTGGACAAGAGAGGATGATCAGTCCAGTAAAGTCAACTGATATTCATCTACATTAAGGGAAGCAAAGAATGTCCCTCCTACCTGTGGCCTGGTCTTTTTTTCTAGAAAGAATCAAAGGTTTCCCCTTTCTGTTATTTATAAACATCTGTCCAAGATCTACAGATGATGCAGAAGATCCTTCCTGCTGTTTGCTAATTCTGGGAGACATGTCAAACTCATCTGATCCCATCTTCTTTTTTCTTTTTTGTGCCTCTAGTGCTTGCTGTTTTGCATAAATATACTCTAGCTTCTTCAGGACCACTTCTTCTGTCTTACCTACAAGAGAATTACAGAGATACATGATCACTTGCTGTATTATCCCACATAATGAGAAACAGAAATCTAGTTGCTTTAACTATATTCCTGAAAACTATGGAAAGTAAGGTGATTACAGTTCAAAAGAAACATCCCACCCAGACAAAGGATAACTGTGCTGTAAACTCTGGGAGCCAAGACTTCAATTTAGTAGTATCTGAAAGATCTACTGAGGACTTCTCCTTGCTAAAGCTGTATGCTCTTTTACCAGAGATTATGTACTTGTCTCACCTGAAAGAGATGATACTTTTCGTATGAGAATATTCCGTTTCCGAGTCAGGAGATTTTTCTGTCCTATCAACTTGTCTGCTTGATCTGTTAGTCCCTGAATTTCACTGAATGCCTAAAATAGAAACAGCAATATTATTGAAAATTAATCCACTCTTTCTTTAAACACAGGAAAGGCCTACACAATTTCTCTAATAATAAAAAAAAAAATCTAATGTCTTAAAAGAATTTTTAAATTCCATTAATAATTGATGTTTCGGAAATTACTTTTTGCTAAACTGTAAGAGGGTTTCTGGCCTACACTTTTAAGGAATGTGACCATGATTATTTCCAATGAGTATCACTGAGTGGTAGAAGGCATTCCACTACTGCGAGGAGATACAAAACACTTGTGCTTTGCTTAGGTTTTAATAAGCAACCTTAAGATCATCTCCTAGTCTAACCGAAATCTGGTTGAAATAACTTTGCTCTAGAGGGATACGAATGCTTATCCAGTACTCCACCAACTTCTACTTAAAAAAAATTTAAATGAAATTATTTCAGATATTCCATATGCAAAGTTAAAACTTCTACTCCCTTGAATATTTCAGATTTTCTTTTAAAATAACTGTCAACTGTTAAGTGTATTAAAATATCACTCATGCTGTGCTTTACACTGTGATAACCTGTACTATCACAGTGTATAGTACACAGTGTGTATCACTTGTTGATATACAAGTGCTATCAAGGACATCAATGTAAAGAGAATGTGGTCAATGTGGCTAACCAGAGTTTCTGACTCTATCTGAAGAAAGGATAGCTGTGCCAAATAAGAACCTGACTTTCAGTGACAAGCTACTGTGATTTAGCATAATGATTTTTCCCCTAAGGGATTTAGTGGACATTCATTAGTCCATATTCAACTGTTAGTTTTAAGTAGCTCTATTTCAATCTCCCTTATATGTCAATGGATTCCCTTTCTCATAGCATCTGTAACAATCTCTTAGTCAAGCTGTTATTGTACTTTACACAGAACACTTACTCGAGTAAGAATGTGACTTTTGGAAACCTTGGAAGAATGAAGTAATCCCAATGTGATCTTTAATTTCTCAAAGAGATCCCTCATTTCACCACGCCGCCGCCGCTCATTGGCAGTGTGTGTCCGGCGATAATAAGCAAACGCTTCTGCTTCTTTCTGTAGTTTGTCACTCCAGTAATCAGGCTTCAGTTTTAAAGGAATTGGTGGAGCCTGTCCAAACAAGATTGCCTCCTAAACATGTTGAACATGTACCTGGCCCTCTTACTTTGTTCCAAATGACACTGCTCTATTTCAGGCACCCATTACCTTTGGTCTGGACTGTTTTAACAGTTTCTCAATTGGTGGTCTTACTACCAGTCTATCTTTCCTTCAAATCTAACTCTTACAATGCCAAGTGTAATTTCTAATACATGTTAAAGTTATCTTACCAGCTCTCAGTTCAAATTTCAGAGATTTTCAAATGAGGATGAAATTGTATATGTTACAAGTGTAGGAAATCTGAAAGAGCTTATTTATATAATTTATATTACTAAAACTTGTTTTCATGACACAAATTACATTAACTGTTTTTCAAAAAATACTGTAAGATCCTCCTCAATCTGGTAAAGAATCAACTGCCAGTCGGGCACGGTGGCTCACGCCTGTAATCCCAGCACTTTGGGAGGCCGAGGCGGGCGGATCACGAGGTCAGGAGATTGAGACCATCCTCGTCAACATGGTGAAACCTCAGTCTCTACTAAAAATACAAAAATTAGCTGGGTATGGTGGCGTATGCCTGTAATCCCAGCTACTCAGGAGGCTGAGGCAGGAGAATTGCCTGAACCCAGGAGGCGGAGGTTGCGGTGAGCCGAGATCACGCCATTGCACTCCAGCCTGGGTAACAAGAGCGAAACTCCGTCTCAAAAAAAAAAAAATCAACTGCCATTCTTCTAAATCACCTTTCTCTCCAACCACTCCTATCTGTTAGAAATTCCCAAAACATACTATAAAATCCTACACATTCCTGACATTATACAGGCTTTTTACCTGTACCTAGATTACTTATTCCTCCTCTTACCTAAACCTCCACAACCTTTAAAACTTAACACTTAAAACTCAAACTCTGCACTTTTCAGTTCTATTTCAATTTTTCCATCTAGGATTTAAAATATATGAAGAGGCTGGCCAGGCACAGTGGCTCACACCTATAATTCCAGCATTTTTGGAGGCCACAGTAGGGGATCACTTGAGGCCAGAAGTTTGAGACTAACAGGGGCAACACAGTAAGACTTCTTTCAAAACACACACACACACACACACACACACACACACACACACACACACACACATTAAGAGGCTTATAATGAAAAGCAACTATGCCCTGCACTTGTACCTGGATCCTCAGAAACAATCATTTTCTTATTCTTTTAGCAGTTTCTTCTGGTTCTTAAATCTATATCCTAAACCAAAAATAGTAATATAAGCTTATTTTTTTCCATTTTCAATGCTATCTATTGACTTCTTGCTATGCAGAGAGGATTTAAGCTCACATCACCCTCATGTCTTACCACCTTATCATCCCAACATAGATATATCACTACTTTTAGTTGTTCTACTGATCCCTTAGTAACTTGAATTCTATCTTAATTTCTTATTTCATCAACAATAAACAATCTATCTTGCCTCTCTTCTTTGTAAAATGAGGGTATCAGCACCCGTATCCTTCCCTTTATTTCTTCTTTCCTCTCTCATTTCGCAATCTGTCATTTGTATTCTCACATTTTTCAAGACTGAAATTAAGTCTTCTGTATTTTAATCATAGGTTGTCAACTTTTTTTAGAAAAGCATTAACATTAACTATTATGACACTGTAAATGCTACTCATACAAAGTGAATAATATATCCTGTCTTGTGCAGTTTATTGGTTTTGTGTTTCTTCCCTCTGATGTTTCTAATTGTCTCTGTCTTTTTTATGACACTGTTTGGTTAAGCGTAACTCTGACAGTACCCAAAGACTTCTATGTAAAAGCCATTGCCTTTCTAAAGTTAAACCCATTATGCATTAATATAGAAAAGGAGAATAAAAAAAGCCAACAAGACAGAAAAAAAAAAAGCAATATAAACTTTAAGGGATTTGCATGTAACAATATGGGTACAAAACAATGGATTATATAAATTACCTATTATGAAAATTCTTGTTATATATGAAAAATGCTTCAGAATAATTTCAAAATGCCAAATATAATGATGTATGCAAATAATTACAACCATGCAAATACACTGTATCATATGATTCACCAAGTCAGATCAAAACCAAACTGTACTATGGTTTTTTTAAAGAACCCAAATGCCACCCTCTACCTCAACCCAACCTCCAGCACTGTCTTTTTAAAATCTCTTAAATTAAGACAGAAAAACAAGTGGAAAACAATCTAAACAAACCAAACCCTCCTCCATGCCTATTGTTGATTAGGATAAACAGAAAACCCTGCTTAATTATGTTATGATGATATACATCAAAAAGATTACGACACTTAAGGGTTTATTGTTTCATGAATCCCTGAACTGCTAGCCATTTTGCAGAGCATAATTTTTTAAATCACTGAAAATCACGAGCCCAGGCAAAAAAGAATGACAGCTTACTTTACATCAAATCATTACAAGATCAGTTTTCAAATAAGCATATATATTTTCATAAATTTCATATCCCCTTTTTTTTTTTTTTTTTTTAATGGAGTCTCCCTCTGTTGCCCAGGCTGGAGTGCAGTGGCGCAATCTTGGCTCACTGTAACCTCTGTCTCCCGGTTCAAGCCATTCTCCTGCCTCAGCCTCCTGAGTAGCTGGGGCTATAGGTGTATGCCACAACGGGTACTAATTTTTGTAATTTTAGTAGAGACAGGGGTTTTACCATGTTGGTCAGGCTGGTCTCCAACTCCTGACCTTGTGATCCTCCCGCCTTGGCCTCCCAAAGTGCTGGGATTACAGGCGTGAGCCACTGCACCTGGCCAATTTCATAGCCATTTTAAACTCCTCTAAATTAGTCTATCCTCTGGGGAGAAGAATCAAAAGGGAAAAAAAGGACATTAATGGTATAAGTTCATTAAGGGGGGGGGGGAAACTGATTATATTAACTCACTGGCAAAAACAGCCTTGAGAAAAAATTGTGGCTAATAGAGCTAATGTTGTTTCAACTTTAAGATAAATGTTAACAATTTTTTTCAATGAGTAATTATCATTAAATATATCCTAAATACCTTTCGACTCCTTTCCGCTGCTTTTTCATCTGCAGAGATGTGAGTACGGCACCTAGATAAAGATAGGATTTTTCAGCGTCTTACTGAAATTTAATAATCTAATCATAGTTACAACAAAACCATCTGAAATTACCAGTTTCTTTTTCCCAAAGTGTGAGTGTGATTATGGCCACATTATTTACTTGACATTATACATTTTCCCTAAAAGTATCCAAACAGCCACTAAAACTGCAATTATTTTATACGATCATGAAATATATAATACACAAAACCATATAAACAAATTTAAAGTCATCCTTTAGTATCCATGGAAGACTTAGTTCCAAAACTTCCAGCAGACACTAAAATTCTCGGATGCTCAAGTCCCTAATATAAAATGGTATAGTATTTGCATATAACATAAGCACCTCCTCCTGTGTATTTTAAATCATCCCTACATTACTTCCAATGTATTGTTTAGAGAATAATGACATGAAAATAAACTCTATACAGGTTCAATATAGACACAATTTTTCTTCTTCCAAATATTTCCAACCCACAGTTGGGTAAATCTACAAACGCATGTTTTCTGTTATTTGTGGATACATGCTTTTCCATTATACACTTGGTCCTCCCAACTATGAAGGAGGAGTAAGTGTATAATGAACACCGATGTATGAACAATCCAACTTGAGAAATATTACATTTCAAAATATAGAAGGTTCTATGAGCAGTCTACTCAATCACATTCCCTTCCTTCCTTCTCAAAATCAAACATTCTAAGACAGAGTTTACCAGGCACATCTTTATAAGTTTTACTAGAAATTTATATATATAGCAAATACTTGCTTCATAGTCTGAGTATGCCTTTTCACTGTTTTCATAGTGTTCTAAAAGAATTTTTAAATTCTTTTTTTTTTTTTTTTTTTTGAAACAGAGTTTCACCCTTGTTACCCAGGCTGGAATGCAATGGCACCATCTCGGCTCACCGCAACCTCCGCCTCCTGGGTTCAGGCAATTCTCCTGCCTCAGCCTCCCAAGTAGCTGGGACTACAGGCACGCGCCACCATGCCCAGCTAATTTTTTGTATTTTTAGTAGAGACGGGGTTTCACCATGTTGACCAGGATGGTCTCGATCTCTTGACCTCGTGATTCACCCGCCTCGGCCTCCCAAAGTGCTGGGATTACAGGCGTGAGCCACCGCGCCCGGCCTTAAATTCTTTTAACATTTATTTTAAATTAAATTTAAACAATTAATTAAACAAATCTAATTTTATCTTTAATTTTTTTTTTTTTTTTTTTTTTTTTTTGAGACGCAGTCTTGCTCTGTCACCCAAGCTGGAGTACAGTGGGGCAGTCTCAGCTCAGGGCAACCTCCACCTCCCACAGTCAAGCAATCTTCCTGCCTTAGCCTCCCAAGTAGCTGGGACTACAGGCATGTGCCACCAAGCCCGGCTAATTTGTGTATTTTTATTAGAGACGGGGTTTCGCTATGTTGGCCAGCCTGGTCTCAAACTGCTGACCTCAGGTGATCCGCCCTCCTTGGCCTCCCAAAGTGCTGGAATTAATGGGTGAGTTACTACGCCCAGCCCAAATCTTTAATTTTTAATTTTAATTTCTTCCCTTACAGTTTGTGCTTTCTGTGTGTTGTGTATTCTTGGCCCTTTACTATTCCAAACCATTAACATGTTATCTCTGTCCATTTGTTAAATTCTCTTCGTCTTTCAATACAATTTTATAAGAAAAGTCTTACACAGCTTTTGTTAGACATGTTCTCACACAGCATTTTGCTGTTACTATTACACATTTTTTAGATTTTTTTTGTTTGTTGCTACTATTTACAAACTCAGTTTTAATATACAGAACTCATTATCCCAGCAATATTGAACTCGTTAAGTCTAATTAAGTTTTTAAGGGAGTTAAGTTCTTTCAAGCTTAGCCAGTAGGTAACTGAAAGAGCCTACAAACAGCTCCAGAGTGAAGAAAACTATTAGTCCTACTTTCGACTCTTTCAACTTTCTCAGCCAGTATGGATGAAGAATTATTCTTTCTCAACTCATAGCTACTTTCATATCATAGCAGTTAATGAGATGATAGGAAAAATACAATGTCTGACACAAAGTATCTTCCTTCTGTACTCTTTCTCACACCCCAATCCATAATCAATATAAGGCTGACTAAAACAGAAAATAAAATAAATATTCCTTAGCAGGCCATCATTCCTTCCATATTTTCATCTCATCAGTGTAAGAGGAAGAAAAATTTTCCTACCTGTATCTCACTTGCTCAGCTAGTAAAGTAACGAAATTTAGAATGCAATGCCTATTCTTAAATGATAAAAGAAACTAAGCTTTGTTGAGTAGTCCACTTACGTCGGTTATTATGCTAGTCGCATATATTATCTCATTTAACACTTCAAATGGGGGCATTTTCCGCATTTCATAGGTAAAAAATCTGAGGTTCAGAGAAATTAAAGATTTGCCCAAATTTAAATACGTACAAACTACCAAAACTAGTATTTTATAACACCAGTGTATCAGGCTCCAAAAGCATGTTATTCACATTTACACAGTCTCTAAGAAATGACCAAAGACAATTAATTAACTAAATTCCAGTTCCTCTTGTCATCTATACTAATCAGAAAAAAAGCTAGAGGAATAAGGAACCAGATCAGTTACCCAGAGTTCCTAAACAGAACATTTCATTTTGTTTCTGGTTACAAAGCTACAAAAACAACAATCCAAAGAGAAGTAAGACTTACGGCTGTTTGAATGACTCTGTGTGGACAGCTGTGGTCTTCAGGTGAGCAACATTAATTTCATCTGAGAGTTCTTCTACAGTCTCAATGTCCACATGCTCCTCATCATCTTCAATGTATTCTACACAGTTATTCTGAAATACATCATTACAACAGTAAATAATGTATTGAGTGGCAAGCACACTTAAACTCTTCAACTGCATGCTCCCTTTATAAAACCAACTAATGCCGAACATTTAGTGTTATGAGTACTGATAATTGTAAAACTGTTAGTCATAACAAGGAATTAAGACAGAAAGATAACATATCATTAGAATTAACACCAAGAACTATGTTGTAAGTCACAGATATATATATTCAACAGATATCATGGCCAGCTGTGGTGGCTCACACCTATAATATAGCACTTTAGGAGGCCCAGGCAAGTGGATCGTTTTGAGCTCAGGAGTGCAAGACCAGCCTGGGCAACACGAAAAAACTCTATCTCTACCAAAAAAAAAAAAGCAAAAATTAGCTAGACATGGTGGCGCTCGCCTGTAATTCCAGCTACTTGGGAGGCTTAGGTGGGAGGACTGCTTGAGCCCAGGAGCTCAAGGCTGCAGTGAGCCAAGACTGCATCACTGCACACCAGCCTGGGAGACAGAGTGAGATCCTGTCTCAAAAAAATAAAATATAAAATAAATAAACAGACATCACTAAACAGAGTCCTCAAAGGACTGCACTGATGCTTCAATGTAATTTCTAGTAGACAAAATTCAGGTACGGATCTATTAAGGTTTCATAAAGCTAACCATTAAACAAGAGTAAAATAAAATTTGGTGAGAGAAATAGGAAAAGAAGAAAAATTCAAGTTCCACTTTAAGAAGGCTTCATGACTAACATCCTATCGAATGCCCACAAATCAACACACATTAGCATACAAAGACAAGTATGGAAATAGGATATAGCCCAGTCCTGCAACAATCTCAACCCCACAAAATGAGAGCTTGTGAGGAATTTCAGGTTTCCAAAAAGCCCAGGGTTGCTGTATTTCCTTATTATACCAAAAAAGGAGTCAACCAAGTAAGCGTTTACTGAGCACCTGTCACAGAAACTTGCTAAATGTTTATGTAACAGTAGAGTTATATGGATACATGGGATAATCAGATCTTTTTAAATCCACCTTTAAAATAGTGTTCACTTGCAACTTCTCTGTGCCAAAAATCAATCAATCAAAGTGTCTACTATGCCAGAAACGAAACACTGTGCCAGAGAGGCAAAACTCAAAATGAAGTATCCCAATCATTAATTCTATGCTTAAACTTGCTAGAAAAAAATTACCCCAATTTATAGGCTTCACAAGGCTGATACACTAAATGCAAGCCATCATTTATGTTCCCAACTCAATTAAAGGATAATTTAAACAATATATATTAAATTTAAACAATGTAAACAATGTGTACTAAAATTAACTCTAGAAGGCAAAATCAAGACTGACAACAAAAGCTAAAAAAGTAGTAATGGGCCAGGAACGGTAGCCTACACCTGTAATCCCCACAATCCGAACACCCTGGAAGACCAAGGTGGGTGAATCACTTGCACCCAGGAGTTCAAGACCTCCTGAACCACACAATGAGATCTCATCTCTACAAAATATTAGCCAACCATGGTGGTGCATGCCTGTAGTCCCAGATGCTCAGGAGGCTAAGCTGGCAGGATCACTTGAGCCCTGGAAGTAGAGGTTGCAGTGAGCAGAGATCATGTCATTGCACTCCAGCTTGGGTGACAAAGACCCCGTCTCACAAAAAAAATGAGTAGTAGTAGTAGTAGTCACAGTAGTAATGCAGGTAGATGCTTTATAATACTTAAGTTTGAAGAATGTCTGTATGTCTGCCTACTGCATGCTTTTAACTGCAGGATTTTTTTCTTTTTTTCTTTAAGATGGAGTCCCACTCTAACACCCAAGATAGAATGCAATGGCACAATATTGGCTCACTGCATCCTCCACCTCCTGGATTTAAGAAATTCTCCTGCCTCAGTCTCCCAAGTAGCTGAAACTATAGGCACATACCACCATACACAGCTAATTTTTATATTTTTGGTAAAGATGGGGTTTCACTATGTTGGACAGGCTGGTCTCAAACTTCTGGGCTCCAAAGTGCTGGGATTACAGGCATAAGCCACCACGCCTGGCATAACTGCAGGATTTCTAAATAATATCCAATAACTTTGACAAAGGAAGATTTAAATTAAAGGAGCTACTCACAACTTCCCTCACAGTATTCCAATATAACAATATAATGCTAATCATAAAGATAACACAGGTGTGGGGTGTGTACATAAAAACAATGTCAACTTCAGGTTTGAGAGATCACTTAATATAATCTTACTTAAAAAAAAAAAGTCAGTATAATTTGTTTGCTTGTCAAATTCCCTATTAGTACATTCAAGCAATGCCTCCTTGTGTGATTAACATACTTTAGGCTGGGCGTGGTGGTTTATGCCTTAATCCCAGCACTTTGGGAGGCCGAGGTGGGCAGATCACCTGATGTCAGGAGTGCAAGCCCAGCCTAGCCAACATAGTGAAACCCCGTCTCTACTAAAAATACACAAATTATCCGGGTGTCAGCTTCGCAGGAGGATGAGGCAGGAGAATCACTTGAACCTGGGAGGCGGAGACTGCAGTGAGCCAAGATCTTACAAATGCAAATCCAGCCTGGACAACAAAGCAAGACTCTAACAAAAAACAAAAACAAACAAAAAAAACTATTTTAAAGGTTCTGTTATGGCAGTTTCACTAACAGTTATAATTTTCACCAGTTTTAAAGATGGACTGTTTTTTGGTCTGATGTTTACTTGGGCTGACTTACAGAAGGTGACTGCAAAAAACACCAAAAAATCTGCATTATAACTCCTAAAGTCGATGAATTTACATACATCCTTGAAAAAGATTAAGCTATGGAGAGAAAGTATAAGTCAAATGAATATAAATCATCCAATTTTAGAAACAGATCCTCCTTTATAAATTAGACAACAGAGGTACTGATATGACCAATATAAGCACATTAAGACCAGCCTGGCCAAGATAGTGAAACCCCATCTCCACTAAAAATACAAAAATTAGCTGGGCACAGTGGTAGGCTCCTGTAATCCCAGCTACTCAGGAGGCTGAGGCAGGAGCATTGCTTGAACCTGGGGAGCAGAGGCTGCAGTGAGCCTAGAATGCGCCACTGCACTCTAGACTGGGTGACAGAGCAAGACTTTGTCTTTTAAAAAAAAAAAGAACATTAAAATATTTCAACATTATAGATTTTTAAAACAATAATCTTTTTGTTATATTTTATGTGCAAAAAGCAGTTAAGCACTAACAGAAAAGAACCAGATAACACAGAGGCAGAATGAATCTCAAGGAAGTGCAATTCTAAAACAAGCAGTTGTATGACAATCAGTGCAGATGGCTGTCATCTGCTACTGAAAAGAATACAGTTTAGATTTTAGGGCACTCCACAGGCAGCTGGCTATGATATCCCTATGTTTTATATCAGACCTTACTTCAGGCATAAGCAAACCACAGCGCAGTAACTTTTTTTTTTTTTAATAAAGTTTTTTTGAGATGGAGTTTCGCTTATGTAGCCCAGGCTGGAGTGCAATGGCACGAGCTCAGCTCACTGCAACCTCCGCCTCTCAGGTTCAAGTGATTCTCCTGCCTCAGCCTCCTCAGTACTGGGATTACAAGCATCCACCACCACACCCGGCTAATTTTTTGTATTTTTAGCAGAGATGGGGTTTCACCATGATGGTCAGGCTGGTCTTGAACTCCTAAAATCAGGTGATCCACCCGCCTAGGCCTCCCAAAGTGCTGAAATTACAGGCGTGAGCCACTATACTTGGCCTTTTTAAAATAAAGTTTCAATGGAATATAGCTGTTTTAATACAACAGCAGTCAAGCAATTGCAACACAGAGCCATCTGGCTCTCCGCAAAGTCTAAAACTATTTACTATCTGGCCCTTTAGAGAAAAAGTTTGTCCAACTCCTGCACTATATCAATACCTGACAGTTACTTAGTTTAGTAAATACAACAACCCTAAATAGGAATTCTATCAAAACACTTCAGGAAAATAATAAAAATAGGCCATAAAGGGCATATTACAAGGGATGATGACAAAAGTCTAGAATATAAATTCTAGAGACCATTTAATTTTTGGAAATAAAAGCAACTCAAGGGAAGATGATATTGGAATATTAGATGGTATTTTCCAGTTTTTCTCCACAAACAAAAACACCATTCTAAATGCAAGTGTGTAAGTTCTAAGGTCACCCACTCCCAGTTTCTGATTAACATTTACCAGAGAAGCTACAACCACCTCACATATAAGACGTCACAGAAATTGACTGAGCTCAAATGGGAGTAGTGGTTTCAAGATTTTAAAAATCCAACTTGGTAGGGACTCTTAAGCACCTATCCCCCAAAGGCTTAAGGCAGCCTTCCCAGAAAACCAGAAAAGTCTCAAAGAATAATATAAGCTCAATAAATATTGCTTGACTGACACAACCTAAAAACTACTAAGCTATTTAAGTCATAATATAAACCTAGGCATCCAATTAAATGTATTTTATCTTAGTGATCTTCTGAAAAAGCTACTGTCTCTAATAAATCATTTACATCCTTTAGGTTTTAGTCACAAGAAAAATAGGCTCACCACCTTTTCTATATCATCAACCTCCTCACTCTGGTAGTCAGAAACAACATCCACAGTTTCATCAATAGAATCATCGGTTTTCTCATTCTCATCTTCGTCCTCTTCCAAATCAAAAACAGTGAGGTCAGCACTGCTTCTCCCACTCTTCTTCTTTTGCTTTGGTTGTATCTGTTCTCCAGGTAGCAGTAAATGACCCTGAAAATGTCCATTCCCTCTGCTGCTTTTTGCAGCTCTCCTAGGAACAATGGAGAAGGCTGAAGGACTAGAAATCCTACTCCAAGAATCACATTCGGTTTTCAAAACGCTGGCATCTTCAGTGATTCCCCTTTTTCCAAGTAAGTCAGAGATGCTTTGTTGTTGTTGAAACACATCTGAATTTTCCTGACATGTCTTTGTTTCTTTAATTAACTGCTCATCTGCCTCTTGCTTACATTCCTGGGAAGCTCCAACACATTTCCTGGTTAAGGGGCCCTTCAGATGTCTTCTCCACCTTTCCCTAATACTGTCTTTCTCCAGAGAGTCTCCACATTCCTTCTCTGTGGCCTCTGTCTGTGGATGAGATTGCTGCTCCACACCTTTGCTCCCTGACAATTCAAATTTACTTTCTTCCTTAGAGATGTCTGGAAATTCATTTGAGTTTTCTTCTGGATTGTCTAATCCTTTCTGCTGTTCCACCTTCCTATCACCAAGTTTTTGATGCTGTACTTTACTCATATTTTGAACTGTCTTATTACTGGCTTTTTCAGAAATGGTCCTAACTTCTAGAACAGCCACTTTTTCTTTGGAACTCTTATGATTCCTAGCCCCACATTCTTCATTAACATCTTTATAGTCTTCATCTCTATGTGACCCAGTGATACAGGAATGCTTAGATGGTTTGACAGTTGCAGAACCTTCTTCTCGAAGGGATTCTTCATCCAAATGATCACTCCTGTCTTCCAAGGAATCATTCAGAGTTTCTTCTGAGGTAGCAGCTCCTGAGTTTTGTTTTACTGTATTAGCCTCAGGGTCTACAGCCTGTCCTTCTGACTGTAGAACCTTCTTGGTTTCTTCCTCTCTTTTTATTGAGTTTTTTCCATCTTTCTGGTCTGGATTCTGAGATTCTCTCTTCATTTGAAGAGAAGCTACATGTTGAAGAATGGAGCTAGGAACAGGCTTTTGTCCTGGGAGCTGTAACAAGGCAAAACTACCAGACTGGAGAGGAATAAGACTGGCTGTACCAACAGGCTGTCCTCCTGAGCTATAGGTTATTTTGGTTTCAGAGCCTGTTTTACTTGCAAAGCTTTGTGGTTCAGGAGCAGAAATCCTCAGGGTCAATGTACCAGCCTGAGACACAAAACTAGCTCCAGAGGAAAGCAATGATGGTGCCTGAGTGATAACATTTACTGCTGAAGATCCAACAGCTTGGATTACAGGATTCATGACAGAGAAAGCAGAGGATGAAGTGGAAGACGGTGGAGTCTCAGAGGGTTTGGAAGGAGCAGGTAACCGGATTCCCATCACAGACCCTAGTTTAAAAAATAAGAGAGAAATTTTTAAATCATGACTGCCTATATCAAGACTTCCAATGCTTGCTTTTCTTTTTGGAAAAGCAACTCTAAGAAAGGAAGAAAAACTATCCTGGTGTATTAACATACCATATGGCCAACTGATGCAACAAAAGAAAAGTTAGTAAGAAAGAAGTTTATACCTGGGTTCCGAAACATGACAGGCTGTAAGTTGGGCTGAGTATTAGAGCCTCGAAGCTGATGCAAAGGTAGAAGCTGGACAATTTGCCCATTAGGGTGCCTGAATAGGTTCATTCCACTTGGACTCCTAACAGGCTGTAAGACCATCCGATGTCCCTGAAGTTGTGTGTTTGAGACAGGTCTAAGAGAAGGAGAACCCTGCTGCACTGGAATCAACAATAATCGAGGTCCAGCACGCTTCACTGTGTTAGAAGAGACCTGTGGAGTAGCCACTGGAATTTGAGCAGCATTTTCTGAAAAACAGGAAATGGAAACATAGTACGAAAACTCCCCTTTAACACATGTACGAAAAAAAAGTATTTATAATTTTTAAATTTTTTTGAGACACAGTCTTGCTCTGTTGCTCAGGCTAGAGTGCAATGGCACAATCTCGACTGACTGCAGCCTCCACGCCTCCCTGGTTCAAGTGATTCTCCCACCTAAGCATCCTGAGTAGCTGCGACTACAGGTGCACACTACCACACCTGGCTTATTTCTGTATTTTGGGGCAGAGACAGGGTTTCACCATGCTGGCCAGGCTGGTCTCAAACCCCTGACCACCAGTGATCTGCCCTCCTTGGCCTCCCAAGGTGCTGGGGATTACAGGCATGAGCCACTGCACACAGCTTTTTTTTTTTTTTTTTTTTTTTGTCCGAATCTCACTATGTCGCCCAGGCTGGAGTGCAGTGAGGCGATTTTGGCTCACTGCAACCTCCACCTTCTGGGTTTCCAGTGATTCTCCTGCCTCAGTCTCCCATGTAGCTGGGATTACAGGTGCCCATCACCATGCCCAGCTAATTTTTATATTTTTAGTAGAGATGGGGTTTCACCATCTTGGCCAGGCTGGTCTTTAACTCCTGACCTTGTGATCCACCTGCCTCTGCCCTTCAAAGTGCTGGGATTACAGGCATGAGCCACCACACCTGGCCTATTTTTTTTTTTTTTTTAAGAGACAGGGTCTCACTTGTCACCCCAGCTTCAGTGCAAGGGCTCAATCATAGTTTGTTGCAGTCTCTAACTCCCGCCTCAACCTTCCAAGTAGCTGGGACTACCAGAACCTGTCACTACACCTGGCTAATTATGTTATTCTTTGTAGAGTCAGAGTCTTGCTTTATTGCTCAAGCTAGTCTCGAACTCCTGGCCTTCCAAAATGCTGGGACTGCAGTCATGAGTTCACCATGCCCAGTCAAATAAACAAACAAAAAAACTATTAAGGCACAGAATCTGACCTTGCTGCAAAATAACTTCTAATCTGAAATATAAAGTTGCTGAAATTCTGTACTTTCATTAATACATTATTTATGGCTGAGAACAACCAGACATTATGGAGCTTTACACTTAGAATGGTAAAAAATAGAGTATCAATTGTCAAGAGGCACATTTAAAGAGATAATACTTCTGCCTAAATAAAAACATGGGTATCCCTCTAAATTTGGATTTCTGTTAAAGAGATCCTTTATGATAAAATTATTCTTCAATTTTATTTTATTTATTTATTTATTTATTTTTGAGACAGAGTCTTGCTCTGTCCCCAGGCGCCAGGCTGGAGTGCAGTGGCGCAATCTCGACTCACTGCAACCTCTGCCTCCTGGGTTCAAGCAATTCTCCTGCCTCAGCCTCCTGAGTAGCTGGGATTACAGACACACACCACCATACCCAGCTAATTTTTGTATTTTTAGTAGAGACGGGGTTTCACCATGTTGGCCAGGATGGTCTTGATCTGTTGATCTCGTGATCCACCCACCTTGGCCTCCTGAAGTGCTGGGATTACAGGCGTGAGCTACCGCGCCCGGCCTATTTTTAAAATTTTTTTAGAAAGGATCTCACTCTGCCGCCCCAGCTGGAGTGCAGTGGTACCAGAGCTCACTGCTGCCTCAAACTCCCAGGCTCAGCCAAAGGAGCTGGGACCACAGATGCAAATTTTTGTTTGTTTTGTTTTGTTTTAGAGAGAAGGAGTGTGCTGTATTGCCCAGGCTGGTCTTCAACTCCTGGGGCTCAAGCGATCCTCCTGCCTCAGCCTCCTAAAGTGTTGGGATCATAGGTATGAGCCACCATGCCTGGCCTCTTTATTTTTTTAAATAAAATCCATATCCTGCACAATTTAACTTTAAGGCTCATAACACTTACTAGAAATATGACTGAATTTCTAAGCTTATACTACCTGAGGAAGACAAAGAACAAAAAATTCTTGGTTTATAAAGGGCTTCTTGGTTTTTAAAATTCACTAATAAGCAAAGCTTAAAGGTTTGTGGGAATTACTTTTCAGAAGAGAAAAATGACATAAAGCCCTCAAAATGTAATAAAATTAACACACATCATAGAAGCAGGGAAATAAACCTGGCTTAGAAAGGCAAAAAGGCCAGGTGGCTCATGCCTGTAATCCCAGCACTTTGGGAGGCCAAGGCGGGTGGATCACCTGAGGTCAGGAGTTCGAGACCAGCCTGGCCAATATGATGAAACCCCATCTCTACTAAAAATATAAAAATTCGCTGGGAGTGGTGGCAGGGTTCTGTAATCCAAGCTATTCGGGAGGCTAAGGCAGGAGAATTGCTTGAACTCAGGAGGCGGAAGTTTCAGTGAGCTGAAATCACATCACTGCACTCCAGCCTGGACAACAAGGGCAAGACTTCATCTTAAAAAAAAAAAAAAAAGAGGCAAAAGATGCTTTTAAAATAGCTTTATAGCAGAAATTTAATGCAGAAGATGTGAATTAATAGAGATTTCAAACCATTAACAGTACTTACAGATGCCCTTTACTGATTAGAAGAGATATTTAAAAGAAATACTAAAGACATAGGAAAAAACAGTACAAGTAATCTAGATTTCTTTTTTTAGATCAGAGAGATAATAGTAAGCATAAATAAAACTGGTCTAACATTACTATTCAAATTGGTGAGCTTATTTAACATTAATACATAAAACTTCAAAAGCTTGCTACTCAAGAGAAAAAAATCAAACAAATGAAACAAAGATTTTAGCTTAACAGGCATTCTGCACACACACAAAAAATATCAAATTTCTCAAAGAAAATTAAAAATTACATTAAAAATCCAGGACTACTCTCAAAAATTAAATAAAACACAAAGACTAAACTGTTCATGAAAATAACTGTGTTCAAATTAAACAAAAAATATTAATCTCCTCCCCCCCGCCCCGACAGCCTTACTCTGTTGCCCAGGATGGAGTGCAGTGGCACGATCTCGGCTCACTGCAATCTCTGCCTCCTGTGCTCAAGTGATTCTCATGCCTCAGCCTCCTGAGTTGCTAGGACTACAGACATGTGCTGGGACTCTAGAACTATGCCACCACACCCAGCTAATTTTTCTATTTTTAGTAGTGATGGGGTTTTGTCATGTTGGCCAGGCTGGTCTTGAACTCTGTACGTACCTCAGGTGATCCACTCACCTCAGCCTCCTAAAGTGCTGGGATTACAGGCATGAGTCATATTCATCTATCTTGTGTGAATTAAGAAATATGTACATGTTAATGCATTCTAAATTTTTCAACTTTTCTTTTCAAAATAACTTTTAGAGACTGATTCAAAACCTAATTCAGAGAATGAAAATAGTCTTTAATATACACACTAAATAGGTGATGGTTTACTTAAATGTGCAAGAGAAAGGAAGGTAAAGAGAAAAAGGAGGAAAATCAAATTTTAAAAGCCACAGATGGCCACGCACGGTGGCTCACACCTATAATCCTAGCACTTTGAGAGACCAAGGGGGGCATATTGCCTGAGCTCAGGAGCAACATGCTGAAACCCAATTTCTACTAAAAATGCAAAAAACTAACCGAGTGTGGTGGTGCACACCTGTAGCACCAGCCACTCAGTAGGCTGAGGTTGCAGTGAGCAGCAACTTAGCCACTGCACTCCAGCCTGGGTGACAGAATAAGACCTCTGTCTCCATTCAAAAAAAAAAAAAGCCACAGATATCATAGTGCCAAAGTGGGATCCTCTTTACAAATAGAGAAAAAATTACATATATTTCTTTAGATAGCAGTTACCTGAGTCAGGTCTATTTATTTTAAAAGATTAGAAAATTAAAAAAAATATATATGAAAAGATTAGAAAATTTGTTAACATTAGTATTTCCTGGTAGGATGCAGTAGCTCACACCTGTAATCCCAACACTTTGTGGGGCCAAGATGCAAGGACACCTTGAGCCCAGGAGTCCAAGACCAGCCTAGACAACATAGTGAGATGTCATATCTACTGAAAATCAAAACAATTAGCCAGGTACGATGGCATATGCCTGTGATTCCAGCTATCCAGGAGACTGAAATGAGAGGATCACTTGAGCCTGAGATGTCAAGGCTGCAGAGAGCCATGATCACGCCACTGCACTCTAACCTGGATGACAAAGCAAGACCCTGTCTCTCTATATATACATAAAAATTTTTTAATAAAAATAAATTTTTATTAAAAATATATCTACATATTTTTTAACATCAAATGGTATTATAGAAGATATTTTTAGCTACCAGTCTTTGATGATATGTCTTTAATGTTACTCTAGTATTTTCTAGCTTTCTTCTTTTAGCTATGTGCTCAGAATATATAGTAGCTAACAGGAATTTAATCATTTTTTAAAATATTACAGTTTCTGGTATATTTATTTATAGGGTTAACCTCTATTATGCTGAGTAATGCTGGTTTCCAATTCATGCTGTCTCTTAAAAACACATTTACAGCCGGGCATGGTGGCTTAAACCTGTAATCCCAGCACTTTGGGAGGCCAAGGCAGGCGGATCACAGGGTCAAGAGTTGGAGAAGCCTGGCCAGCATTGTGAAACTCCATCTCTACTAAAAGCACAAAAATCAGCTGGGCATGGTGGCAGGCGCCTGTAACCCAAGCTACTCAGGAGGCTAAGGCAGGAGACTCGCTTGAACCCAAGAGGCGGAGGGTGCAATGAGCCAAAATCACACCATCGCGCTCCAGCCTGGGCAACAAGGGCAAGACTGTTTTGGGGGAAAAAAAAAAAGGCAAAAGATGCTTTTAAAACAGAGCAAGACTCCATCTCATAAATAAACATTTACATATTTAAAAGGCAGTTGATTTAAATAAAAATATTAAGCAGCTGACAGTACAGAGCAAAATATCTGAATGCATATCCTGAATAAGTCTGAGAAACAACAGAATTACAGAAGAATAAACTACTTTATTGTTTCATGCAAGAATTAAGAGTACAGGGAAAGGTTGGAATCCATACAGTTTAGAAGATATGATCTATTGAAATATAACAGATATGCACGTTAAGATTCAATAGGAAATTAAAGTAGCTTCACTAACAATTTCACTTCCAAAACTATGTATCAGACTAATCATGTTTTATGGGCTTATTTATGGGAAGAAGCAGATGACAAACACATTTAATATTGTGACTCACTTTTCCCTTCAACAGAACTTCAACCTACAAACTAACTCCCAATCTCTTCTTCCATAAAAGACAGAGAGGGATTTGGACCACATCACTAAATGCAAAAATATTTAAGAGAAAAACATCAATAACCAAGACAGAATTCCTATTGGGTAATTATTTCGCCTCAAATCCTACAGTCTCTTGCTCTTTTCCACATTAATTCCTCTATGAGTGGATTAAAAGAACAACTTACTTTAGCTATTTGCATCTGGATATAAAAACTACCAAAGTGTAGGATATTCCTTTTCAAATTCACTCAATCTAAGCCAATAAACAAGACTTTAACTAAAAAGTTTATAAAAATATTAGAACACTAAACAAATATGCCTCCTTATTTCTATTTCAATCAGTTCATGTCCAGCAATTAAATAAGTGCTGATTCACTAATGCTTTTTACTAGACAAAGGCAATGTAGTCTGCTCATCTCTCTCTAATTGAAAAGCAGCACCCTCCCCACCCCACAGAAGGAACACTTGCATTTGGGGCTCCCTCCTCAAAGATGTGCACTCCTAGCTCTCAGCACACAGCAGGTCAGGTTTCCTCCCATGCCCATCTTAGAAGCTCTGAGCTCCAGTCTTATCTGCATTATTTGAGTATCAGCCACCACTTCCTTTCTAATGTTTCTGAGTATTTTGAGTGGCAACCTCCAGCTCCACTAAACTATCAGTCAAGGTTGTTCAAGTTATCTCTCAAGGTTATCAGTTATTGTTTTTATTAATGTTCTGGTGAAAAAACTGCATATATTTTCAGTGATTTACTCCAATCCTATATTAACCATGAGCTCTATTAATTTTAGTGTTCAGTTTTGCAGCACGCAGAGGTTTTCAGGAATACATGTATCATGTTACAACAGAAATACCTATACTGTTATCCTGATATAGCTATAATCCTATCACAATCACAAAGTTATATAAATAGCTGTACAGTAATAAAGCAGCTAATAACATCTAGGCCTTACCTGGTCTCTGGCTCACTGGTGGACTTCCATTAATTCCTGAGAGTATAATAGGAACAGAGCCCAGAGATGAAGTTGGCGTGGTCACCACTGAGGAAGATGCAGCTGTAGTCACCACGACTAAGGAGGTGGAAGCAGTGGAAGCAACAGGAAGAGTTATGGTTGGAGGAGATGCTACCAAAGACTTAGGAAAAGCAACTGAAGCCACAGGGGTAGTTATCCCAGTGGTTTTGGTAAGGTTCACAGTGGCTGTAGACTGGGTAGACGTTACAGGGGTGCTGATACTAGTTTCAGAGACCTCAACCCCTGTAGTAGTGGCACCAGAAGAATAAGTAGTTTCCTTAGTTTCCACATCAGAAATAGCAGTCATAGGTGTCACAGCAGTAACATTTTCTAAAAACACTTGAGGGGTGGTAGTAGTGACAGCAGCAGTCACAGGGCTGCACACCTGAACTGGTTCAGAAGAAACCACAGGTGTGACGACCATTACTGGAGAAGGTCTGATATTGAACTTCTGTGGCCCTCCCATGGTTTGGGGTGTGCTAACTCCAGGTATCTTCTGCTGCAAGGCTCCAACTTTACTCATCACAAACTGTGTGAACACACCACCAGGAGAGGGTCGAGCCGCTGCAAATAGAAATTTGCAGGTCAAAAATCTTCAGTTCTGATATTTTATCCTCTTAGTGACTGTGCTTACCAACATTTATTGTGCACCACTGGGTCAATTTCTTACAGGTACTACCTACCTGCATTATTTGTGCCAATTTCTACCCTCAGAAATCAAGCACTTGCCTCGGCCAAAAACAAACCTTTATAATTCTAACAGGAAAGGTATTAAAATTGAGTGTTCCAGGCGGGAGGCAGTGACTCACACCTGTAATCCCAGCACTTTGGGAGGCCAAGGCAACGGATCACGAGGTCAGGAGTTCGAGACCAGCCTGGCCAACATGGTGAAACCCTGACTTTACTAAAAATACAAAAATTAGTTGGGTGTGGTGGTGCGGGCCTGTAATCCCAGTTACTCAGGAAATTGAGGCGGGAGAACTGTTTGAACCCAGGAGGTGGAGGTTGCAGTGAACTGAGATAGTGCCACTGCACTCCAGCCTAGGTAACAGAGCAAGACTCCATCTTGAAAAGAAAAATTTAAAAATAGAGTGTTCCTACTAAAATTCTTGTGCAATATATTCAAACTGTCAGGATACTAAAAAGACAATACAGTAGCAAAAACTTCATCACCTAAAACAGATAAAAGAAAATGAGAGGGTTTTCCCCCCAAATTCTAATGTAAAAACTTGTTTCTACCATTTCCTCCTGTCTGAGCACTTTCACCTCTACAGCTGTGCTATTATGAGATGGTTATATATTACATATTCTTAAAATATATAAAGACATTTCTCAAAAGAGATCAGGATAGGATTGCTTTACTTCCCCTCAGTCACAATTGAAGCTGCTTTACAAGAGGTAAAATAGGTTCTTTTTATGGCAGACAATAAATACCTTCTATCTTCACATAACTCTAGCCATTCAGCCAGAGATTTCAGCTGACACACTTACTTAACATTCCTAACAGATAAGAAACAACAAAACAAAGAATGCAATAAACCAACTACAGATACTCTCAATGCTAAAACACAAATGCTTCAAGAAGGTAATTTATTACAGACTTCAGCATTTAAATGTTAAGCAAAAGAGATTTTCATTCATCAGTGGCTCACACCTGTAATCCTAGCACTTTGGGCGGCTAAGGCAGGCGGATCACCTGAGGTCAGGAGTTCGAGACCAGCCTGACCAACATAGAGAAACCCTGTCTCTACTGAAAATACAAAAAATAAGCCGGGTGTGGTGGCACATGCCTGTAATCCCAGCTACTTGGGAGGCTGAGGCAGGAGAATAGCTTGAACCCAGGAGGTAAAGGTTGCAGTGAGCCAAGATCACGCCACTGCATTCCAGCCTGGGCAACAACAGTGAAACTCTGTCTCAAATAAAAAAAAAAGAGAGAGAAATTTTCATTCACAAAACAGAGATGAATAGAATAAACCAACATTGCCAAAATTGTATTTATAGGAGCTTTCTACTTTAAGCCTGTGCTACTCACCCCACCAGCTTTTGCTAGTTCCTTGATTTCATAAGTTTACAAACTACCAACAGAAGAATTTATATAGCACCAGCAAGAATTCAGCAAGATGCCAAAAACACCAGCCCTCATAGGAAAATAGTAAACTCTTTTTAATTTAGTAAAATATTTTAATAAATAATTTAGTAAAATAGTATTTTAAATACTAAACTTTTTGGGGGGGTGGGGGGAGACGGAACCTCACTCTGTCGCCAATGCTGGAGTGCAGTGGTGCAATCTCGTCTCACTGCAACCCTGCCTCCCGGGTTCAAGAGATTCTCCTGCCTCAGCCTCCCGAGGAGCTGGGATTATAGGCATGTACCACCAATGCCTGGCTAATTTTTATATTTTTAGTAGAGACAGGGTTTCACCATGTCAGCCAGGCTGATCTCAAACTCCTGACCTCATGATCCCAAAGTGCTGAGATTACAGGCGTGAGCCATTGTACCCAGCAATAGTAAACTATTTTTAAATGTCTTCCTTTTCTAGAAACGAAATTAAAGTCCTAAGTCTTTGCTACATTAATAAAAAGTCAAAAACCCTTAAAAATAACTGTAATACTTTGCCTTCAGATCAGTGTTATTAAAAATTAAAATCAAAAATTAAAAAAGCCCAGGCAAGACAGACATCAAGAATAAGAATAATGCCAAATTACATATTTCTCTAATTTTTACAACCTCCAAACCTGTACCAACTTGGCCCACCACCAAGTCATAGGCCATTCCAAACCATACGTACACTCCAACTTACCAATTGGCCGTTTTGCTGGGACAAATGCCTTCAGATTCTTCCCAGGGCGATTTGTTGGAGCGCCAGAGGAGGATGCCATTTTGGAATTGGATGTTGAAGGCAACAGGGTACGTGGTTTCCTGGATGCAGCCACCTTGGCATTGGATGCTACCTTGGAGATGACAGTACTGAGGGTTGAGAGGTCCAGGACTGAGGGTCGCAACCTGCCTGTGATATAAGCAGCTAGCCTATTGGCTGGATGCAATGCCCCCATCTGTCCCAATAGCAACTTAGCCTGCGGGTAACTCTTACCATTAACCTGAAACAAGTGGCAAAGAGAAATTCTGTAAAGATAAAATTCTCTCGCTAACTCCTCTCCCTTGACAGGGGCTTCATTTTTTACAAGTTTTTATAAGTCTATTTTTCAGATTTAAAAGGGAAAAAGAATTAGACTTTTTCCATTTAGAATAATCTGAGTAATCAAAAGGTAGAAAAATGCAGTCATTTGATATTCTGAACTAATCTCATCTCCTTCATTCTGCCGTTTGAAATAGAGAATCAGAAACTCATCATTTCTGCATTCTAGGTATGTGAAAGTTAACAAATCTAAACAATTGGAATTATCCAATTGTTTTACTTGTACATAAGCCATGCTGGCTAAGCTATTAGCCTCATCAGCAAAAATGAGTAACTGTGCCCCATGAAATGTCTCTGATAAGACCAGAGAGGGATAATGAAGCTCTCACACAAGGGTCCTTTCAAGCATCCTTCATATTTGAAAAATGTAAGTGAATCTACTTTAAGTTATAAGAGAATCACTGCTGCAATTACCTAAGCCATAATTACCTCACAGTTTTTGGCTTTCAAAAGGCTTAGCTTTAAAGATACCATTTTTATCTCTTGGACAAAACATGGATTCAAAATAAATACTGGTAGAAACTCATTCTCATTCTAGATTATTAACTAAATGGTCAGAAGAAAATGAACCAACAAATGAGGTAAAGATCCTATCTGCTGTCTCAGTTGATTAGACTGCCCATCACGGGTAGCAACAGCACAGCTGTTTTATGTGAGGGTTGTTTTTCTTTTGTTTTTTTCTGGGTTTTTTTTTTTTAAGGGAAAAGAAAAAACACCTCCCAAGTCTCTACCCATGTTCTCTAGGTCACATTGCCAGATAACTCTAGAGACGGTAACCTTCTCTGTATCTCCTTTTCACCATTTAAAAGTCAGGGGTTGGGAGAGATGGAGTGAGGTAGAATCTACTCTCTAGTAGGGAAGTGGTGAGGAGACTAGCTACAGCAAGCAACTCCATCTTCAGAGACACAAAACAAAATTACTCTTTGCTACTTCAGTAAAATTGTGATGATTCCCCCAAAGATCAAGATTATTTCTGCCTTGGATTTGGTACAAAGAATGTGATCATTCTCCCTGAAAGTAAACTTTACTATCACTTTTTAGGCTATATGGAAATAGGTCAGATACCCTTCCCGACTCTCTTGGGACTGCTCTGAAGGCCAATCTGTAGCTTCCCCAAAGTTTACCTTACAGTTGCCTGACTGCTTATGCAGACACATTCTATGGTGACTTTGTGAGTCCTGGGTAGAAGAAAACACAAAATTTCCACACTTCTATTTTAGGGAGTCTGATCTCACTAGAAATTATATCAGGCAAACCTCTGCTTTCAAAGTACCAATCAATCAATAAGGTAAAGAGAAAACACTGTACTCCTCTCATCATTAAGAGTACAAGAAATACCAACAAAAGCATTTACATAGCACGCACAACAGCAAACTGCAATAAAAAGTTTTTTAAGTAGATCAATCATATTATTAACGGAGAAGTCCTTAGTAACTTAAAAGTAGCCAATCTAATGGAAGTCAAGTTAACCCTGCAGTAATATCAAACATTTTCACACATTCACTACTCTAATATAAAAATGCATTTTTGTGTGTGAGAGACCAAGTCTCGCTGAGTAGCCCAGGCTGGAGTGCAATGGCACAATCTCAGCTTATTGCAACTTCCACCTCCCAAGTTCAAGTGATTTTCCTCCCTCAGCCTCCCAAAAAACTGGGATTATAGGCGTGCACCACCACACCTGGCTAATTTTTGTATTTTTAGTAGAGACAGCGTTTAGCCATGTTGGCCACACTGGTCTAGAACTCCTGACCTCAGGTGATCAGCCTGTCTTGGCCTCTCAAAATGCTGGGATTACAGGCGTGAGCCACCACGCCCAGCTAGAAAAACCTTTTTGACTGTGACTCACACTAATTCAGAACTTCTCTTTTCAAATTTTCCAGATGCCAGTATAATTTGACTAATATAACCTACCTGAATTACTAAATATCAAGGATAGAAATATTTGTCCTACAATAACGATTACACTGACAAAACCCCTATGAATCAAATAAAGAAAAAATATAATTAAGTAAATATGGCTCAATTTTTACTAATGTATTTAAATAACACCTTGCCAAATTAAAATTTTCAACTATACATGGCGGCTCATGCCTGTAATCCTAGCACTTTGGGAGGCCAAGGTGAGTGGATCACCTGAGCTCAGAAGTACCAAACCAGCCTAGGCAACATAGTAAAAGCTTATCTCTACCCCCCCACCCACACACACGTGCGCACACGCACATGCATGCACGCACACGCACACACACATGCACACACACACGCACATGCACACGCACACGCACACAGCCTTGGGAGGCTGAGGCACAAAGAATGGCTTGAACCTAGGAGGCAGAGGTTGCAGTGAGTCAATACTGTGCCACGGCACACCAACCTCGGTAACAGAGCAAGACTCTGACAAATAAATAAAAATTTTTAAAATGAAATAAAAATTTCCCTAAGTTTCTAAACATATACTGCCTATCATAAAGTCAATTTCATCTTCCCCTTATACCTACCATTCTAACCATGATTTTGTTTTGAAAGCTAACCGCTAATAATAAATTCCAAGAGCTAGACTGAATCCCTAACTATCCTTGCTTGCTTGTCAAAGTATCACTAGAGACCCAGGCAATAAAGTTTATGAAGAGCAACTTTCTGGGAAGGTAAGAAAGAAAATTATAAACTAATACAAGGCTCTACATTTCTGTTCGTAAATGTGACAAAAATTCACTCTAGGTATACATCTAACCTAGGCCTATTACAAAAAGAGATAATAATTTTGTCACCCAGTTCCCAGGAAACATAAAGATAAAGGATATCAGGCCCATAAAGGAGTCTGAAAAATCATGATACTACCTAGGTATAAAAAGGTGCTATACCCAGATTAAAGATAATTCTCACCTGGATAAGCCCAGATGTACTTGAACTGGGTTTACGTTTATAGGCCACAAGCTTCCCTGCAGGAGAAAGCCCTGCATAAAAAGGCAGACCTTTGCCTCCATGTAATCTCTCCCTCACTGAATCCAGGGCATCTGTCTGCACAGGAGAGATATCCTCCATTTTCCCAGGGGACAATGGACCATCAGGAGTCTCTGATCCAGATTTCTCAGCCATATCATCTTGGTCTTGACATGATGGCATAGAGATTTTCACACGAGAAGAATAAACAGGAGGGTTCTTCTCACCCCGGCTCTTTCGCTGAGAAGCCAACTCAATGATGAAGCTGCCCACCTTAAGTGATTGTGGCATGTTGCTATTGATGTGCTGGGATAAGATGCTCAAAATCTTGTTCCGATCCTCCTCCCAGTTGCAGTCTGAGATGATCTCAATCAGTTTGGTGGGACCACCAGGTGACCGCTGATGCATGTAAGAAGTAGAAGAGGATTCCCCTTCGTTGCAGGAAGACTTCCAGCTCTTTTCTGATGAGAAATAATAATAAATAAAAAGTTGAAAGACTATTTCTGTATCATAGCATTTTGTATGGAACACTGAGAAAAACTGTCACATTCTCATGTTCTTTCACAGCAGCAACTTAAAATGTATTAACTTTCACCATTTGGGAGTTTTCCAGTAAGAAAAATTCCAGACAATCAGACTACAATAGTCCTAATTATCCCGCTAACTGGGCTTTAATAGAGAGTTCCCTTAAAATTGCTCTAAATGCCTAATTATTACATTAGCAGTTAGCTTGCAAAAAAGCATGACCTATAACCAAGGTTAAGCTTCACTGGTATAGGTTACTATGTTGCTATCCATACAGGGTAAGTGAGGTTACTTGCAAGACGTTTGAAGCATATCAACATTAGAGTCAATCCAAAAGAACAGCAAGAAAAATAGCATTCTGACTTTAAGTGTACTATACCTCTAATTTCTACTGCAAATACTTCTGAATTACTTCTGTGCCTCTAGATATGACTGCTCCATTTCTACATTGTATGTAGATCACTCAGCTCCCCAAAGTATTCCATCCATGGCAACATGTACACTAGATATGTATTTCACTAAACTCCTAGATTTCTGCCCACTGAGTGTACCTCTATGTCAAGGGACCCCATAATCCTCTCAGGGTACTCATGCTCTCAGCCAGGTTCCCTCCATCCCAGCAACCTCCTCCACTTACCTCAATGTGCTATAGAAACATTATCATTATTTGTATGCACCATGACTTCTTTTAAAAAATTAAGCCCCGCTGCTTAAATGTCAGAAGTCTTAGAAAGCATAACCAAAATCAAATAGGTAACTCCCTGACCACTATCTGTCATCAACGTAATTCTGGCAGTGGCCCCTGCTAGATAAATCACAGTAATATTCCTTCCTTTCTCCCTTTAGATGTCTCCAAAGGTGGCAGTTATAGAGGATCAATAGCTAATGATGCCAATATTGCTGGGGGTTGGAAAGAGGTTAAAAAAAAATTCACTGACCTCATCCTAAATGTCTCTTCCAACAACATGCTATGTCAACATGAATGAGTTTTCTTTTATTTTTGAGAGCAGGAGTATTAACAGACCAAATAATGAGGAAAAAAACTTTTACTTATTGTCCCTGTTTTTGGCATAAGTTTGAAATAGGGTAAACAGACATGTTCTGAATTGATGGTTTGGGTTTTCTCCCATTATTAATATAATCTAGACCTAAATAATTTCTGTAAAATGTTAAGATCTAGTTTTCATTCTAACCTTGTAGTTTACCAGAATCATCCTCCAAGTCACACGTGAGCTGTTTTAAGGGCTGCTGTTCAGAATCAGGTTCCTGAAGGAGAGAGTAACACAGAAATACTTTAACATATATTCAGTACTCACAGAAACTTGGACACAAACACTACATCTCTCTCAGAATTTTAAATTATTAGAATGATTAAAATGTCAACAGCTTCAATCCATATGCACAGCTACATTACTATCATATAAAATCTTGGGCAAAAACAAGTTTTTCTCCCTAATATCCTTGATAGTGACTGAGTCATCAAGAAAATAATTCACATTGTACTTTATAGTAAAGAAGGAAATATATTTACTTTTTAATAAAACAAACGGCAGTTATTCAGAAAATTCACCAAGTAAGGCCACCTCGGTGGTTCATGCCTATCATCTCAGCATTCTGAGAGGCAGAGGTGGGCAAATCACTTGAGCCCAGGAGTGCAAAACCCCATCTCTACAAAAATACAAAAACTTAGCCGCCAGTGGTGGCACACACCTGTGGTCCCAGTTAATTGGGGAAGCTGAAACAGAAAGATCGCTTGAGCCAGGGAGGTGAAGGCTGCAGTGAGCCGAGATCGCGCCACTGCACTCCAGCCTGGGCAACAGAGTGAGACCCGATCTCCAAAAAAAAAAAGAAAAAAAAAAATAGAAGAAAGAAAGAAAGAAAATTTGCCAATGTGGACAAAGATGCACACTCTAACAATTACAGATAAATAACTAAAACCAGAATTCTTAAAAATTACTCCAAGGTCAGAAAAAATAATGCACTTTATTTATCAATCCTCTATTAACAGGAATTCTGCCTCTAAGTTTTCATTATTAAAAACAATAGGGCACTGAACAGCCTTATATATGTGTATGTTTGAGTAAATACACATACACATACACGTACATGTTTTTGTGCCCTCATGCTAGTATTTCTATATACCAACCTGCCATGTATACTTAAAATTTAGGGTCAAAAAGATATGCACATTTAAAATTTTTTTTGTTGTTATTAACAAATTGCTGTTTAAAAAAAACTGCTGATTTATACCTGTAGTGGTTTTCTAGGTAGTAACCACTGATGTTGAGGTGGCAGTACAGGTGAAGGTGGAGCCCCCAGCCATCAGATGAACCATGGAAGGGGAAGAGGTAAAGCCTAACTACAAGGATAATTGAAATCAGAACTTACTCCTTAAATTATCTGTGAATGTGTGCCTCAGTTTCTCATGCCAGCTTCCTCCATGGGTTGGAAACATTGCCACCTAGACTCTTTTACCATTCCACTTTCACTAATCAGGAGAGACCATCCTCTTTCCTTAGTTTCAATTTTTTTTTAAGTGAAAGCAAGTGTATTAAGAAAGCAGAGGAACCGGCCAGGCATGATGGCTGACACCTGTAATCCTAGCACTTTGGGAGGCAGAGGTGCATGGATCAAATGAGGTCAGAAATTCAAGACCACCCTGGCCAATATGGTGAAACCCCGTCTCTACTAAAATACAAAAATAAGCCAGACATGATGGCAGGTGCCTGTAATCCCAGCTACTCAGAAGGCTGAGACGGGAGAATCGCTTGAACCCAGGAGACAGTGGTTGCAGTGAGCCAAGATCACACTACACCGATACAGCCTCAGTGGCTGAGCGAGACTCCGTTTTTAAAAAGAAAAAAAAGAGAAAGCAAGCAAGCAAGCACAGGAATGAAAAAAAAATGGCTACTCCATAGACAAAGCAGAGCAGCACTTAGTTCCAATTTTTAAAATCCTTAGGAATCTGAATGGTTCATCTTGGATCAGACACCACCCTATGACCCAGAACACTGTTACCAAGGAGGCAAGAGCTGTAGGATAATGGCAGTTTCCATTTAATCTATGTAGTTGATGTATTAATAGCAGATTTTTTTTCTGGGCAGATAGTAATGAAAGCTAGTGTTTACAGGGTACTTAAAATGTAACAGGCACATGCTAACCTAACCTACGTTTTACGTATATGTAGAATGTCTCCCTAGACAGGCCACAGAGGACAAACAGCAAATTTAAAAGAATTTGGGATAGCTCCATAGTTACCATTACAATAGCAATGATAAATAGAAGCTGAAATCACAAAAGCAAGACATGAGAAACTTATATGCCGTAACAACTGCATATTGTAATGAAGAACTAAAATACCTCCCACCTCACAATAAAAGTGTTCACTTGGTCATCTAAAAATTTATCAGCTCTTACATTAGCAGAGGATATAACCACTTAGATAGCATTATGTGGCTCAAGCAAGTGTCAGATTGAGTCTTTCAGGTTTCACAGTATACAATAAAAATAACGAAATGGATTTCAGGGCCTTTTGCTTTAAAAAAAAAAAAAAAACAAGAAAAGCCTTTGGTGTCAAGAATACTCAGTCTTAAATCCTGGCTCCACTGCTTGCTAGCAATATAACTTAAGCCTTCTTGCCTCATGTGTGTAACAGGGATAATGCCACCAAACTCCTATGGTAAAAAATGTATAACTGCATATAAAAACATGTAATTGCACAGCACACTGGCACACTACTTGACACATGGTAAACAGTAACAAGATCAAATGAGAGAACGTATAATTGCCCAGTGGCAGTAAGTCAAGAAACCCTTATCAGTGTTATTCTCCAATGTCCTGCCTCTCTACATGTTTGAGAGATGCCTAATCCCATTTCTTAAAATTGAGAAAATGATCTTATCATCAACCAAGTTTCAGTAAGTACTGGTATCAAATGGCATAGTATTTAATTAGGATTATACGCTAGCTACGAATAACTTTACTTTGAAAAACTAATTTCTTGTGTCTTTATTCATAAAAGTTTACCTTTTAAAAATTCATTCATGGGTATTTTAAACAAACTAAAGAATAGGGAGTCCCTGAAAGCCTCACTCAAACCACCTTCTGAAAGCTGGGAAATAGAGAAGTTTTTTATCCAAAATGATATAACATAAACTAAAAGTAGTATATTAACTACTTTAAAAACTTGATGCTCTGCCTTTCCTTCTTTCTCATTAAGTTTAAAGAGTTTTTATTAAAATTGTTAAAATTGTATAAGAGAATTTTAAAATATACTAAAAAGGCAATTAAAATTTTTTCCTCATAGATACATAGATATTTTCCTGGCTTAACTATATAATGTTTTAATATAGGTAATAAAGTTTTTACTTATCATGAGATCTGAAATAAAAACTTATAAAATTAGCTGGGCGTGGTAGAGTGCTGCTGTAATCCCAGCTACTTGGGAAGCTGAGGCAGGAGAATTGCTGGAACCCGGGAGGCAGAGCCTGCAGCAAGCCGAACTCATGCCACTGCACTCCAGCCTGGGCGACAAAGCAAAACTCCATCTCAAAAATAAAATAAAATAAATTATTGTCATCCTTACTCTGTTTTAAAATACAAGACCTTTTCAGAAGAACTGGCATTAATGCTGCCTTTATGAATGTCTTTCATCCTTAATTTTCCAGGCAATGAAAAACAAAGGATAGAAAATTGATTGGTTTTCCTTTGTTTTTCCTCTTCATTTAAATATAATATTATTATTTTTATCTCTGCAAAATAATCACTAATACATGACTTATAACATAGTCTCAGCTGGGTACAAATGCAGCTGGGTGCAGTGGCTCATGCCTATACCCAGCACTTCGGGTGGCCAAGGCAGGCTGATCATCTGAGGTCAGGAATTCAAGGCCAGCCTGGCCAACATGATGAAACCCCATCTCTACTAAAAATACAAAAAATTAGCCGGATGTGGTGGCGGGCGCCTGTAACCGTAGCTTCTCGGCAGGCTGAGGCAGGTCAATCGCTTGAACCCAGGAGGTGGAGGTTGCACAGAGATGAGACTGCGCCACTGTACTCCAGCCTGGGCAACAAGAACAAAACTGCGTGTCTAAAATAAATAAAAGATGATCATAACAAAAAAAAAAGAAGAAGAAGAAAGAATAATACTTTTTTTTTGAGACAGAGTCTCACTGTCACCTAAGCTGAAGTGCAGTGGCATGACTGCAGTTCACTACAACCTCCAACCTCCGCCTCCCAGGTTCAAGCAATTCTTTTTCCTCAGTGCCCAAGCAGCTGGGATTACAGCCATGCAGCGCCAGGCCCAGCTAATTTTTTTTTTTTAAGTAAAGATAGGGTTTTGCCATGTTGCCCAGGCTGGTCTCGAACTCCTGGGCTCAACAGGTCCACCTGCCTCTGCCTCCCAAAGTGCTGGGATTAGACGCGTGAGCCACCGCACCTAACCAAGAAAGAATAACACTTGTAATAACCCTAAGAGACATACCATACAATAGGTACACAGAGAAATAAACTGACATATATGTCACATATGTCTTCTCTGCCCTGCCCTGTAGGATAATTAGTAAATTAATTATTCTGATAGTAATGCAAATCTTAATACCAAAAACAGGGAATTGGAAGTTAAAAAGAAACTATGGAACAAGAAACTCACCTTTGCATTATTATGGTTCTCAGGGCTAGAATGACATGAATTCTGCTGCTGAAATGATGGAGATGGGGAGGAGGAAGAGGATAGTTGTCTCTGGTCCTCTTTCTTTCTCTCATATACTCGAACTCGAGCACAAGTCATCATACTTTCAAAGTACAAGTAGACTGGATCTTTGTCCTCTTCCCGAATCTGAAAATTTCATACAACAAAACATTCCATACAATGGGAGAAAAGTCCCCTAGACTCCAAAAGAAAAGGAATGTTTAATCTTTTTTTCCTATTACAATAGTTGAAATTTTTTAATGCAAATTTTAAAATCAAATAGCACAACTACAGTTCATATGTGCCAAATCTTAGGGCAGTCAGAAAGGATCCAGTTCTCTATCAGGAAATTTCAGATCATACCAGAGCAGTGCATTTCAAATTACCTATGGTGAAGGATACACTGTTAGTTACAGTCCCTCACAGACTGATACTTTAATAAATACAATAAATTACTAGAAAAACTAAATACACATACAATTTAAGGTTTTTAATATTAGATTCAGTCTAACCAACTTGCAATAGAAATGTATCAATATTTACTCTTATTTTCTATATAGTTATCCCCTAAACAACACAGGTTTGAACTGTGTGGGTCCACTCACATGTAGATTTTTTCCACCTCTGTCATCAAGACAGTAAAATTAACCCTTCCTCTTCCTCTTCAGACTACTCAATGTGAAGATAGTGAGTATGAAGACCTTTATGATGATCCATTAATGAATAATAACTACATTTTTTCTTATTATTTTCTTAATTAACACTTTCTTTTTCATAGCTCACGTTATTTTAAGATTATAGTATACACTATATATAACAAAAATGTGATGATTGACTGTTTATGCTATTGGTAAGGCTTCCAGTCAACAGTAAACTATTAAGAGTTCAGTTTATGGGGAGTCGAAAGTTACATGTAGAATTTTGACTGTGTGGAAGATCAGTGGCGCTAACCGCCCCCCCCCCCGCTTTTTTTTTTTTTTTTTTTTTGAGAAGGAGTCTTGTTCTGTCACCCAGGCTGAAGTGCAGTAGCACAATCTTGGCTCGTGGCAACCTCGGCCCTCCGGGATCAAGCAATTTTCCTGCCTCAGCCTCCCTAGTAGCTGGAATTACAGGTATGAGCCACCATGCCTGACTAACTTTTTGTATCTTTAGTAGAGACAGGGTTTCACCATGTTGGCCAGGCTGGTCTCAAACTCCCAACCTCAGGTGACCCACTGGCCTCCGCCTACCAAAGTGCTGGAATTATAAGCATGACCCACCATGCCCAGCTACCCTTGCCTTTTTTAATGGACAATGATATGTATTTCATCACAGACCAGAAACAGTTTTATACTATAACAGCTCTACTACAGAAAACACACTCAGTAGCATCATAGTATAGAACTTTTCTTCAATCTACTGGACTAGGAAGACACATGAATTTGATAATAAGACTTGCTTAAGCCATTAACACAACAAATAACTTCCTATCTTTTTTTTTTCCAGTCTAAGTCTCACTCTGTTCCCCGGGCTGGAGTGCAGTGGCATGATCTCAGCTCACTGCAACCTCCAACTCCCAGGTTCAAGCGATTCTCCTGCTTCAGACTCCCGAGTAGCTGGGACTGCAGGCACGTGCCACCATACCCAGCTAATTTTTGTATTTTTCAGTAGAGACAGGGGTTACACTATGTTGGCAAGGCTGGTCTTGAACTCCTAACCTCTTGATCCACCTGCCTCGACCTCCCAAAGTGCTACAGGCATGAACCACTGCACACAGCCAATAACTTCCTACTTCTACCTACAAGTTTTAACAGTCACATTATATAAACGGTTACTTTAAATCTTAAACTTTACTCATAACAAATACTGCATATCTTATTAATATTCTACAATATAGAAGTAATATCTTTTAAAAACTTTTTCCAAGCCATGTAAAAAAGCCCATCTATGATCCTGAAGAGAAGATGGCTATTTTTTAAAATTACTACTATTCATTTCTACTTTTAAGACATTTTAAAAGTGCCAGCACTAAACTGATTAAACCACAAAGAAAGGAAGATGACTTATAAACATATTACTGAAAGCAAAATGATTCACAAAATAACCAAAAATCTGGTTGAAACACATCATCTTTACATATGACTTTGGTAACTTGTAATAAAAGATTAAATTCCAGACTTACCACAGGATTGGGTTTGGGAGTATATGACCGTGCAGATTTAATTCCAGGGACCAGTCTGCCCTTCACAGTAGTAGATAAAACTTCTGGTTGAGGCAATAACAATGGTTTCATAGGCTCAATGACAGAGGGCGTGGGGATATAAACTGGTTCTGGATCTACTTCACCTTCTACTTTTACCCATAATGGGTAATGTCGAACAGGCTGTTCAGGCTCTGTTTCACATATAGCTTAACAAAAAAAGAAGAGTAAGATTTTAAGGTACTTTTGGCAACAAAAGATCAATACTGAAGCCCTGCCAAAACAAAATAAGTTTCCTCACAAAAGGCAGTTAACTTGTTAAAATAATCAAATACATGCCCCCTAAAAAGGGCATTAAATTGCATTCATATACTTTAATTTATTCATCAAAAATCAAATATGTCTTGAACAGCAGCTATCAACCAGATACTTTTTTAGGCACTAGAATGAACACAGCTATGAATAAAACAAAGTCCTTGCCCTCAGAGTTTAAAATCCAGTAGAATAAGACAAATTAATAAATACTAGTATCAAGTAATGGTAAGCCATGTAGAAAAACACAGCAAGGTAATTAAGGAATGAAGAATTAAAAAGGGATGCCATTATATTTAGCAGGGTCAGAGAAGATCTTACTGCAAAACACCTTTGTTTTTTTTTTTTAAGACAGAGTCTCATTCTGTTGCCCAGGATAGAGTACAGTGGTGTGATCTTGTCTCATAGCAACCTCCGCCTTCCAGGGTCAGGCGATTTTCCTGCCTCAATCACCAGAGTAGCTAGTATTACAGACATGTGCCACCACACCAGGCTAATTTTTATATTTTTAACAGAGATAGGGTTTTGCCTTGTTGGCCAGGTTAGTCTTGAACTCCTGGCCTCAAGTGATCCACCCACTCTGGCCTCCCAAAGTGATGGATTACAGTAGTGAGCCACCGTGCCTGGTTAAAAAGGTAACTTTTAACTACACTTTATTTTCTAAATAATAACAAACATTTACTAAACCTTACTATTCAATAGTTATAAGTATTGTTCCAAGCACCTATACTAAGCACTTCATGTGTTTTAACTCCAGCACTTCTTGAGAAAGGTATTATTATTCCCATGGTACAGAAGCTGAGGTTTAGGGATGTCCAACCACTAAGAGGCAGAACCAGAATCAAACCCTGTCAATCTGATTCCAGAGATCAAGCTGTCATTGCTGCATTCTAATGACAAATTGTAATCAAAAGACATCCTGAACTCAGCATAGGAGCAAAAACATTTATGTCAATATAGACGCAATAAAATCCAACTGAGGCAAAAATTATACTATCAACAAGTTCTGTACACCATTCCACAATTTATATCAAAATATCAAGTTATATACTATTAATATATGCAATTTTTACTTGTTAAAAAATAAGCCCAAAAAAATTCTGCACAAAGGAAAACATGCACTGATTACTTAATCAGATTAAAAAGAAGATCTAGGTTAAGAGGCTCCTGTGTTTACTTATTTTTTTAAGAGTCCAAGTCTCACTCTGTAGCCCAGGCAGTGGCACAATCATGGCTCACTGTGGCCTCCTGGCTCAAGTGATCTTCCTGCCTCAAGCTTCCAAGAAGCTAGGTCTGCAGGTACATGCCACCATGCCTGGCTACGTCTTTAAAAAAATTTTTTTAGGTGTTAAGAGTTGATTAAAGGTAATATAAAGAAAAAAAAAAATTTTTTCAGTGGCCAGGTCTCACTATGTTACCCAGTTTTTGAACTCCTGGTTTTGAACTCCTGGCCTCATGCAATCCTATGGCCTCAGCCTCCTGAGTTATTGGGATTACAGGCATGAGCCACTATGCCAAGCACTATTGTTTTATTCTTTAAGTAAACTGCCCATTCCCATAAAGAAAGCAGCTGTAGTGAAGCAAATGTATTTCTGCATTTTAATGGTCAGTCCTCAAAGAGAACATACAGCTGGTTCAAAGCCAAAGCCCCAAAACCTTTTACCTAAAGTCACATGAAATGTGACTGAGTGACATTCATACTAAATTCAAATACTTACTTCAATTAATCTTTCATGACAAAGCACAATCTAAGCTGCTAAGCTGCTACCTGATTTTCATAAGTGGTATATTTGCTCTGAACATTAAGAACTGATGAAGAACAACTTGTCTAAGGGGCTCCTGAGGTGAACATAAGAGCAAAACCACAAAATGCTGAATAAAGGTTCAAAAATTAAAATACAGGGTGAGGGATGGGGACAGCAAAGCTAGAAAGTGATTGAGTCAATTACTTAGCCAGCTGTAGTCTCTGTCATCTACCTTTTAAAACGTATCTCCTTTATAATACACGTTTAAACTCAACCGTTTCTGGGCTGTTTTTTATTTTGAGACAGAATTTGAGACTCTATCACCCAGGCTAGAGTGCACTGGCACCATCATGGTCAAGGTCACAGTCTTGACCTCCCAGACTCAAGGGATCTTCCCATTGCCTCAGCTTGTAGCTGAGACTACAAGCACACACCACCATGCTTGGCTAATGTTTTTTAATTTTAACTTTTTCGCAGAGATGGCACAAAGGTTTCTAAGACACCAATGTTCATGCATGCATTCAAATATTTGAATTTCTACTATATATCAGACTTTGCAGATACAACAATGAATAAAACTGACAAAAATTCTTGCCCTCATGTAGTTTTTGGGGGGAAGTAAGATGAGACAGGCAGTATAACAAATAAGGAAAATGTGTTGGAATACGGTTAGGTGCTTAAGAGAAAAAACAGGAAAGAAAATAGGCAGCATGTGTAGTATGTACAAGTATGTCTTTTGAGATTTGCCCTCCCAGTGAAGGAGGCATTAAGGGGTTCTACCACACATTTGGTAAAACTTTCTTGTTCAGTGTAGCTAATTATTTTATACACATATTAATTATAAGACAAAAACAAAAATGCCTTTAGGGCAAGACGTCTTGGACTTCTATCAACAATCTTTCAAGGATTTTCTAAGCCTCCATAAACTAAGCATTATACTAAGTAAAGGTCCCTTCCATCTTTTTCTTTTGAAATAATAACTACAAAATACACAGTACAGTACTTCTATTAAAAAAACCTCTTAAGATGTCAAGAATGATTATTCATACTTCTCTTAATCTCTCACAGAGAACCAATAAAATGGTTAACCTGTCATCAGAGCGGGAAAAAATGAGAAATGGAGCTTCCAGTAAATAGGAGAGTTCATAAAAGGAGTTAATTGAAAAGGGAAGAGAGTTCAGTTCTGTTTATAACATGTTTAAGATTGGAAGGACAACAACATACTAAAAATAGGTTAGGGAGCCAGGTGCAGTAGCTCACACCTATAATCCTACTACAGAAGCCAATGTGGGAAGATCTCTTGAGGCCAGGAGTCCAAAACCAGCCTGGGCAACATAGCAAGACCCTTTCTCTATAGAATTTAAAAAGCTTTAGCTGGGCATAATGGTATGCACCCGTAGTCCTAGCTACTCCAGAGGCTAAGATGGAAGGATCACTTAAGCCAGGAAGATCAAGGATACAGTTAGCTATGATCAAGACACAGCACTCCAGCCTGGGGGATGGAGCAAGACCCTCTCTCTGAAAATATATGTAAATAAATAAAACAGCATGGGAATTAAAAATCAGGACTGTCATCAACAGAGTCTATAGCTGAACCCATGAAAACAGACTCTACACAAAGACAAGAACAAGACACTGATCCCTCACACTCCACTGGCCCACCAGTCACTTGATTCCTTTACACAGCATAGGATCCAAGATAGAGCATCTCTTTATTCCCCCTTATAATGACACTAGAGAGTCTCCTACTCTTTCCTTGAAACTCAGGGAAAAAAGAACAACACTAGACAGGAAAAAGCAGAATTAAGGGGAGAACCTGAGTAGCACATATTCATTGACAGGAGTCAAGAAAGGAAATCAGTTTTAACCAAGAAATAATCTCCTCAATTCTACTGAAATGCCTCCTAATATACGTATTACCTTCCCCAAGTCCTGTAGCTTTATCACCCTGTCTTCTAGCTTCTCAGTAAGTCTTTTTTTCATAACACTTAAAACATTCCAGGAATTTAGTTACTTGTGGCACTTAAAATTTCAATATGTATCTTTTCGCCATATACCTAGTTCATCAAATTGACAGTAACCTCTTAGAGAGATGGACTCGTTTTAATTGCCTGTATTCTGCCTCCTCACTCCCAGCAGTGTCTACAGTAGTTGTAGCATAAATGAATAGCATTAAACTTAGAAGACTTACAGAACTGCGATGCTAATATAGAACACTAAAACACCTCTTCCTCTCATTTCTGTAGGCATTTTGAATATCTTTATAATGAAATATAACACTTATAAAGAAAAGTACATAAACAATGTACAATTCAATACATATTAAGAACTATACATCCATGTAAACACTATACAAGAAACAGGACAGTGCTATCAATTCCAGAATACTTTCTCAATCACCATCCCTCCCCTTCCTATAAAAAAAGGCACTTAAATGATAGCTACCTCTTTGCTTTCCTTTTTCTAATGTCAAAGTATAACTCCAAAATATCATAGCTTAATTTTGTCTACTTTTAAAGTTTGTATTAATGAAATCAAAGATATATTCTTTTACCTGGCTTTTTTCCCTCTCAGCATTATATTTGTAAAATTCATCTATGCCGATACACAAACTTGTAATTCATTTATTTGCACTGTGGTATGTTATTTCACTGAATATTCATACTACTGTTATTAAACATTTGGGATTGTTTTCAGGTTTTAGATACTGTGAGAATCATGACCGTAAATATTCTTATATAACGCAGTTCTGCTTTATACTCTGGGGTCAAACTGCTCCATCAAGGAGATATGAATCTTCGACTTCAGAAGAAACTGTCAAACTTATCTTCCAAAGTGGCTATACCTATTTATTTCTCCATAAGCAGTATAGGAGATTTCCCATTAGTCACTGTCTTTATCAACAGTTGGTATTATCAGAGGCTTGTAATGATAACCATTCTGGCAGGCATCTAGTAGAATCTCACGATGGATTTAGATTTCTCCAATTACAAAGAGAATGTTCAACATTTCACTTTATGAAATGCTTCTAAAACTCTTGCTCATTTATTCTATAGGGCTGTTTATTATTAATTTGTAGCACCTTTATATATTCTGGATATAGGTCCTTAGATATCACAAATACCTGCTTTCTTGTTGTAGCTGACAGTTTC